AGGCTGCTATCATGTCACCCCCTCTGGTCCTTGGATAATCCAGCCAGTGATTTTTCCTTTTTCGTGTCCTCTTGGTTGCAGAGTGGAGAGGCCGGTTAGCTGCTGCTGCAGATCGACCAAAACAATCCCACCCCCCATTTTTTTCTTGCCTTCCCTCTTCTTTATATTTAAAGGTAGAATTGGGTTCTGCTATTTTCATCCAGCCCGCTTTTGAAAGACTAAAAATAACAAGGATTTTATTTTGCTTTTCTTCACGCGCGCACCAGACCTTGGCTCTCTTAATTTCTCTCCCCTTGTGCCCGCGGGGGCCTTTTGTGTCTCAATCCCAGCCGACCCCTTTTGGGATTGTCGCCTGGCAAGATTTTTTTTCCTTTCTCTTTTCGGCGACGTGGATCCTCTTGGGAAAGTCCCAGTCCTGGGCTGGGATTTGCTGAAGCTCCTGTGGGCTCACCAACAAAAGCTCCCAGGCATGTTGACGGTTTGTTTTCAGTTCACCTGGGAGAATATTTTGGTGTGACAAGGCTTCAGTGTCCTCGTTTGCCTCCTTGTAAGACAGCGGAGCAGTCTTGCGTCATCTTGATCAACTTTTAAGATGGGTGGACTTCGACACCCAGAATCCCCCCCCCGCCAGCATGCCCCAAATGAAACGTCTGCAAGAAAACCACCAAGGTCAGAGAGCACCAAGGACCCCACAATAATCTTCCTCTTCCTCCTCCTCCTCCTCCTCCTCTCTAGCACTGATAATGTTACCTAGTTGGGTAATGAAACATCTGCAAGAAAACCACCAAGGACCCCACAATAATCTTCCTCCTCCTCCTCCTCCTCCTCCTCCTCCTCCTCCTCCTCCTCCTCCTCCTCCTCCTCTCGAGCACTGATAATGTAAGTGCACAAACCTGTCCCAGAGGAAGAGTTTCCAGACCGATGAGGAGCAGATGTTTGCATGCGTAAGGATCTCAGGTCTCATCTTTCACAACCCTGGTTAAGAAGAGCAACTGGCCAAGCCAGTAGGCCAGGAGAAGACGTCTACCTGAGAACTTAAGGAGAGCCACCACCAGTTCTGAGCAAACCACGAATGAGCAAAGAGAAGACCAGTGGATTGTCTACACTAGTTGTAGACACTATGATAGTTGGGTCATGAAACATCTGCAAGAAAACCACCAAGGTCAGAGAGCACCAAGGACCCCACAATTCTTCTCTTCCTCCTCCTCCTCTCCTCCTCCTCCCGGTTTCGATACAGAGGTGGTCTCCAAAATATTTTAGCACCACCCTAAAATCTATACAGAAGAAACACGTTGAAATGAATTGAAATTGCATTGGAACCGAAGGGTTTCTGGATCTAGTATAGACAATCCACTGGGCTTCTCTTTGCTCATTCGTGGTTTGCTCAGAACTGGTGGTGGCTCTCCTTAAGTTCTCAGGTGGACATCTTCTCCTGGCCTACTGGCTTGGCCAGTTGCTCTTCTTAACCAGGGTTGTGAAGGATGGGACCTGAGATCCTTACGCATGCAAACATCTGCTCCTCATCGGTCTGGAAACTCTTCCTCTGGGACAGGGTTTGTGAGTTTACAGAGCTAACTAACCATCCATCGACTCTCTTCAGAATTGTTGTTCTCTCTTGCAAATGTTCCAGCAGATTATCAAAAGGTAAGCCAAGAAACGAAGCAATTAAAACTGCTGGAGAAGACAAGTTTTTTTTAAAAAAAACACACACACATACATTCTTTTAATTGGACTTTTTCTAATTTTAGCCGAGGAGCTTCACTGGATCAAATACCAATGCTTTTCTTTAGTCCTAAGAAGCCTTATCGCTTGTCCAAATCTTGGCTGAAACTTGGGGAGATAATTTGCCTGCTAATTAAACCAGAAAAAGAAAAAAAAAAAGAAAATCGGCCGAAGAAGGCTGTTCGTTCCTGCGATAGGCAGATATGCACCGTTGTTCGTTGAGATTCCCGTTGGTTAGTTTCGTGGCCATCAAAGCACGTGGGCCTTGACGCTCTTTTAAACTGTCAATCAATCTGCCCCACGGTATTTATTCCTTGGATTAGGAGGGTATTAATCCCACCTGATGGATTAATTTATTCCTCCTTGGTTACGTGGAGAATAGAATGGAAGGATAGGATAGGGTAGGGTAGGGTAGGGTAGGAATTAAGAATAGAATAGAAATTAAGGATAGGATAGGATTAGAATAGAATAGAATAGAATAGAATAGAATAGAATAGAATAGAAATTAAGAATAGAATAAAATAGAAATTAAGGATAGGATAGAATAGAATAGAATAGAAATTAAGAATAGGATAGGATAGAATAGAATAGAAATTAAGAATAGGATAGGATAGAATAGAATAGAATTTAGGAAATAGAATAGAATAGAATAGAATAGAATTTAGGAATAGAATAGAATAGAATAGAAATTAAGGATAGGATAGGATAGAATAGAATAGAAATTAAGAATAGGATAGGATAGAATAGAATAGAATAGAATTTAGGAATTAGAATAGAATAGAATAAAATAGAATTTAGGGAATAGAATAGAATAGAATAGAATAGAATAGAAATTAAGAATAGAATAAAATAGAAATTAAGGATAGGATAGAATAGAAATTAAGAATAGGATAGGATAGAATAGAATAGAATTTAGGAATTAGAATAGAATAGAATTTAGGAATAGAATAGAACAGAAATTAATAGAATAGAATAGAATAGAATAGAATAGAATAGAATAGAATAGAATAGAATAGAATAGAATAGAATAGAACAGGGGCCGGCAACCTTAAACACTCAGAGAGCCATTTGGACCCGTTTCCCACAAAAAAGAAAACATCGGGAGCCACAAAACCCTTCCCATGCCTGACTATTTCTTGAGTGGCCACATACGTAGTTGAATTAAACGTTCTGTTTTCTTCTGAAACTTTTCTTTTCTTAGATTTATCCATGGTTGGCCTACCGGGGGTTGAAAAGCTCAATAAATTTGCGAGCCGCAGCAGAGGGGTGAAAGAGCCACATGCGGCTCCAGAGCCACAGGTTGCTGACTTCTGGGATAGAATAACAGAGTTGGAAGGGACTTTGGAGGTCTTCTAGTCCAACCCCCTGCTTAGGCAGGAAACTCTACGCCACTTCAGACAAAGAACTTTTTTTTAAAATGTTTGTTTAAAACTTGGAGGAAGAGGTCATTTTCTTGCACGATTCTACTGTTGTTCAAATCTGTGCTCCCAGCTCCAGGGTCGAAGTGCGGCCCTTGGCGTAGCATGGAAAAAGCCTGGTGCGGTCGTCCAGTCCACCCATGTGGCACTCCCTTGCCTTTGAACCCTAGTTGCTTGTTAATAGCAATTAGAAAACTTGGTCCCTGGAGGGTCAGAGCTAATCTGTGTATCTGCTGATCTCAGGGAACACACGTGGGAGAATGTTATTGTTCGGATTTATGTAAGGCTTCTGAAAAAAACAATTGCCAAAGTTCCTTCCTTCCTTCCTTCCTTCCTTCCTTCCTTCCTTCCTTCCTTCCTTCCTTCCTTCCTTTCTCCTTCTTTCTTTTCTCCTTTCCTTTCCCTTCCTCCCTTCCTTCCTTCTTTCCTTCCTCCTTTCTTTTCCTTTTCCTTTTCCCCTTCCTCTTTCCTTTCCTTTCCCCCTCCCTCCCTTCCTTTCTCCTCCTTTCTTTTCCTTTTCCCCTTCTTCCTTTCCTTTCCCTTCCTCCCTCCCTCCTTTCTTTTCCTTTTCACCTTCCTCTTTCCTTTCCTTTCCTTTCCTTTCCTTTCCTTTCCTTTCCTTTCCCTTCCTTCCTCCTTTTCTTTCTTTTCCTTTTCCTTTTTCCCTTCCTCTTTCCTTTCCTGTCCTTTCCCTCCTTCCCTTCCTCCTTTCCTTTCCCTTTCCCCCTTCCTTTCCTTTCCTTTCCCTCCCTCCCTCCTTTCTTTTCCTTTTCCCCTTCCTCTTTCCTTTCCTTTCCTTCCTCCTTTTCTTTCTTTTCCTTTTCCTTTTTCTCTTCCTCTTTCCTTTCCTGTCCTTTTCCTCCCTCCCTCCCTTCCTCCTTTCATTTCTTTTCCTTTTTCTTTTCCCCTTTCCCTCCCTCCCTCCCTCCCTCCCTTCCATTTACCCCTTCCTTTTCCTTCCTTCCTGACAAAGGGCTGTCCAACCTCTCTTTAAAAAAACCTCCAGTTTTTCAAGTTTGACGATGTAAAGGCAGGAGGAAATGCCCTTTTATTAATTCCTTCCCCCTTTTTTTTTATTAGCCTCATGATCCCTTGTGTGCAAGCGAGCTTCCAACTGTAGATCAAAACGTTTTGCTGCTAATGGGTCTTAAATGCAGTCCCCGATGCAGTTCCGCGTCTTTCTTTAACCATCGCTCTGCAAAATCGTTTCCTCTGTGCTAATTTTTTTTTTTAATCCTTTCTACCTTTTTTTTCATCGTTCTCCCACTTCCCTGGCTGCATCTGGGTATTTTTAGCCTGTCTGCTTCTCTCCATCCTCCCCTTCCCACTCCTCAAATTTGTTTTTATCCATCTGAAGCCAGACTGGCATTTTCTCAGCTTGCTCATTTTTCGGTCCTGTGTATTCTGCTTTACACTCTCTCTCTCTCTCTCTCTCTCCATCTGTTTCCTCTTCCATACCTCGTTCATTCCACCTTGTTTACTTGCTCGCTCAATCCTGATGGGATTATTCACCTTGCCTTCACCTTTTGGTGCATGAGGCCTGAAGATCCAGGAGGCTGAATGAGAAGGGGGATTCCTTGGGTCATATGTCTAGACTGGTGGACTGGACTGGACTGGACTGGACTGGACTGGACGGACTGGACTGGACTGGACTGGACTAGACTAGACTAGACTAGACTAGAACTAGACTAGAACAGAACAGAACAGAACAGAACAGAACAGAACAGAACAGAACAAGGAACAGAGCAGAGCAGAGCACAATAGAATAGAATAGAATAGAATAAGGAACAGAAGAGAAGAGAAGACAAGACAAGACAATAGAATAAGGAACAGAAGAGAATAGAATAGAATAAGGAACAGAACAGAATAGAAAAGAATAAGGAACAGAACAGAATAGAATAGAATAGAATAATTGGAAAGCAAGTGTGCCGAGCTGGAAGCCCAAGGTAGACAGACCATGGTGGACCATGGACAATGAAAAGCCCAGCGGGGAAAAGGGAAAGTTTTGCTATGCTGTTTTCGCGCGAAATTGTTAGAACTGGCTTTTCTTCTTCTGTAACCCACACGAAATCTTCAGTAAAGGTTTTTTGCTGTATGTATGTATGTATGTATGTATGTATGTATGTATGTCCCAGGAGTTGATTCCCTTAAGCGCCGCGGCAAGAAAAGTCGTAAAACGGGGCAGAGCTCACTTAACAAACGTCTGTCTTAAACCTGGGGCTTCGTTGTGGTGGTTAAGTCGGCCTGTAGATTGTAAATCTCTTTTATTATTTTATTTCACCCACGCCTACCCCACCCTAGGACGGAGTTTATCTCGAACGGAGACCATGTCAACGTGTGGGATAGATGACGACATTCCGCAGGGAGAGAGGAAAACTGTCACGGATTTCTGTTACCTGCTGGATAAATCGAAACAGCTTTTCAACGGCTTAAGGTCAGTCAGTTCAGGTTTTTTCATCACGTTGCAACATCTCTGGAGTGAGCTGCGCTGGGTCCCGCTGGCCTCCCGTGTGGATGCAAAATAAAATTCAAGGGACTACCTGTCCGCCTCTATAGGTAGTCCTCGACTCACGACCGTTCGCTTAGCGGCCAAAGTCACGACGGACCTTCCCAGAGTGATCCTCGGACAATCAACGTCCACGGGGAAGCCAAGGTCCGGTTAACGACCGCGTTCCTAACTTAACAAACGGCAGGGATTCATTTAACAAACTCTGGCAAAGAAAAGGCTGTCGGATGGAGCAAAACTCACACTGGGCAACGGTCTCGCTTAGCAACGGGAAATTTGGAGCTCGGTTGCGGTCGTAAGCCGAGGGCTACCTCAGTAGGGTAGATTTCTCCACTTCTGCCAGTTCTGTCGGCTATTTTTGTCGAATTTATTTTAATAAAAAACCTTTGGGGTAAAAATCTACCGTAAGATAGTTTTCTATTTAAGATACATAAGTAATTTAGTTTATTCAGCATGAAACGGAGCTTCGTTACGTAGCAGGAGGCTGTATATTCTGCAACACTGGGACTATCGGTGAGTCAACAGCGGGTCAAAGGAGTAGCAGAGATGACAATTGCTCTTTAAAAATTATGATTTAAATCGAGTTGATTTAAATCGAGCCTTTTTACTAGTGATTTAAATTGTGATTTAAATCAGCTTGATTTAAATCAAATCCACCCTGCTGGTGGATAAACTGTGTTGGTTTTTTTATTCTCTATTTTACAGAGATTTGCCCCAATATGGGCAGAAGCAGTGGCAATCTTATTTCGGCAGGACCTTTGATGTTTACACCAAACTCTGGAAGTTCCAGCAGCAGCATCGGTAAGAGAGCCATTTCCAGCGCTTGGCTGTGTCTCCAAGCAGCCAAACATCCTCTCCATCATCATCATCATTATCTTTTAACGACCCCAAAATCCCTTGCGGGGTGAAGTCTGGACAACTGAATGGAGCTGGCAGAGTGTTTGAATGGCCAGATGCCTTTCCTGTCGCCAGAACAAGTACAGCGGTTGTGCATTGAAGATAAGTCTGATCTGTGGTTTTCTTTTCTTTTTTTTTTTGGTCACCAACGAAGACAAGTTCTGGACAATCGGTACGGCCTGAAGCGCTGGCAGATCGGAGAGATCGCCTCCAAGATTGGGCAGCTTTATTACCACTACTAGTAAGTAACTACGTACGCTCTGTTATTCTCTTATCTGATCAGAAGGGAAAGGGATAGCGGCAATAATCTCAGTGGGGATTGCGCCCGGAGGAGAAGAAATCATTTGAAGTTTTGAAGCAGGGAGCTTTTATCTCCCGTGCCTCTTTTCTCCACAGCCTTCGCACCTCTGAAACCAGCTATCTGAACGAAGCCTTCTCCTTCTATTCTGCCATACGGCAGAGGTCTTACTACTCCCAAGTCAACAAGGAAGACAGGTCAGGCTTGTGAGTTTACTTTAATTATTCAAAAAAAAAAAAAAAAGAAAGAAAGAAAGAAAGAAAGAAAAAGGCAGAAGTGTTGCATTGTCATTGTGGTGTGATGAGTTCTTCTGGGTATTTATTTATTGGTTCAATTTACATGCCACCCTTCTCCGGAGACTCTGGGTGGCTTACAAGGCGTTAAGCAATAGCCTTCATACTTTTGTATATACCTGCTTAGTAGGGCTTTCCCCCCCACCCCCAAGCGGTTCTTTTTTATACAAAGTCAGCTTATTGCCCCCACAATCCGGGTCCTCATTTTACCTACCTCAAAAAGGAAGGAAGTCTGAGTCAACCTTGAGCCTGGTGAGATTTGAACTTGCAGTAATTGCAGGCAGCTGGTGTTCCTTAACAGCGCTTTAGTCTGCTGCGCCGCCAAGGCTCTTCTAACTGTTCCAACTGTTGAGTCTGGAACTTAGCGAAAGCTAGGACTTTTGAGAAGAAAGTCAACCTAAATATGGTGTCACTCAACCTTCCTCTCTAGAAACAAGATTCGTCCCCAAAACCCTCTTTTTATTTCAACGGCTGTGAATTATTGTTCATTCCCATCCTGCGATGAGTCACTCATAGTTTGTAAAGAGTCCAACAGAGGTCTGCCACAGATAAGGCTGACAAGCACCCACCTTTATCTCCCTTGGCACGCTGCCAAAGACCTAATCGGCAATTAGCTTTGCAAGGCCACACGGAGCACAGAGTCAAAACGGAGCTTCAGAATTTAAACCGGCCAGAACGAACAAAGTTGCTTCCTGCAAAGGCTCACGTGCCTTTGCTCCTCCTTTATGTCTTATGGGAAGGGCCAATCATCTCCAAGCCTTACTCCCGAGTCACCCCTTTTGTCTTAACTGTTCTTGCCTTCTTGCTCTGCGCATGCGCGCACTGGGAACAGGCTCCCTCTGTTCCTCTGCCTCTCTGATGTCTGACTCTGGAGGCTCCGGAGGCAGCACATAACTGCCAGATGGCCCTGGCCCCATCTCTGCCTCTGACGCAGAGCCCTCGTCCGAGCCTTCCCCAGACTCCAGGACTGGCCCATGTTCCTCCCCAGCCTCCTCACTGTCTGACTCTGCTGCCAGCTTCGCAGGCCGCTGGCGGACCACCTCAAGATGTTTTCTTTTTGCTAAATGGTTCTTCTCCCATCCGCCTTCCTCTTTTCACAGGCCTGAGCTGGTAGTTAAGAAACTACGTTACTACGCCCGGTTCATCGTGGTTTGCCTCTTACTCAACAAAATGGTGGTGGTGAAGGATCTTGTAAAGGTGAGTCTCCTCTTGGTGTCGGCCCTCAGGGTTGTAGCCGGTGGCGGTCTTAGAGAAGACCCTTGCGAGGAACGTCCTGGTTCTTTCCCCAGGAACTATCGGATGAGATCGAAGATTACACCCACCGTTTCAACACCGAAGATCAAGTGGAGTGGAATCTTGTCCTGCAAGAAGTGGCCGCTTTCATTGAGGTAAGAGATCTACAGAAGATCCCTGAGCAGTTGTTGTTGGCGGGTTTTTTTTTTTAAAAAAACAAAAATTCCTGCTCATCCAGACACCAAATTGGCTGTTTCTCCCCCCCCCCCCGCCAGATAAATTCTGATCTGTTAGGCAGGATGGATAAAAATTAATGATTTTTTTAAAAAAATCAAAAAAATAAGATTTTTTTGATTTAAATCGGATTTTTTTGATTTAAATCGGATTTTTTTATTTAAATAAGATTTTTTTGATTTTTATTGAATTTATTTTAATACAAAACTTTTGGGGTAAAAATCTATCGTAAGATAGTTTTCTATTTAAGATACATAAATAATTTAGTTTATTCAGCATGAAATGGAGCTTAGTTATGTAGCACGAGGCTGTATATTCTGCAACACTGGGACTATCGGTGAGTCAACAGCAGGTCAAAGGAATAATAATAATAATAATAATAATAATAATAATAATAATAATTTTATTTCTATACCACCCTTCTCCCGAAGGACTCAGGGCGGTGTACAGCCTATTTAAAAACACAGAACAAAACAACGATTAAAATTTAAAATCATTAAATAATTAGGCTCCAATTAAAATCCCAAAAATTTAAAATACCCCAATTTAAAATCGTTATGTTGATAGCCCGGCCTGGCGGAACAACAGTAGCAGAGTAGCAGAGATGACAGTTGCTCTTTAAAAATTATGATTTAAATCGAGTTGATTTAAATCAAGCCTTTTTACTAGTGATTTAAATCGTGATTTAAATCGACTCGATTTAAATCAAATCCACCCTGCTGTTAGGTAAAGAAAAGAAACAAGGTTTTGTTTTTTTGTGAGGTTTTTCTCAATTGTGATCGTAAGGCGAGGACCACATATATGGAAAAACACATTGGCCGTGCTGATTTCTACTCCTTTATCGCGTGCAATCTCTTAAGATTAATCTATTGGGATTGTTTCTTCAGACTCTTCACCATCTTGGTCTTCTTTCTAGGCAGACCCAGTCATGGTTTTGAATGATGACAACACTCTGGTTATCCTGTCCAACCGCCTCTCCGAAACGGGAGCCCCTCTGCTGGAACAAGGCATGATCGTGGGGCAGTTAACGCTGGCCGACGCTCTCATTATTGGCAATTGCAACAATCAGGTGGGTCGTCCCCCCCCGGGTGCCTGTGTATGTCACCGCACGTCGCCGTGACAGAGCGGACGTTATCTGGTATACACCTGGTCCTCGACTTACAAGCGTTCCGTTTAGTGACCGTTTGAAGTTGAAAAAGGGGACAGGACCGTTTTTCACACTTAACGGCCATCGTATGTCACCCAAGGTCCCTTCCAACTCCGTTATTCTATTTTGTGGGAGAGGAACGTCTCAAGCAGCGGAGCTACTTTTCAGGGCACCGAGCGTTGGGGCCATCTCCAACCTGGTTTAAAGCGCCCCGTGGTTTTTTTCCGGTAGGTGAAGTTTAGTGAACTGACAATCGACATGTTCCGGATGCTGCAGGCGCTGGAGAGGGAGCCCATGAATCTCGCCACGCAGATGAACAAGCCGGGGCTGCAGGCAAGTCTCCCGCGTAATATTGTCGCGCAGTTGGTGTTCCTTGGAATTGGGGGGTGTGTGTGTGTGTCAGCGGCATGGCAGGCGCTTTAGAGCTGCCGTCCTGAGCCTCGCAGGTATTCCTCCCAGCGTCCTGTCTTTGTCCGATTTTACGCGTTCCTGCAATTCCTCAGGAATGCCCAGGGCCTGGGGCGAAAGAATTAACCCAGAGAGATTCAGTAACTTGGGGTGGGTGGGTGGGGAGGAGGAAATGGGATGATGAGCTTGAATTTAGGTCTTCTGAATGCTGACTGGTGCTGTCTGGAGAAATTGGGTTTTGCTCTTTTGAGGCTAATGGAATAAAAATGACAACGGGACGCCTAAAATGAGTTTTCCCTCCCTCTTTCCCCTGACTTATTCCCTCCTTCCTCCTTCTCTCTTTTCCTTCCCTCCCTTCCTTCCTTCCCTCCCTCCTCTCTCTCCTTCCTTCCCCTTCCTTCTTCCTTCCCTCTTTTCCCTCCTTCCTTCCTCTCTCTCCTTCCTTCCCCTTCCTTCTTCCTCCCTCCCTCCTTCTCTCTTTTCCTTCCCTCTTTTCCTTCCTTCCCTCCCTCCCTCCTTCCTTCCTTCCTCTCCCTACTTCCCCTTCCTTCCTCCCTCCTCTCTCCTTCTCTCTTTTCCTTCCCTCTTTTCCTTCCCTCCCATCCCATCCTCCTCTCTCTCCTTTCTTCCCCTTACTTCTCCCTCCCTCCTTCTCTCTTTTCCTTTCCTCTTCCTTCCTTCCTCTCTCTCCTTCCTTCTTCTCTCTTTTCCTTCCTTTCTCTCCCTCCCTTTTCTTTCTTCCTTTCTCTCCCTCCCTTTTCTTTTTCTTTCTTTCTTTCTTTCTTTTTTCTTTCTTTCTTTCTTTCTCTCCCTCCCTTTTCTTTCTTTCTTTCTTTTCTTTCTTTCTTTCTTTCTTTCTTTCTTTCTTTCTTTCTTTCTCTCCCTCCCTTTTCTTTCTTTCTTTCTTTCCTTCCTTCCTTCCTTCCTTCCTTCCTTCCTTCCTTCCTTCCTTCCTTCCCAAAAGGCCCAAAAGATGTGATTTTTCTCAGTGCCGTTGTGCTCCCTGCTGGAGATGATCAAGTGGTCAATGTGATGGTTTTGCTGTTGCTGTGTGTGTGGGTGTGAGAGAGAGAGAGAGAAATGGGGCTTTTATCTTCCTTTTTTTTTTTAATGTTGCGGATTGTATTCCCTACGTGACTTGGGTGGCCACGTACATTTGCTTCAAACAAAGAAATAACAAAAGAAGAAGCCCCGATGTTGTGTGAAACGCCAGTCATATCAAAGAAAGCAAATCTCTTCTGTCTTTGGGAAAAAAACACAACAATAACCACAACAACTTGGCACTTCTTGAAGGAGGTGTGTTTCTCTCTTCCGCAGGAGAGCACCGAAAAACCAGCCCGAAGGGAAAACCCTCACAAATACCTGCTGTACAAGCCAACCTTCAGCCAGCTCTACACCTTCCTCGCGGCATCATTTAAGGTTTGTGAAGCAGAGGTGAGGCTGGTCCCATCTCCTGAGAGGAGCTTAAAATCTCACCTGTCCCTAACTGGAGGCCGTCATAAGTGAGGTTCAGAGAAGGTGACGGCGACCCTTCTGGATAGGAGACAGACAGACAGACAGACGGATGACGTTACCTAGTTGGGTCATGAAACGTCTGCTAGGAAACAACCGAGCTCGGGAAGTTACCAAGGACCCCACGCTTTCGACCCCTGAGCTGCAAATATTTTCCTCTGTGGGTACAAATAGATTCTGTGCGGGTTTCACCTTGTTGTACCGAAAGGATTCTTTTGACTTGAGAGAATGAGCTGGCTTCGGGGTTGATGTCGTTTGTTCTCCCCTAGATTTATCCGTTTGGGTTTTGGTTCACCTGTGATAGCAGATCTTCAAATGTGTCTCTCTTCCCAAATACATCTTCCTGACTTCAATTACTTCCTCCCTCCCTCCCTTCTCTCTTTCCTCCCTCCCTCCTTCCCTTCTTCCTTCCTTCCTTCCCTCCCTCCCTTCTTCCTTCCCTCCCTCCCTTCCTTCTCTTTCCTCCCTCCCTCCTTCCCCTCCCTTCTTTCCTCCCTCCCTCCCTCCCTCCTTTCTCTCTTCCCTCCCTCCCTCTTCCCCTTTCTTCCTTCCTCCCTCCCTCCCTCCCTTCTTACTTCCTTCCCTCCCTCCCTTCCTTCTCTTTCCTCCCTCCCTCTTCCCCTTCCTTCCTTCTTCCCTCCCTTCCTCTCTTCCTTCTCTTTCCTCCCTCCCTCCCCTCCCTTCTTTCCTTCCTCCCTCCCTCCTTCCTCCCTCCCTCCCTCCCTCCTTCGTCTCTACTTTCCTCCCTCCCTCCCTTCTCTCTTCCCTCCCTCCTCCCCTTTCTTCCTTCCTCCTTCCTTCCCTCCCTCCTCTTCTTTCCTCCCTCCCTCCCTCTCTCCTCCCTCCCTTCTCTTCCTTTCTCTCTCCCTCCCTCCCTCCCTTCTTTCTTTCTTTCCTCCCTCCCTCCCTCCCTCCTTCCTTCCTCTCTTCCTTCTTTCCTCCCTCCCTCCCTCTCTCCCTCTCTCTCTCTTCTGGTCTCTTTTTCAGGAGCTGCCTGCCAACAGCGTGCTGTTGATCTACCTGTCAGCCACCGGGGTCTTCCCTTCAGGTCGTTCGGATAGTGAAGGTACAAATAAAGGAATGCTTCCTGTCGTGAACACGGCTTGAATTATCTCGACGGTTCGAGGGCAGCAAGGCGGCCTCCACACTTAACCCTAAGCCTGCTCTCCGGAGAAGCTGATGTTCTCCTTCGTTGGGTCTTGGGTGGGCTTTCCACTCTTTGGGCCATACCTATCAGGGGCCTAATTCTGGTCCTTTCCAGTTTCAACACACTCCCCTTTTGTGGGGCTGGAGCCCTTTCCACCCTACCACTGATGGGTCACGTCCATCTGGAGAAGAAGGGGTTGAAGAAGCCCCTGAGATGCTCCAGGGCTTCTTACGGAGAACATCCGGTAGAGTGTGACGAAGCAGAGATGTTCTTACGGACTATGGTGGATCATACCACCTGACACTTTGGAAAGTGTCCAAAATTCTGATGTTTTTCTGCTTTACCTGGCCTGTTTTTTGTTTTTTGAAAACCAGACCTTTAACAGCTTTCCAACGTGGTCTTGGGGGAGCGACGTGGTGGCCGTCTCCTTGTTTGTCGTGACAATTCAAGCCTTTTTCATGACCTCGGTAGTTTCCGTCCTCCAATCCTCACTTCTGTGTCCTTCCTTGGTCAAAGGACTATCTGTGGCTTAACCCCTTTCCCCTCCCAGCTCCTCCTCCTCCTCCTCCTCCTCCTTCCCCCCACTTTCTTTAAAAAAAAAAATTGCTGCTGAATCCTTGGAGAAAATTAAAAGATCTGGTGGAATCAGGTCTGCTGCCCCCCACCCCCCCATCCCCAAAACCAAGGGACCCCTTTAACATGGACGTTGTACCCACTTCATTCCATCCATTTTTGAGATTTGCATTCCTTTATAAAAATGCATGTTTGTTACATTCTTCCTTGCATGAATCATAAACTTTTCCAGAGTCTTCCCTCGCTCATTTCTCCCAACAAAACTTCTCCCTATAAAATAAGAGATGGTTGTGGGTCCCATCCTCTTCCCCCCCCCCCAAAATAGCTTTGGAAAAGCGGTTAACCAGATTTTGCAGTGTGTGTTTTTGTGTTCGGTCGGTTTTGTTTCCTGCTAGAGCAAAGAGGTTGGGCTAGAAGATCTCCGAGGTCCCTTCCGACTCTTGCTATTCTGTCCTGCTCTTTTGCTGTCTTATGTTTTGTGAGGTCCTTGCCTTTGATACTCTACCTCTAACTTTGAGATGTCCACCTTACGGTCTCTTTAAGTAGAATGGGAACTTGTGGGTGGAGCCTGGATAGCTCAACAGACTAAAAGCACTGTTATTAACATTCAGCTGCCTGCAATTACTGTAAGTTCGAATCTCACCAGGCTCAAGGTTGACTCAGCCTTCCATCCTTTCTAAGGTAGGTAAATTGAGGACCCAGTTTGTGGGGGCAATAAGCTGACTTTGTATAAAATATACAAAAGTATGAAGGCTATTGCTTAATGCATTGTAAGCCGCCCTGAGTCTCCGGAGAAGGGCGGCATATAAATCTAATTAAAAAAAATAAAATTAAAATTAAAAAAAATTAAAAAAACTGTAGCTCAAGGCCCTCCAAATCCTTACGTACCATTTCTCATCTCTCTCTCTCTCTCTCTCTCTTTTAATCTATATAAATAAAAATGTAAAATGTTCATTTGTTCAAAATCGTAAATCTCGGAAAGTTCTTCACCCATTGCTTTGAAATTTTGACACAACGTTGCATTCGAATGCGCGCGTGTTTTTATATACCTATATTATATAGATGTCACACCTGTGACAGGTTAAAAACATGCTTTTTTTGAAAAACAGCGCCATCTGTCGGACGCAAAAGCAACACACGCTATACTATCTTTTTGGACTTTAATGTCGCAGCACCACAATGGCAGCCGCGAGGCGGGTCTTTTCCCCTCAGCGCCGCCGCCGCCAAACCCACAAGCAAAATGGCGGGAAATGTCAACCGCCGCGAAGCGTCCTCCCGACTAACAGAGTATGCCGTACCTTTGGCAGGGACCCCGATGCCGCCTGTGGTGCGGAGAGCTGCGAAGGTGAAGGCGGTTATACCGGCAAGCCGGGAAACCAGCTCTTACACCCGCAGCAAACTGGGACGGAGCCAAAGTAGGCGTGACCTGAGGGAAATTATTGGCACTCGGTCAAAAAATATTGTATACCCACAAGACTGGGCCACAGCAACGCGTGGCCGGGTACAGCTAGTTATATATAAATCTTTATTAACGTTTAAAATCCAAAAATACAAGTTAAAATACATCTATAACAAAAAATACATCCGTAATAATTAGACAATTCAACGTCTTTCTGACGGTACGTAATTCTTAACTTTGACCATCTATTCCCGCATATTCTGCCACCATACCAGGTGGTAAACTTTTTACTGCTTTTATCGATCTAAAGGCAGCATTTGATTCAATCCCAAGGGAATTGTTGTGGACAAAATTGTTCAAAAGCTCCATCGACAGACGTCTGTTGTTCCTAATTAGATCCCTATACAATCAGACTTCTAGTCAGGTCAGGTGTAGTTTGCAGGGAGAACTCTCTAACCCTATCCCGATAAAGAGTGGAGTAAGGCAGGGCTGTCTCCTGGCTCCTCTTTTGTTTAACCTATTTTTATCTGATTTGGCCTCTTATATTGGATGTATTGAGTCTCACGCCCCAAAGCTGTCAACAACGAAGATCCCGCTTCTCCTTTATGCTGATGACGCGGTCCTCCTATCACTGACGAGGCTTGGCCTGAAAAGGCTTCTCTCTGCATTTGGGTCCTACTGTGCTGAGAATCACTTGTCCATTAACTACGACAAATCAAAAGTCTTGGTGTTCTCTAGTGCCCGGAAGTTACACAACTGGGCTATTAAGGGTAATGCTGTTAAGCAGGTTTCCCATTTTAAGTATTTAGGTATACATTTTCAGAACACTGGTGCTTGGACTAGACACCGAACCCAGGTGCTGAATTCAGCTTTTTGTAGCCATCAGCAGATTTTAAGATTTTTCTATACCCAAGGTGGCCAATTTATTCCTTCTGCTCTGCGTATTTACAAAGCCAAAACCTTGGCCCAAACTCTTTATGGAATTCCGATATGGATACAGGGCTTCAAGGAGTGTATTGAAAGAACGCAGGCTGCTTTTTTAAGGAAACTTTTGGGTCTCCCTCCCTGTGTTGGCTTTGCTCCGATGTATCTGGAACTGGGCATTCGATCAGTCGAATGCATGGCGTGGATCAACACCTTTAAATGGTGGTTTCGGGCACTCTTTTTGGCAGCCCCTGGCAGCTACCTCTCCCTGGTGTTATCTGACCCCTATACGTCTCGGTGGGAGAGGGATCTGACGAAGAAACTCCACCTGTTAGGTTTTTCGGGGGATGCCATGGGAGACTATGGCCTTAAAGATGCCCAATGTAGGGTAGTCCAACGGCTTGTGGACATAGACTTACAATATCTGAGAGCTAGAGCCAATAAAACCTGCTCCCCTCTGGTCTTCAGCCAACTTAATAATTTTGGACTGAGGATGGCCTCATATTTCTATACTCTAACCATCCCTAAGTATAGAAGAGTCTTCTCCCTTGCTCGTTTTAACGTCTTGCCTTCAGCATTGCTGGACGGTCGATTCAAGAGGCTTCCGAGGGGCGAGCGGCTATGTCCCTGTGGTAGAGCGGAGGTTGAGACTGTGGAGCATGTCCTTTTACACTGCCCCATGTACAACGTAGCCAGGACTAATTTGATGTCTCTCTTAGAGACAGATTTCTGTGGGCCCAATGATAGTGATTTGGCCTTGTATTGTCTAGGGGATGGCTCCTCATACACTACCTCTCAGGTCTCAAAATTTTTTCTAAGAGCCGTAACCATTAGAGGAGAGCGCTGTGGTCCCTCTCAGCCGGGGCTTCCGGTGGCCGGCTGTTCGTGATGTTCTTTTCCCTATGTTTTTCTGTAGCTATGCTTGCATTTTGGTCTGTGACCGTAAATAAATTTATTATATATTCCCGCATATTCCTACTTAATCGACAGATTTAAACACATTTTATATCTTATTTTATTCTATGCATTCCTTATTTTTAACTTCTATCCATTGATAACCAATTTTCCCAAGTTAAGCAGTATTCCGAGTCTTCCTTATTATTTAATTCTAAAGTAAGTTTGTCCATTTCTGCACGTTCGAAGATTTTCCAGATTATTGCACAGTCTGTTGGTATAGTGGACATTTTCCAGGCTTGCGCAAGTACAATTCTTTCTCGTCTCTTAAGACCCAAATGTTAGAGAAGTTTCTGCTCACCTTGGTCTCTGCTTCTTTAGGCCGTGATTTAGACCGCATGTCACACCAAGCCTTGGTCTGTTAGGAAAACCCCCATGAATCATGTCATGGCTTGTTATAGTCACGAAGGAACACATCCAACGCAAAAGATCCATCTGATCAGAGTCGTTCCTGGATTTATGGACGATCAAGAGCCGTTACAGATAACGTGGCTTTGGCTCTCCATTAAAAGGGTGCATTGAGTGATTGATGAGATGCCTTCAAGCCAGTAGTGGGTTTCACTTACCCTGTTTCCCCCAAAATAAGACATCCCCTGGTAATAAGCCCAATCGGGCTTTTGAGCGCATGGCAATAAGACCAGGCGCTTATTTCAGGGTTCAAAAAAATATAAGACAGGGTCTTATTTTCGGGGAAACAGGGTATCTATCATATCTATCTATCTACTGCCTTCTATCTATCTATCTATCTATCTATCTATCTATCTATCTATCATCCATCTACCCTGTTTCCCCCAAAATAAGACATCCCCTGATAATAAGCCCAATTGGGCTTTTGAGCGCATGGCAATAAGACCAGGCGCTTATTTCAGGGTTCAAAAAAAATATAAGACAGGGTCTTATTTTCGGGGAAACACGGTATCTATCATATCTATCTATCTACTGTCTATCTTCTATCTATCTATCTATCTATCTATCTATCTATCTATCTATCCTGTTTTCCCCAAAATAAGACATCCCCTGATAATAAGCTCAATCAGGCTTTTGAGCGCATGGCAGTAAGACCAGGCGCTTATTTCAGGGTTCAAAAAAATATAAGACAGGGTCTTATTTTCGGGGAAACACGGTACCTTCAGTACTGGTTTGGAACTGTGAATGCACGTGTGTGCGCTCGCTTTGCTCGCGTGCAACGCTTCTGCGCATAGCATCCGTGATGACGTCTGGGTGGGTGGGTGAAGCCTCCTGCTGCCTCCGCCGCTACCGATTCGCCCGAACTGGTAGAAACCCACCACTGCTTCAAGCCAATCTCAACTCTTTGCAATCACCTCGATATCTCTGTGTGGTGAGGAGTCCTCAGTCAGACCTTTCAATGGAGAAGGGGTCATATAGTCCAGCATCTAACCCTGATTTATAGAATTGTCTTTCCCGCCCAAATCGGTTGGGCGTGAACAAATTTGTCTCCATTTGGGTTATTGGAAACGTGCAGGCAAGTCCTTAACTTATGGCCACGATGGAGCCCCAAATCTCTGCCGCTGAGACGTTTGTTGAGTGAACTTTGCCACGTTTTTATGACTTTTCTTACCACGGTCGTTCAGCGAGTCGCTGCAGGTGATACGTTAAGTCACCCGGTCGTTAAATTGAGCCTGGCCTTCCCATGGACTTTGTTGGTGAGGGGATCACATAACCCCGGGACACTGCAACCGTCGTAAGTACATGCCAGTTGCCACGTGTCCGAATTTTGGATCCCAGAATCATGGGGATGGTCGCCGTGAAAAAACGGTTGCAAGTGGCATTTTTCAGTACCGTTGTAACTTCGAACGGCCGCTAAACAAACTGCCGTAAGTTGAGGACTACCTGCAACCAACATATCCACCCTTTCAACCTCTTTAACTTCCAAACATCTCAGTGCTTCTCAAACCTGTCGGCCTCTAAGATGGATGGTTTCAACCCAAGGTTTGTTGTCTAGCTAGTCATCCCTTAGCTCTTTCAACTACTGTCGAAATTCTTCCTCCTGGAATTTTTGGGGTCCTTTATATTCTGTGTTTAGCTCGTCGCCAAGACAGCCGCTGGTCCTTACCTCCCATTTGCTCCCTGCAGGTCCCTACGATTTTGGGGGTGTCCTGACGAATAGCAACCGGGATATCATAAACGGAGACGGAATGCACAAACGGAACCAGTTGTACAAGGAAATGCATTGGTGAGTTGCTTATTCCTGGGAAACTGGACATCCTCTGCGAGACCGATGGCCGTAGACATCAAATTACCATATTTTTCGGAGTATAAGACGCACCGGAGTATAAGACGCACCTAGTTTTTTGCGGAGGAAAATAAGAAAAAAGCTGATTGGCGGGTGGATCGGCCTCCCGGAATACCCCCAATCAGCTGTTCCCAGAGGTGAATTTTAGCAACAGGTTCGTTGGTTGTGAGCTCTGTGCTTTGCTTTTTTTTTTTCTGCCTCTGAAACTTCTGAAACTCTGTTTCAGAAAAAAAAAAAAATTCTGCTTCTAAAAGCCTCCGAAACAGAGCTTCAGAAAAAAAGCCTCTGAAACTTTGTTTTTTCTGAAGCTCTGTTTCAGAGGCTTGTTTTCTGAAGCTCTTGTTTGGAGGCTTTTTTTTCTGAAGCTCTTGTTTGGAGGCTTTTTCTGAAGCTCTGTTTGGAGGCTTTTTCTGAATCTCTGGAGGCTTTTTTTCTGAAGCTCTGTTTGGAGGCTTTTTTTTCTGAAGCTCTTGTTTGGAGGCTTTTTTTCTGAACCTCTGTTTGGAGGCTTTTTTTCTGAAGCTCTTGTTTGGAGGCTTTTTTTCTGAAGCTCTGTTTGGAGGCTTTTTTTCTGAAGCTCTTGTTTGGAGGCTTTTTTTCTGAAGCTCTTGTTTGGAGGCTTTTTTTCTGAACCTCTGTTTGGAGGCTTTTTTTCTGAAGCTCTTGTTTGGAGGCTTTTTTTCTGAAGCTCTGTTTGGAGGCTTTTTTTCTGAAGCTCTTGTTTGGAGGCTTTTTTTCTGAAGCTCTTGTTTGGAGGCTTTTTTTCTGAACCTCTGTTTGGAGGCTTTTTTTCTGAAGCTCTTGTTTGGAGGCTTTTTTTCTGAAGCTCTTGTTTGGAGGCTTTTTCTGAACCTCTGTTTGGAGGCTTTTTTTCTGAAGCTCTTGTTTGGAGGCTTTTTTTCCTGAAGCTTCGTTTCTGATGCTTTTTTCAGCCTCTGAAACCTCCGCTTGAGAGGCTGGGCGGGGCTACGTTCGGAGTATAAAATGCACCCAGATTTTCACCCTCTTTTTTGGGGGGGGAAAAGAGCCGTCTTATACTTCAAAAAATATGGTATATAGGCAACCCTGCTTTTAGGACGGGATGGGATGTCAGGTTCCAAGTAACACACCCAAAGCAAACAAAACTCCGAGGCAGGCAATTTCCTCAAGGAATAGGCCTTATTTTTTGGGGGGGAGGGGTAATATGGCAATGGTGAATCCTGCTGGTCCGGCTCATGATTTGGCAAACCTGTAGTGGCGGCCGTGAGAGGCTCCGCCCACCAGCCCAGAGGTCATTACTTCCTGGTTTTAACCAGGAAGTAACCCATTTTTGGCCCTCTGCCCATGCGCAGAAGGCTTTGCGCATGCACAGAGGGTGAAAAATTGGACGTGACGATGGCACTCGCGCGCACTTCTGAGCCGGTAGGGAAGGTAAGTAGATTTCACCCCTGGAATATGGTAGTCCTTGAGTTACGACCACATGGGAGCCCAACATTTCTGATGCTAAGTGAAACATTTGTGAAGTGAGTTTGCCCCATTTTACGACTTTCCTTGCCGTCTCTTTCTTACATATTCTGGATTTCTTCCCCCTCTCTTTTTTTTTTTCCCCCCTCCAGCTTGCACCCTGGTGATCTCTATCCTTTCACCAGGAAGCCTCTGTTCGTCATAGTGGATTCGTCGAACAGCGTCGCCTACAAGGTAAGCCTATTTAGAGTTACTAGTCCTCTTGAGCATATCATCCAGGGGATAATATTGGGCTTACGTATGGAATGGAATGAAGAGGCCAAGGGGAGGAAATTAGCCTAACGTTTGAGAAATACTTTCTAGGATCTAGCCCTTAAGTTGCAAATGAGGAATAAACTGTAAATCTATTTTTCTCCCAGATTTAAAGGGTTCTACCCTGTTTTCCCCAAAGTAAGACATCCCCTGATAATAAGCCCAATTGGGCTTTTGAGCGCATGGCAATAAGGCCAGGCGCTTATTTCAGGGTTCAAGAAAATATAAGACAGGGTCTTATTTTCGGGAAAAAGACAGTATCTATCTATCTATCTATCTATCTATCTATCTATCTATCTATCTACCTACCTACCTACCTACCTATCTATCTATCTATCTATCTATCTATCTATCTATCTATCTGCCCCGTTTCCCCCAAAATAAGACGTCCCCTGATAATAAGCCCAATCGGGCTTTTGAGTGCATGGCAATAAGGCCAAGGGCTTATTTCAGGGTTCAAGAAAATATAAGACAGGGTCTTATTTTCGGGGAAACATGGTAGAAGAGAAAAAAACGTGAACTTGATTTAGTATTCTGCACAAAGCATCTATTTTGGAGCAATAATATAATAATAAAAGTATGAAGGCTATTGCTTAACGCATTGTAAGCCGCCCTGAGTCTCCGGAGAAGGGCGACATATAAATCAAATAAAAAAAAAAAAAAGAAAATAATCCAGAAAAAAAACCAAACCTGGATGACATAAATTCTAGTCCTGGTTTAGCCATCTAGGTGACTTTGGGCCAATCAGCAGGAGACCGGGAGTTTTAGTTCTGCCTTAGGCATGAAAGAGCTGGCTGGGTGATTATAGGTCAGTCAGCAGGAGACGTGAGTTGTAGTTCCGCCTTAGGCATAAAAGGAGGCTGGGTGACTTTAGGCCAGACGCTAGGAGAATGTGAGTTCTAGTTCCGTCTTAGATATGAAAGCTGGCTGGGTGACTTTAGGCCAATCACCAGGAGACGTGAGTTGTAGTTCCGCCTTAGGCATAAAAGGAAGCTGGGTGACTTTAGGCCAGATGCTAGGAGAATGTGAGTTCTAGTTCTGTCTTTATAAAGACAGAACTAGAGTTCTGGCTGATTTATAAAAACGATAACGGTGGACTATAAGCAAATATCTGTTCTCGGTTTTCCAACATTCCTTATGGAGTTAAAGCACCGAGGACTGCAGGGAAATCCTGCCATTTACACGTGTTTTTCCCGCATTCATGCCGTGCAGCGGCCCTTCCTTTGAAGTTGGTTTGCTCTTGGGATTCTACTTGATGGATTAGCCTGTTGCGAATTGCTAAAGCTGGCCAACTGAGCTGGCCAGCTCCACGGAGCACTTTTTGGCAGCCATTGTTTGTTTATTTCCACCCCTTCGTTCATATTTTCTTCCTTTTTTGCTAAGGCCAGCAACTCTGCCCTGGCTGCTATTTTGCACAGACCTGCAGACAGGAATTATTCCCCCCCCCCCCCCCAAGCTCTTCAACTCATAAATCTGCTTGAGCTGCCTCCGTCTCAGACAGAAGCATTGTACTTAATCAGCACATTGCTAAAAGATGGGGAAGAAAGAGAGAGAGAAGGAGGGAGGGAGAAAGAAAGAAAGAGGAAAAAGAAAGACAGAGAAAAACAGAGAAAGAAAAGGGAAAGAGAAAGAGAAAAGAGAGAAAGGGAGAGAGAGAAAAAAGAGAAAGAAACGGAGAAAGAAAGAGAGAGAGAAAGAAAGAAAAGAGAGAAAGAAAAGAGAAAAAGAGGAAATTTTATTTATTTATTTATTGCGATTTATATGCCGCCTTTCTCCCTAGGGTCTCAAGGCAGCTTACAAAATGACAACTTCAATACAAATCACAATACAATACCAAATTAAAATCAGTAACCCAATTAAAAACGATTTAAAATGAGGGAAAGAAAGAAAAGAGAAAGAAAGGGAGAAGAGAGAGAAAGAAAGGAGAAAAGAGAGAGAGAGAAAAAGAGAGAGAGAGAAAAGAGAGAAGGAGAGAGGGAATGAAAGAAAGGATGCCGGGCTGGGGAAATGAGTATTATTCTGAGTAAACCCTGCTGGTTTTTAATATATCATTTTAGGAGGGATTAGTTTAACGAAACTTTATTGGTCTGACCCAGTGGTGAAATGTAAAATTTGTTACTACCGGTTCTGTGGACGTGGGGGTAATGTGACTGGGTGGCGGTGGCCAACTTTTTTTTTTTTTTTAGTTTTAAAAGCATTTTTTCTACAACCTTAAGAAGTTGCAGAAAAAAATGCTTTTAAAAGCCTCTGACGATCAGGCAACTCAGCTGGGATCGTCAGAGGCTTTTAAAAGCATTTTTTCTACAACCTTAAGAAGTTGCAGAAAAAAATGCTTTTAAAAGCCAACTTTTAAAAGCATTTTTTCCGCCAAAGGGGAGGTGGGAAGCCTCTGATGATCGCGCAGCTCAGCTGGGCATGGGGCGGGGGTGCAGGGATTTTTGCTACCTGTTCTCCGAACCACCCGCCGCCATCGCTACCAGATCGGGCGATCCGGTCCGAACCGGGAGCATTTTACCCCTGGTCTGACCCCCTCGGAAAAGGAATTGTTGTTTTATAGGTTAGTTCCTCAATATCAGGGAGGAAATACAAAGCTGGTGCAGTTGCTGGCACCCAGGTAGTCCTCCACTTACGACCATTCGTTTAGTGACCGTTTGAAGTTGCAACAGGCACTGAAAAAAGTGGCTGTTTTTCAGGTGACATAAATTCTGGGCTCAAATGCAGCCATAAATCGGGGACTACCTCTGTTCTCAGTTCCCCCTCCCCCCCGGGTTTACCCCCTGCTAAAATTCACAGCATCCTCCCCATATCATTCCCGCCGCGAGGAATATGCTAAGAAGAAGAAAAAAGTCCTTGGCAAGGAAAAAAAAAGCAATTTTGCTTCTCAGCATGGGCCTTCCATGCTGGGAGAAATATCCCGTTGTGTCGTCCATATGATTTCCTGATGCACAACGTAAACTCCTGTTTACGGATTCCTGAGTCCGACAGATTGAACACATGCTTCTCGTACAGAACTGGATGTGGGCGTGGATTTAATTAAAAATTCCTTTTTCTTCGACTCTGGCATCTCCTGGTACCGCAATGTCAATAAATTGTACGTTTCAGTTTTCGACGACTGTGATATCTGGCGTGTTGTGTTCCAAATGATGATTTGTCTGTAGTCGAAAGTCCCACAAGATACGATGAGGATGATGATGATGATGATGATGATGATGAGTGAAATTGTCTCCAAGACGCTTTCTTTCTGCTTCCTTTCTAGAATTTCACCAATTTATTCGGGCAGCCGCTGGTCTGTTTGCTTTCTCCGACCACGTATCCGAAAGCGTTGCAAGGTAGGAAGTCACAGGATCGCGAGTTTTGGTGTGGGCTGAGAAGCTGTTTACAGGCAGTCCTCGACTTACGACAGCACATATAGCGACTGGTTGAAGTTATAACTGCGCTGGGAAAAAAAATGGGACTCAGGAGCGGTTTTTTCAGTCTTACGGCCGTTGCAGCTACCCCCTGGATCACGTGATCCAAATTCAGACGGACTTGTATTTACGACAGGCCGCAGTGTCCCGGGGGTGTGTGTATCACATGATTCCCTTTGGCGACTTTCCAACAAGCAAAGACGACGGGAAAGCCAGATTCGCTTAACAACCGGGTTATTAACTTAACAATCTGCCGGGATTCCCTTAAGGATTGTGGAAAGAAAAGGTTGTAAAATGCGATAAAACTCTCTTTAACAACTGTCTCGCTTAGCAACAATTGTTGGCTCCATTGTGGTCGTAAGCCGAGGACTGCCTGTACTTCCGGTTTCTGGCAAAAAAATAAATAAATAAATAAATAAAAAACCATTGTGGGCAATGAATTTGCTTAATGGCGGCCGTGTTCGCTTACTAAAAGGTCGTAAAATCAGGCACGGGCTCAATGACGGTTGTAAGTCGAGGACTACCTGTAAGCTGACGGATGATGTTATCCGGTCAGACCACGAAACGTCGGCAAGCCAGCCGCTCGGCTCAGCGTGAAGAATGAACGCTGAGTCTCTAACAAATTCACTCAAGCCTGATCTCTCATACAATTATATTAGAAGGAACTCGGGGTGCTTACTTTAACCCCACAACACTGCCAGAGGTGGGCTTCACTTACCTTTCCTACCGGTTCGCAAATGTGAGCGCAAACGCCTCCTGTGCGCGTGCACACGGCCTTCCGTGCATGCTCTTTGCTCGCGCATTACATCTGGGCGCGTGAGTGGAGCCTCCTGCAGTCGCCACTACCGGTTCAGCCCGAACTGGACAGAGCCAGCTGAATCCCAGCACTGAACGCAGTGCTCTATAGCGTCGTTTTGAGAGTAGGAGTTGAAGCAGTTTATGTCCAGGATGCGAGGGGTCTGTAGATATTTTCACAGCCCTCTTTTTGACTCGTGCCGTATACAGGTCCTCCATGGAAGGCAAGTGGGTAGCCATTGTTTTTTAGCAATTAGGAAGGAGAATGGCACCGCTTAGAAGCGATCTGTGGTTTCCATGGTTGTGTAGGACAGAGCCTTAGAGCTCGGTGTGACCTGCCAACAACTCTCATCCCGTGGGCTTTTGGAATTTAAGGGATGTCCTCGGTTTCAGAAACGGGGAAGGCAGGAAAAAAGTCCTTAGTGTTATTCTGATGATGATTAAAAATTCCTTTCGTCTCGGAAGAATTTTCACTTCGTAAAGGCAACGTTTTCATGCCAGCCAGCAAAATTCTCTGCCCATTGCACAATTCCTGGAGATTTTTTTTTAATCAGACCGGAGGAGAGAAAACTAGGATAAAGAAAGCTTGGATGGAGCCCCAGGAACGTAGCTTATCTTGGAATCGGGAGTCCGTAAATTTTTCATTGGAATGTAGAGGGAATTTCCAGGCCTCTCCCCAGTTGAGTTTTTATGAGACACAGGGTGGAATTTAAAAACCGCAGAGATCCTCTTATTAAAACGTGCCGGAAAGAAAAAAAAAACAAACAGCAAGGTCCTTGTTACACGTAGCCCTCGACTTACAACGGTTCATTTAGTGACCATTCAGAGTTACGACATCATTAAAAAAAAAAAGGACTAACTGTACAACAAGGTTACACTGGGTGTTGATATTAACAGCTGTTTTGTTTCAAGCCAAGCTGACTTTGTTGGTTGGGATTGACTTAGCGGAAACTTTACTGGCATCCTTAGCAAATGTCTACGGAGATTCTCCGTCATCCATCAGCTCGTGGTTGTCCCAAAGGGTTTTTTTTTTTTTCCAAGAGGCAACTGGACTTTCTGGGTTTTTCTTTGAAGACGTTTCGCTTCTCATCCAAGAAGCTTCTTCAACTCTGACTGGACGTTGGGGGAAATGGAAGGATTTATACTCCTTGCAGACAGCTGGTCTTTTGCGTCCTTTTTAGACTCATTGAAGCCACGTGGAGGTTTATCCTTTCCATTCCCCATCATCCAGCCAGAGCGGAAGAAGCTTCTCGGATGAGAAGCGAAACGTCTTCGAAGAAAAACAAAGGAAGCCCAGTTGCCTCTTGGAAAAAAAAAAAAGCACCTTAGGAATTCGTAGTTGGGAGCTATCTAATTGACGGGTTTGAAAGGCGGCTCGATACCAATTAATTTTCCCACCCGTTTTTCCAGTCCCTATAAACTGTAACTGGTGGAGTGGTGTCACTCTCAGAGAGAGATGCCCCTTCCCCAACTCCTTCCCAGCATGAAGTCCACTCTCGTGACATAATTTGTGGCACAGGAAACTTGGTGATCAGCCCTGAAGGCATGAGAGGAGCTGGAGATTTCACCGTTTGGCTTTTAGAGGTAAGTTCTCTTCCGTCACGAGGGGGAAAGAAAACTCTCTGGGTTCCTGGAAAAATGGTGAAAATATATATAACTTCGGTTCGAAGTTACAACAGCACTGGAAAAAAAAAAAAAAGGATCCGGTGGCCAGTTTCCACACGGCTGTTGCCGCGTGATCAAAATTCAGACCGTCTCGTATTTATGACGGTTGCAGTGTCCCCCGGGGTCACGTGATCCCCTTTTTTCGGGACCTTCGGACAAGCCGAGTCAGATTCGCTGAACGAATCCGTGTGGCTTAACGTTAACGACTGCGGTGATGGATTCACTTCACCGCGGTGAAGGCAAGGAAGGTTGTAAAATGGGGGCAAAGCTCACTTAACGACCGCCTCGCTTAGCAACGGAAATTCGGGGCTCAATTGTGGTCGCAAGTCAAAGACTATTTGTCATCCGGAGGAATGTTTTCTTGAATTTGGCGACTCTTAAAATGGCTGGACTTCCAACTCCCAGAATTTGAAATCCTTCCCCCATCTTAAAATTGCCACCAAGACTGAAAAGAACTGGGTACAGAGTAAGGCCGGAAACAGAATTTTAAAAACGACAACGACAACCACAATAACGACACCAAACGGTGAATGTCTCCAGCAGAGAGAGGGGGGAAAAAACCGCCATTCCCCAAAAACTCCTACGGATTAGTTCATTCCATTTTGTTTCTGGTTTTTTTGTTGTTGTCTTGTAGATCAATCACAACGAGGAAGCCTCTTCACGTTCTTCCTGAACAACCCTCTAATGGCATTCCTGTTTGTCTCCGGATTATCAAGCATGCGCAAAAGTCTCTGGGACAAATGCCACGATTACCTTCGTAAAATCAACCGGGATATTGCACAACTCTTGACTCATTCCCGCTCCATAGGTATGCGTTAGCCCTGGAAGCCATTCTTCAGACCTGCCATGTTGACTACTGTGAGAAACTGGGAAGGGGGGGGGATTGTATGGAGCCAGGGTGATATGTAGTCAAAATAACATTCCTTTCTCAGAGAGTCAAGGACATCTTGCCCTGCACCTGGAGGGCTGGAACTGGGAGGCATCTCCAGTTGCGACGGTGCTTGGATTGGACCATGTGATGGACTTGTGGGTGTTGGGCAGGGACTTGGACTTTCCTTTGGGTGGGGAAAACCTGGGAGCTTTCAGATTCGGGTTTTTCCCAGATGTGCCGATATGACATCTCTAATAAAATGTAACTGCGAGGAATTTCAAGCCTCGGAGTTTCCTTTCGTTGGGGGGTGTTAGTTGGAACTCTGACATGAGGTGGCTTAGAATTCTGATTTTGATCTCCCGTGTTCCCGTGAGTGGTTTGAATGAAGAAGGGAGCGAACGTTGTGTGGTACACGTGTCAAGAGAACGTAGAGATGATAGAAAATATTTCTGAATCCTGGCAAAATGAAAACCACAAGAAACTCAAAGCAACGTACTGTATGTTGCTCATGTTAGATCAGTTGAGCTATTGTGTAGGTAACTTACCAGTTGATATATTGAAGGGAAGAGGTGGCTCAGTGGCTAAGTCGCTGAGCTTGTTGATCAAAAGGTGGGCAGTTCAGCGGTTCGAATCCCTAGTGCCGCGTAACGGGGTGAGCTCCCGTTCCTTGTCCCAGCTTCTGCCAACCTAGCAGTTTGAAAGCAGGTAAAACATGCCAGTAGAAAAAATAGGGACCACCTTTGTGGGACGGTAACAGCGTTCTGTGCGCCTTTGGCGTTGAGTCATGCCGGCCACATGACCACGGAGACGTCTTCGGACAGCGCTGGCTCTTCGGCTTTGAAATGGAGATGAGCACCGCCCCCTAGAGTCGGGAACAACTAGCACATATGTGCGAGGGGAACCTTTACCTTTATATTGAAGTAGGTTGTGTTAGGTAGAAGTTGAAGTACATCGTGTTAGGTATATGTTGAAGTAGGTTGTGTTAGATGTAGGTTGAATTAGATTGCGTTAGGCATAAACTGAAGTACATTGTATATTGACTTTTTTTCAGCACCATCGTAACTTCAAATGATTATAAATGAATGGTCATAAATTGAGGACTATCTGGTAATCTAATTTCAGTTTTCTCTCTTTCTTTTCCCCCTCATTATAGACCAGGCCTTTCTCCAGTTTTTTGGAGATGAATTCCTGCGCCTGCTTCTAACAAGGTTTATTTTCTGCTCAGCTACCATGAGAATGCACAAAATCTTCCGGGTATGACAATCTATCTATCTTTATCTTCCTTCCCTCCTTCCTTCCTTCCTTCCTTCCTTCCTTCCTTCCTTCCTTCCTTCCTTCCCTCCCTCCCTCCCTCCCTCCCTCCCTCCCTCCCTCCCTCCCTCCCTCCCTCCTTGTACCACCATTCTGATGTCCTTTTCAGAACTGTTGCGTTGCTCTTTTGTGGCCGTTTCCTTATTTTCCCTTCTTTTTCCTCCAGCAGGAAACGAGGAATTATCCCGAATCGTATCCTCAACTGCCCAGGGATGAAACGGTAGAAAATCCACACCTTCAGAAGCACATTTTGGAATTGGCTTCGATATTGGATGTCCGAAACGTATTTTTGGAGACTACCCTCGACGATTATTAAGTGCGGAGAAAAAAAATACACACGGTCCGGAGGTTTTCACTGGAGGGTTTTTAACCCTCACTGCAAAAAAAAAAAACAACATTTTTTTTGGGAAATGGTGCAGTTTTCTAAACGCGATCATCCACTCCACACACACAGAAACACAGGAATTTACTTGAGTTTTATTTTTGAACTTGACAGGTGTTGTTTTTTTTCTTTTTTTTAAAAAAAAAGTAAAATGGAAAGAAGGAGGAGGGGGCGCGCAGCTGTTCCATTCTGCGTGGGATTCAGTTTTGATAAAAAAAAAATAAAACAAACCTCTCCTCACGAAAAGTTTTACCATTTTAAGACTGAAAACAATCTGGTAGGTTTTGAAGCTCTCTCTCTTTTTTTTTTTGATTTGGAAGACATCGCTGGCCACGCAACAACAATAACACACACACACACACACAAACGCATGCGCTCCCTCGAGATTGAAAATGCAGCCAGTCACTTTTAAGCCCTCGTGTGCAAATTCTTTATTTTTGTACTGTTTTTAAAAATTTGAAAGCAAAAAAAAAAAAAGAGAAAAAAAAAGAAGAAGAGAGGAGGGTGAAAAAAAAAAATTCAGAAAATAATAATAATAATAATAGTAATCTTCTATTCCCCAAAGATTTAAAAGCTGAACGGCGGGACTTCAAACGGTACAAAGCAGACAGCAATAAGCGTGAATTGAAGTCAATATGCTTCATCGAGTTGGGTAAACTTAAGCAAATGTAGCGCTGTCCATAAGTTTCTTTCTTTTTTTCTTTTTTTCTTTTTTCTTTTTTTTTTTTGAGAAAACAGCCTATATTGCATGTTGATGCTGGGCTTTATCCCTCAAAATCTAGAATTTTGGCTCGTGGCATTATCACCTCAAAAAGATTAACCCCCTTCTTGGTCTGTGCATTCCTTCAGTTTGGGCTTCAAGTCGTGAGCAAAAAATAAATTTTAAAAATGCCACCCCTTTCTCTGCACGTAACCGTTGTCGATTCACGCTGCAATATTGGAAGGTTCTCTCATGACCCTTCTCCCCCAACCCTTCCACCTCAAACTTCTGAAAGAGCTTCTTTCATCCCATTCCTACTCCGATGGCAGAAGTTCAACCGGTGAAGAAAACAAAAGAGAACAATCACTGCCTCGCCTCTCTGCTCAAGCTGCTCAAAAGAGGGAAAAGTTTTAAGAGAGGACCCCTCATCTCACCTTCTTACTGCCAGGGAAAAATGTCCACTTTGCGGAGCTGTTGATAGGCAAGAGGAAGACCAATAGGACTCGTGGGAGAATTGACCTCAAAAGTTTGATGAACTTTTGGGAAAAGGTGAGGAGGAGAAATCTGAAAAGGTTTCTCTTTGGAAGGGGAGGAGAAGAAGACAAGGGAGTTCTCACCCATGGGCTTCAACATCTGGATTTTAAGGGACAGACAACTCAAGAACTGAGACCTATCTCCAAAGCTTCTCCAAAGCTTTCTTGGAAGGGACCTCAAGTTTGCATTTCTTGGCCTCCTCCAATCCGTCTCCGGTGACTTGGACTTGACGTAGCTAGAACAACAATGGTCCCGAAGGACGAATTTTAACGCTCGTGGGCCCAGCGAAGAAGTCCTGTAGGATGGAAAATGGGACAAGCGTCTCAATCAAGATTGAGGAGGAGATCTGAGGAAATCAATCCGTGGGCTTGGTGTCCATGTGCTGCTGTTTTCAAAGATCCCATCCTATGCTTCCCCCCCCCACCACCACTCAAAAAAAGAGTACACTGATGAAATTCAATGTATTTGGACTAAACTAGAGCGAACGCACAATTCCACTTTTTTAAAGGGTGGGTAGGGAATCTCCGAGGAAGCATATTCCATAATATATGAAGGGGTGCTTTTGAAAAGTTGAGAAGATGACGTGAAAGAAATGGGGTCCTTCGGTAGCTAGGATGGAAGGCTGGAAGGAGGAGAGCTGAGGAAGGAGGACTCCCTTCCCTTGGTCTGGATGTCCAAGGAAATACGGTTTTTTTATCTCAATGTCTGCTTCTTCCAAGGGTCCTACAAGCTGCTTTGCAAGCGAGGACACTTCTTAAAGAAGAAGTAGCAAGGTTGGGAATAATTGGTTGCCATTTGGAAGAAAGGCAACCTCGGGAGGGATAGTAGGATGGTGCCTTAGGTCGGGCCTAAAGTGCAATGAAGATGATATTATAGATGTTGAGTTTTTTCTTTTTTTTTTTATCTTGCTCTTTTGAGGAAGAAAAAAAAGAAAGGGAGGAGAAGGAAGAAGGAAGGAGGTAGTTCTGGTTTTGAAATGCCTTCATTGTTGACTTGGCAATCAAATAAGCGGCTTCATAGCAAACTCTGTTTTTAATGGCGTTCGGTTTGGTCTAGGCGCAGTGCATTTCCTTCTGTGGTGCTTTGTGATTTCCGCAGCGGTGCAGCCACGCATCCGTCCCACCTGTGCTCCGCCTGCCGAGTTGTAAATGTGTACGTGTGCATGTAAATATGTAGATATATTTATAAATAAGGAAGACCTCGGAACCGTGGTTGTACAATTATTATTATTATTATTATTATTTTTTAAAGTTTAGGTAGGTCCTGAACCCAAGCCACGCCCTCAAGGTGACGTCGTTAAGAAATGCTCTTCAGGTTGTCACGAGTCCAACAACCTGTTGACCTGTCCGCCCGGATGCTTCAACCCCCCTCATGGCTAGGTTCTTTGGGTGTCCTTCCAAGTTGACCTCCAATGAGGTCGTTCTGGAAGATGTTTGATTATAAAGACATCACCATTTTCTCAGAAGCATCTTCGTTGGAGTTCAACGTTTGGCTTGGTGTCTCTAGTTACATGATGATGGTAGGATTGTGCTGTGGTCTTGCTCCATCTGGCCTTAGTATCATCTGGCTTGGCTCTGCATACCCATGGAAGGGAGAACTTTACTAGTGCACTTTCTACTGACCTAATGTCCTCCAGATGTCACCGAAGGGTGGGGAAACTTGAAGTCCACAGATGTTTAGGACACCAGTCAAGGAGGTCTATCTTACTGTATCCGCTGGTACGTGTAGGTCACAAGCATAAAGTTATGGATAAGGCCTTGAAAGAGAAGACACTCACTTTTAACCACAGAAGGTCTCTAGTTTTGACCTTGGTTTGACATCCCGGTGGGCGAGGAGAGGAATTTAAGTGCCTGATTCTCTAGAGATGGTAACTTCTGCTTTGCCATCAGCATTGGGTGCTCTAGAAAAACCAGATTTCAAGGAAAGGACACCTATTTTAAGTTCCCAGCGACACCTGGCGCGTTTTAGTTGTCTGTCTGTCTTTCTGATGCGTAGATTTCAGACATGGTCCTTACGAAAACTTAATGAAGTTTGATGCTGAAAAAAGCTAAATGAGAAGAAATCTTGAAAGGGGGGTATTCTGATGAGACAGTGCTGGAGCGGTTCGTTTTCTTTTTCAGTTTTACTTGGAACCATGCCCTCAGCTCTCCTTTGAAGATAGGTAGAGGTCTTGCCTTTGAGATATTAACAAAGGATTTGTGAGGAAGAAACGTTTTGAGAAATTGGACCTGCTTATCCTGTTGTTGTAGGGCTTGTGTGAAGGAAAAGGGTGGATTTGGACATCAAGACGGGGAGAAATCTCTTTATTGCATTCTTGCAAAGGTGACTGTGCCGACACCTCGATTGCTTTAATTGCCGAAATTTGTGTTGGCTCTGGTGTCCCTCCCCAGATCACAATTCCGTGCCGTGCTGTCTTTCACCGGGCCTTTCAGCGAAGATGGGAAATAGCTTGAAAGCAAAGATAAGACATCTTAACCAAGATGGGACCAAAGCCTTGTTAAATAGAATGTAAATATCTACCAGAGCTTAAGCACAACAAACCAGCTTTTCTTTCTTTGTCCTGTCGAGGCAGCTAAATAGACATGTGCAGGTATAAAGGGAGAATAAAGCAGCAACAAACAATGCTTCCTAGGATAAGCAAACACTAATTTATTACTTTCAAGGAGGCATCTTTCTAGTCAAATTTAACATTATTCATAGTGTTCTAATGTGTTATAGGTCCCTCCCTCCCTCCCTCCTTCCGTTTCCTTCCTTCCTTCCCTTCCTCCTTCCCTATTTCCCTCCTTTCTTCCTTCCCTCTTTCCTTCCTTCCCTGTTTCCCTCCTTCCTTCCTTCCCTCCCTCCTTCCTTCCGCTTCCCTCTTTCCTTCCCTCGTTCGTTCCTTCCCTCCCTCCCTTCTTTCTTCCTTCCGTTTGTTTCCTTCCCTCCCTCCCTCCTTCCTTCCCTGTTTCGTCCCTCTGTCCCTTCCTTCCTTCCTTCCTTCCTTCCTTCCTTCCTTCCTTCCTTCCTTCCCCAATGTTCAAAGCAAAATGCTTCATAAACCATTCTTGATACGTCCTTTTTCAGCTTGTCTTTTATTGGCGGTTTAGAATTCTAGTAACGACAAGGCCTCACGATCAATTCAAGATCTGGGCCCCCCTTTTTCTTTTCTTTTTTTAAGCCTACCCTTTGGTAGCACTTTTGCATGGTTCCGTGTATTTTGTTTGTTTCTATGAGTCTTGTAATCCTCTTTGAGTGGCACATGCTTGGACTTCATTGTATTTTTTTTAAAAAAATGTGGTATGGTCTCAGCCGTCGCAATCCTCTTTTAAGCCCTTTGATGGCGTGGGAACGTTTACAGAAATTTAGCACTGAACCCCGCTGCACACTTTAAAAAAAAAAACAAAACACCACAACTACCACAACCTGTTGTTTCCATTGGCCGATATTTGCTGAGTAATACGATGAGTTGAGTCAGATTTAGAACAGATTTAATTGAAATCTTCAAGTTGGCGAGGGACTTTCTGGATATTCATCTTTCGGTTTGTGGATAACTTAATATGGACCCAATGTAGTGCTAACAGCTTAGAGCGAGAGAGAGAGAAAGAAAGAAAGATAAATATAGAAAGGATATCTTTTTCAGACACTAATGTTCCAGTAAGATAGGATTTGCACTATAATTCAAACCAACTTGCAGGAACTAAAACGCTAGCATGCATTTCTCGATTTGAATCTTGGTAGGGCACTCTTATCGCCTTGTGCTTATTATTAGCAATTATTATTTTCTTCGGTTTGAGTTTTTTTTTTTCTCTTTAAAAAAAGAAAATGAAAGCGGACTTCTTCTTTTTTTTAAACACCATGCCTGGTTTTTGTTCCTAAAAAACGCACCCCGTATTTGGAACTCGTGATAAAAACCTTTTTTTTTGCCTTCTTAGTGGTAAAAAAAATAATAATTATCTAGGCAACGCTAGTCTGTAACCGACTTGTTATTGAAGTGTGACACAAGTGGTAGAGAGTACATACCCACAACTGTTTTTCTCTTAGCATCTCCGCTAAAGGGATGGAAGCACAACCGTTTTTACATTGGCCGAACTCGTTCGAAGTGCTGCTATTCTGTAGTGCATGTCGTCTTGCTGTACATACATTGCTCCTGTCCACGGTGCCATTTTTGATACCCTACCATGTCTTGGTGCCAACCTATCCATGTGACGACTTGAGATTTCTACAACATTCCTGATCTGACACTCTTTTTATTATTATTTTTTTTCCTCTCCTCCCCGATGACTGAGAATTTTTTGGGGTAGGGTGGGGGTATTCTGCTTTACGTCCTTGTAAATGGTTACCCACCCACCCTTCCTCGACCTGCCAAGAATGAATGGCACCTGTGCCATAAGGTCCAGTTGATGTGGAAATCGGTTTCCTGTAATCCTTGTTACACGTGTCTGTTCTGACGTTATCGGAATCCTGTAAGCCATATAGCTTATTCATCCATCTGTCCTTTTTTTTTTCTTTTGAATTTTTCTCTCCCCGTCGGTTGGCCGATTGTTGATCATTCACACTGTGGTTTGTGCTGGTGTCTTTTTTTTTTTTTTCCCTAAAGGGTTCAACACTTTTTTGCTTTTTGAGCACGATATGGGGCAACTTCTGTAGTGTCTATCAACAGCTCCCCATGGTCAACTCTCTCCAAGATAACAGTGATCACTTAATATCGCAGAAATGAGGGAGGGAGTGGGGAAAAGACTCGTTAAAGAAAGGATGCCAAGGAAGGGACAAAAATGAAATGAATGACCCAAAATTTAAAAAGAAATTAAAATGACTTCACATAATTTGTTGAATTGGCCCCATGGCGATTGGCCGTGTTGAGTTGGCTGCGGTGGAGTTGCCCCATTCCGTCGTCCGTCGGCGTCTTTCGATTTGACGAGTTGTGGGAAGACGGTTTCCATCCCGTCCAAATTTTTCAACCAAACACTGTGATCCTCTCTAGAGAGAGACCCCACACAGCGTCCATGGGGACGAGAAACACTTGTCAAGAACCAACCCACATACCTGGCTTTTCCGTCGCCCGAGAAGAAGGGTTTTGCTCTTGGTGTATTGAAGATTTTTTTCCATGCCGGTTATGTTCACTTAGAATGTGAATACATTCGTTGGTTGTGTATAAATGGGTTTTTTTGTATCGAGCCCCACTCGGATTATATGTATAACCAATATACAATAAACATATTTGCTTAATGCTGTTGTCAATTCGTAAAGCATTCCGGGCCTGCTCTCGAGTTGCCATTGGTGGGAGGGGGGGGGGAAACTGATGGAGCAACATGGCAGCAACCATGGTAGCACATTCCACGCATATCTTTCTCAAGGCCGCAGCCTGTTGTGGCCCGTCAGTGGCCTGTGCAGCTAGTAGCTGATTCCGACAGCGAGGAGGCTGGTGTGGTGCTGCGCGAGCAGCCTGTGCAGCTGGCACTCGAGTCAGACAATGAGGAGGCTGGAGAAGATGTGGTGCCAGAGGCCTTCAGAACCTCCAGAAGCTCCTATAAGTGAAGAGGAAGAAGAGGAGGAGCCTCTTCTCGATGCATGAGCGCGCAGAGCTGCTAAAAGGCAGGAGTGGCTCCTCAGGAGGCGGTCTCCTTGAGAGTAAGGCTTGAGGCTAATTGGCCACTCCCTTAGCCTATTTCAGGAAGGAGGATGACTGATGCAATTTGCAGGAGACAACTTGTTCGCATTCCTTTGTGTTTGGATTTTGTTTCTCTTACCCGTTTCCTGCAAATTGTTTCTGGGCAGTCTGCCAACCACAGTAAGATCACAGTTATTATTGTTTGGATTTGTTTCTTGGTTCGGAATAGACTGATTTAAATTAGTAAACTAGGGTTTGTACGGACTTTGTGTGTGCTGCATTCTTTGGGGTCCGTAGCTGGGGCAGAACACAGCCTCGGTTACCAAAGCTAGCAGCATGTTGCTCAGCACTCACGTTGCTGAGTGAGAAATTGGTTAAGGGAGTTTTGCCCCGTTTTACAACTTTTCTTGTCACGTTTGTTAACTGGATCACTGCAGTGGTTCAATTAGGAACATGGTTGTTAAGTGAATCTGGCTTGTCAAAACGTGATCCCATGACCCCGGGACACTGCAACCATCATAAATATGAGTCAGTTGTCAAGCATCCGAATGTAAATAACATGACCAAGGCGATGGTACAGTAATCATAAGTCTTATTCTATTCCATTCTATTCCATTCCATTCCATTCCATATTTTCTGTTCTGTTCTGTTCTGTTCTGTTCTGTTCTGTTCTGTTCTATTCTATTCTATTCTATTCTATTCTATTCTATTCTATTCTATTCTATTCCATTCCATTCCATTCCATTCCATTGCATTGCATTGCATTGCATTGCATTGCATCCCATTCCATATTTTCTATTCTGTTCTGTTCTAGTCTAGTCCAATCCATGCCATTCCATTCCATATTTTCTGTTCTGTTCTATTCTGTTCTATCCTAGCCTATCCTATTCTATTCTATTCCATTGCATCCCATTCCATATTTTCTATTCTGTTCTTTTCTAGTCTAGTCCAGTCCATGCCATGCCATGCCATGCCATATTTTCTGATCTATTCTATTCTATTCTATTCTATTCTATTCTATTCTATTCTATTCTATTCTATTCTATTCCATTGCATCCCATCCCATATTTTCTATTCTGTTCTTTTCTAGTCTAGTCCAGTCCAGTCCATGCCATGCCATGCCATATTTTCTATTCTATTCTATTCTATTCTATTCTATTCTATTCTATTCTATTCTATTCTATTCTATTCTATTCTATTCTATTCTATTCTATTCTATTCTATTCTATTCTATTCTATTCCATTCCATTCCATTCCATTCCATTGCATCCCATTCCATATTTTCTGTTCTGTTCTGTTCTGTTCTAGTCTAGTCCAGGCCATGCCATGCCATTCCATATTTTCTATTCTATTCTATTCTATTCTATTCTATTCTATTCTATTCTATTCTATTCTATTCTATTGCATCCCATTGCATCCCATTCCATATTTTCTGTTCTGTTCTGTTCTGTTCTAGTCTAGTCCAGGCCATGCCATGCCATGCCATGCCATGCCATTCCATTCCATATTTTCTGGTCTGTTCTGTTCTATTCCATTGCATCCCATTCCATATTTTCTATTCTGTTCTGTTCTGTTCTGTTCTAGTCCAACGGACTCCCAATTCCCAGAATTCCCCAGCCAGCCTTCTTTTAAGATGCATACATTATTAACCTTGCTGCCTTAAATCGTAAGGCGTTTTTTGTTTTGGGGGTGGGGGTGGGGGTTGCAAGATGAGAGTCAACGACGCATCCCTCTTTGACATTCTTGGCCAAACCATCATCCGTAGTCCCAAGACCTGGGGGGGAAAAAAAATGATGCTTAAACGCCAGCTCCTTCTCCAACCTGGCGCCCTCCCTATGAGCCGCGGGCGCCCCAGCCTCCCGCTGAATGGCAAGTGGGTGACGTAAGCAGCCTCTTTGGCCCCGCCTTTTGCCGCTCCACCTCCCTATCACGCGAGGGGGCGCGGCCTCCCGGGGCCACTCCCCCTTTAGAACCAGCGCTTCCGTGTGTGTGTATGTATATGTCTGTCTTTTTTTAAAACTCCCTTTTACGTCACTTCCGCCGACGGTTAATCAGGCCTCCGACGTCACTTCCGCTTCCGCTCTTGGAGTTTCACCTTCTGTCACCATCAGCTGGTGAGTCGCTTCCTTCGGCGTCGTTCGTGACCTATTTTTATTTTTATTTTCTTTTTCGGGCTTGAGGCCCGGTAGGCCGCTTCGGGGTAATCCGGTCGACGACAGGTTAAGCCAGCTTGCTTTCTCTCTCTCTCTCCCCCCTCCTTTTTGTGTGTGTGTGTGTGTGGTGTTTGTTAAACCGGTGCGCGTATTGTCCAGAGATTACGGTAGTCAGTTTTCTCTGAGCGCACTGCCCCCCCCCACTATCCACCACGAGTGCCCTCATTTTAGGGTAAATACGGTAACCAGGAAACCAGGAGGGTTCCATAAAGGGAAACGGAAGGCTTTGAATTCTTGGGGTAACCGGTCAAATGGGGTGCATGGGGGGGAGGGGGGGAAAGAGGAGGAACCCCCCACCCCCCACTTCCTAAGCCCTCTTTCTCCTAGGCCAGGGGTGGGCAATTGTGGCTCTTTTTTACAACCTGTGGACTTCAACTCCCAGAATTCCTGAGACAGCTTGGCTGTCTCAGGAATTCTGGGAGTTGAAGTCCACAGGTTGTAAAAAAGAGCCACAATTGCCCACCCTTGGCCTAGGATGTCTTGGCCTTTCAGTGGCTCCTAGGCCGGGGGGGGGGGGGAAATAGATGAGGTCCTCCCCCCCACAACAGGTGGTGAAACCCAGGTTAGCCACAACTCACTTGGGTTGGGTTGGGTTGGGTTGGGTTGGGGGTCTCATCGCCCCCAGGTGACCAACCCACCCGCCCACCCCCAATTGGAAAGGTCTGCTTTGCACAAGGGAAGGCAAATAGTTGGGGTGGGGGGGGAGATGTTTCCTGCAACCCCTTGAACCGTCTTGGCTTCTTCTGCCTGGTTTAGGGGCATTGTGTGAAGGCAGCCCCTGGGTAATTTTAGGAGGGTTGCTCTGTGTTGTCTGTGTGTGTTTAGATGGATGGATGGATAGATGATGGAGGAGAGGGACAGAGATAGATAGATAGATAACAGGCAGATAGACAAACAGATTCATAGATAGATAGGATGATACATAGACAGCCAGACAGATAGACACAGAGATAGATAGATAGATGGATAGATAGATAGATAGACAGACAGACAGACAGACAGACAGATAGATGATAGACAGACAGACAGACACATAGATAGCTAGGATGATAGGCAGACAGACAGACAGATAGATGATAGACAGACACATAGATAGATAAGATGATAGACAGACAGAGAGACACAGAGAGAGAGAGAAAGAGAGAGAGAGAGATGATAGATAGACAGGCAGACAGATGATAGACAGAGACACATAGATATCTAGGATGGTAGACAGACAGACAGACAGACACAGAGATAGATAGATAGATAGACAGACACAAAGATAGATAGACAGACACAGATAGACAGACAGATAGATATAGATATATGGTGTGTACAGTTAATATCTCGGGTTTCTTCCCGTGTAATTGTAAACATATCCTTAAAAGGGTGTATTAAAAAGATATATGGGTGTATATACATATACACTACACACACATACATATATGAATTGCTATGTTTATCTTTATATGTTTTGCATGGGTATATAAATATAAGAGTTGCTCTTTGTGTGTGTATACACATATATACACAGGCATGTATATGCGTATATACATATATAGAAGGATTGCTATGTGTGGGTTACTATATGCTATGTGTCTATATATAATGTATAGAGAAGAGATTTAAATTGTGTGTGTGACATATATGCATAAATGTGTGTGTGCGTGTTTGTATATGTATATCTAATCTATATCTCTATATAAACAGAGAGAGAAAAAAAGGTGGTGCTATGTTGACTTAAAGCTTAGCTTATTTTTCATGCTGTGTGACTTTTCTTGATGTTGACTGGTATAGCAAAAATATGTGCTGAAAGGAGAGCAAAGAAGCTGGACATATTCTGGACACCGGAAGAAAACACAAAAGGTCCCATTTCCCGGTTATTTCTATTTTCTTCCCCGCCTAACCTCCTTTTGCTGTAGGTTTGATTAACTTGGGGAGTCCATATCAATACATGAACTTCAAACACTGTTTTAATTGTATTTATTCCTGGATTCAGTGGTCTCCCTCTCCTTACTGAACTTAAATTAACTCCCCCTCCCCAATGCAATAACCTGTTGAGGTCAGGTAAGTTAAGGAATAGGTACTGGTGCAAAGGTTCATGTCCAAGTGGGTTTTTGAGCATCTTACTCAAATTCTCTGCTCTCTCTGGACCAAGCTAAACCATTTTTGGAGTCATGGAATTCCAAAGCTAAGCTCACATATATAACCATTTCCCAGACTTGCATAACTAATTCTTCCAATTATGGAGTCTTCTGGAAGATAAGCTACAACCCGACACAGTCTTCTTAACCTTAAGTGCATCAGGAGCGCATTTGAAATCTTTCTCCTCCTGTCATCTTGCTTTATTACTACTGCTTTCCTTCAGCACTGCCATTATAAGAGAGAGAGGAGTGTATTTTTAGGCATTAGAAATGAAGCTTCTCATTGCCATTAGTTCTTCTGCTTTCAGAATGAGAACAGAGTGCCAAATTTGGAATTGTGATCTCCAGGGAAACATTATCCCTGATGGTGATTATGTGAAACCCAAGTGTTCAATATTTGGTTTCTGTACTTTATAAAACACCACTAAACGTCTTGATATAGTCATATTTAACATAGTATGGCAAAAAAAAAACCCTTGGTATGGTTTAAGAGCCAAGGTGGCGCAGTGGTTAGAGTGCAGTACTGCAAGCTACTTCAGCTGACTGCTAGCTGCACTTCAGCAGTTCAAATCTCACCGGTTCAAGGTTGACTCAGCCTTCCGTCCTTCCGAGGTGGGTAAAATGAGGACCCAGATTGTTGGGGGCAATAGGCTGACTCTGTAAACAGCTTAGAGAAGTCTGTAAAAGCACTGTGAAGCAGTATATAAGTCTAAGGGCTATTGCAGGTTAACTCTGCCCACTGCCAGCAGTTTGATTCTGAGAGGCTCAAGGTTGACTCAGCCTTCCATCCTTCTTGAGGTCGATAAAATGAGGACCCAGATTGTTGGGGGCAATATGCTGACTCTGTAAACTGCTTAGAGAAGGTTGTAAAAGCACCGTGAAGCGGTATATAAGTCTAAGGGCTGTTGCTATTGCTATCTCAAAATTACTCTGGTCTCTGATGAGAGATCAGTATTTCAGTGCGGCAGTATTTAGTGTCAGGCAGCTTTTGCAGAGTTGCCTGGAACACCGTGAATTATTCATAGTGGTTTATATTGGTATCAGGTAGGTAGGTAGCCTGAGCTCACGAGAAGCTTATTGCCTTTATATGCTTGGTGAAAAGGCTGTCCTTCAGCTGATGGATCCTGCATTGGTAGGTTTATTTTTTTGCTATAACAATAAACCAGGGTTTATTGTTTAAACCCTGGTGCACCTCAACGGGAGAATCCCTCCGATATCTCAAACCAGCAAAAACCCAAGGTGTTGAGAAAGAGCCATCCTGTATTACAGTAATATCTTCCATATATTCTAATGCTTTTTGTGATTTTTTTTTTGTTTGGTCTTAGTCACGCCCTTGCTTTGAACAAACCCTGTTTGTTGTTGTAAAACTGGATTTTTCCTTCTGGTTGTGAAGAAACATCCTTTCTTTTCAGGCTTAACTGTACAGAAAAAAACAGCCAGCTGGAAATTGGCAAGAAATGTATAACTTTGATTCAGTTGACAAGATGACATCACCATCAAGTTTTGATTGGAGCTAGTTTGGTCTAGTGGTTAAAGGCTCCGGGCGAGATTATGAGTTCAAGTCCTGTATTAGTTGTGAATTGAAAGCCAGCTGGGTGACTTTGGGCCAGTCCTTCTCTTTCAGCCCACCTAACCCACCTTCAGCCCACCTTTTTCAACCTACCTAAAAAGGTTGTTAGGAGGAAGATGCGTTGGATATGTTTGCTGACATGAATTATTTGTAAAACTAGTAAAGGCAGTTATGAAATATTTTTCTTGCCCTAAATTAATAGACAAATTCTTTTTAAGCTATCCTTGCTGAATGTTATATGAGATCCTTCTTAATGTTCCTGTTAAGGAATTCGCAGAGCAACCCTTGAGTAGCAAGGGTGTGCACATGAAAGCGATTGAGACTGGTTACAAAATAAACACAGCCAACCCACAGATACACTGAGTTGTGTTTACTAGGAAATAGTAATAAGGCACAGTCCAATAAACAGTCCAGGTCATACACAGATAAGCAGTAGATAGTTAAACAATAGTCCAGGGATAATCCAATAACAAAGTCTTCTTACCAGTCGTTGTAGTCATACACAATAATCAGTTCTTCTGTATTTGCAAACAGTAGCAAAACACAGCAAAGAGCAGTATCGATCAGCAAAGAGAGACAAACCATGTTTCTTGCTTCCTCTTAAGGACATTGGCTACAGAGCTAACCAATCAGTATGATGCAATACAGCAATACAGCAGTCTTAAAGCTATAATGATGGTTTATACTGTATATTGCCAACGCAACAAGTTAGGTAAAATCATTTCCTAACAGTTCCCCTCCCCAGCTGATTGAAATACTTGACTAGGACCAAATAGATTATTAAAGGAACAATAAAGAATTGGATCCATTAAAAAAAAACACCACCTGCGTCCTCATTGGCTAAACTGCTTGCAGTTGATCAAATTCTGTTGGGGTGAAGACTACAGTTCAAAAAAAAGATTTTGATTATTCTGTACGTAGAGTTCATGGCCTTAAAGTGATTTTCGTAAATACCTTGATGATAATGCATGTGTGATGGTGGTGTCCAGTTTCCAAAAAATTTCTTCTTCTTTTTTTTTTAATCTACCAGCACGATTGGATTATGAGCCCCTTGAGGGAACGGAGCTGATTGAATGGAAGATTCCTGCCGTCCATTGCTGGGGGGCATCTGAGTGAGGGGAGCTTTTGGTTTCTGAATGCCGGGCACCCTAGCCAGAAGAAGATGTTTGCCAAACTGAAGAAGAAGATTGCTGATGAGGCTGCTACTACCCCACGGCCTGGGGGGCTAGCCAGGATGCCCAGATCGATCAGCAAAGAATCTGTCACGTCAGCAGGAGCAGAGTCGGGGGACGATTTCGTAAGTGTCAGAGGTGGCCATAAATTGTTTCTGTAAATATTTTCCCAGCCCTTTTTTTGACTCGTGTGGTAGACAGGTCTTCAATGGAAGGCAGGTTGGTAGCCATTGTCCTTTCTGCAGTTCTAATTATCCTCTGAAGTCTGTGTCTGTCTTGTTGGGTTGCAGAACCAAACCAGACAGTTATAGAGGTGCAGAAAATAGCTCATATTACTTAGTGTGACTAATGCTTCCTAACATTGGTAAAGGACTCAACCGATCTGTTGGGAGAAGTTTGTAAAAAACATGAAATGAGTCGGTGCTTTCCTTACTCCTAGAGGTAGATTAGTCCATGAGGAGTTGGTTTCGGTGAGTTCTAGTCCCACCATAAGCATGAAAGCCAGCTGGGTAACTTTGGGCCAATCACCAGGAGACAGTTCTAGTCCCACCTAAAGTCGGCTGGATGATTCACTCTCAACCCAATCCACCTCACAGGGTTGTGTTTTGTGGAGAGAAAAATGAGGAGGAGGAGAGAATATTATCGCCCAATGCCAGATGCAAGAAGGGGGAAAATCGTTTAAAATTGTTATTGTTATTGATAGTAAAGTTGGGATAAAAAGAAATTAAGGAAAAGGGGATAGTATCCAAACTTTTTGTTTAATTCCAGAAATTAATCTGAATGTGTCTCTTGTGTTCTTCCTACCAAGCCATCTGATGGAAGCAGCTCCAGAGAAGACCTCTCATCTCAGCTGTTCCGAAGAAATGAACAAATACGGAAGCTGGAAGTCAAGCTATCCGGTATGTTTCTTGTCGTACAAAGAGGATACTAGTCAGTGGTGAGGTTAATAATTTTTGCTACTGGTTCGTTGGCCGTGGCTAGGTGGGGGGAGGGGGGCATGTGACTGAGTGGGCGTGGCCAACTTGACGTCACTTACACATGCCCACTCAGTCACATGACACCCCCCCTAGCCACACCCACAGGAAAAGGTAGGAAAATCTTTGGAATTTTCACCTATCTACCTCCGCCCGCCCTTCGCCAGTTGTTCCCCATTTCCCCTCCTTTAGTGGCCCCGGCCCTGGCCCCGCTTCCTCTCCCGCCACCGCCTCTTTGTTTGGGCTGCTTATCTTCTGCGGTGGCTGGTCCAGAGTCCGGAAGGCAAGCTGATAGGAGTTTTCAGCAGCCCCCAGCCAGCCACTGCTGCTGGAAAGCGGCTGGCAAAGAAGCCTCTTTGAGAGCTGCTTTGCGGGTGCGGCGGCTGCCCACAATATCGAAAAATACCGGAGGTCGCGGAAAAAGCTGCTGCCGTCGCCATGTTCTGCATCCCATTAAACTTGCAAGGCAATGGGATGCGCATGCATGAGGAACATGGCAGCGCTGAACATGGCGGACGGGGCAAGCGAGCAGTGGGCGGGGGACCAGTTCGGGGCCATCGCTACCAGTTCGGCGACCTTGGCCAAATTTCCACCAACGGTTTGCGCGAACCGGTGCAAACCGGCTGAATACCACCTCTGATACTAATTTCAAAAAAAAAAACAAAAACATATAAAATAATTCTTCCTTTCCATTCAGATTTTAAAATATCTAATTCCTTTCTCCCCTCCCGCCCTTTGTCTGTCTGTCTGTCTGTCTGTCTAACTGGTTGGTGCCCACCCCATCCTTCCACTAAGATTACGCTGAACAGGTCCGAAACCTGCAGAAGATCAAGGAGAAGCTGGAAAACGCGTTAGAGACGCATCAAGATTGTACGTACCTGTTCTTTCCCATTTTATAAAGCATTGGAAACCTCAGGAGAAGACTTTTAAAAATAATTACCATATTTGATGAGAGAGAGAGAGAGAGAGAGAGAGAGAGAGAGAGAGAGAGAGAAAGAAAGAAAGAAAGAAAGAAAGAAAGAAAGAAAGAAAGAAAGAAAGAGACAATATTGAACCCGGAGAGGTTAATTCTGGCTAGGCGTCAGTCTTCTCCCTAAACAGGTAGATCCCCGCTTTCATTCAGGCGGTTTTCACTTACCTTCCCGCCTTCTGTTGTTGCCCACACAGCCTTTGTGAAGAAACTCCAAGAGCAGAACGAGACACACCAGAGCAACATGGGCAAGATGGCGGAAGAGATGAGCCTGACGCTGGAGAAGAAAGACCAGGTAGCTTGTCCGGTGAAATGTCACTGCAACTCTGCCTTTGAAGGTGGTATACAAACCATTCAGGAGAGAGAGATGGATTTTTCCTGGATTCTGGAACCTCCCAGGAAAAAAACGAATGGAATGGAATAATAGAATAGAATAGAATAGAATAGAATAGAATAGAATAGAATAGAATAGAATAGAATAAGAGAAGGAATGGAATGGAATGGAATAGAAAAGAAAATATGGAATGGAATGGAATGGAATGGAATGGAATGGAATGGAATGGAATGGAATGGAATGGAATGGAATAGAATAGAATAGAATAGAATAGAATAGAATAGAATAGAATAGAATAGAATAGAATAGAATAGAATTCTTTATTGGCTAAGCTCTCAGTCTACATAGTTTAGTTTAGTTTAGTTTTATTGAATTTCTATACCGCCCTACTCCCGGAGGACTCAGGGCGGTGAACAGCCACGAAATAAAACACATACATATAAAAATTTAAAATCGAATAAAATGAATTAAATAAATTTGGCTGAATTAATACCCATAATTTTAAATACCCATATTTTAAAACACATTAAAATTTAAAATTTGCACTTAAAAGGGAAAAGATTTAGGCGAGGCCTAAATAAAAGATACATTTGTCAAGAATCATAAGGTACAACACTTAATGATAGTCATAGGGTACAAATAAGCAATCAAGTCATATTAGGAAACTATCAATATAAATCGTAAGGATCCAAGCAACAAAGTTACAGTCATACAGTCATAAGTGGAAGGAGATGAGAAGATTAATAGTAGTGCAAATAACGACTGTGCCTTTAAGGAAGGAGTCCTCTCTGTGATGTAACACAAGCATCTTTCTCTCTTTCTTTCTGGTGATGTCAGAGCAGCTGTTTGAGCATTGAGGTTCTTTCCTGTGGGCCTTGGCGGTCTCTACCCCTTTCCTTGCTTTTCTTTTACCGAGTCCTTCCGGGCAAAACCCTCCTTCGTGCTGGCGCTCAGGGCAGCCATGCTGATGTTGAGTTGTCCCTTTCTCTTTTTCCAGGAGTGTCGAGAAAAACTATCCCATCTGGAAAAGGTGAGCTGGCTTGAAACCGAGGACGGATAAACATGGCGGTTGCTTTGGTTGGGGAATCTCCAGAATTAAGGTCTTGGGGGAGGGGGAAAGGAGGGGGGCTCAGATGATGGACATTTGGGTCTCTTAAGGGGCGCTGCAGAAAGAAAACAATGAGCCGCGGTGGCGCCAGTGGTTAGAGTGCAGTTACTGCAGGCAACTTCTGCTGCCTGCCGGCTGCCTCTAATTTGGCAGTTCGAATCTCACCAGGCTCAAGGTTGACTCAGCCTCCCATCCATCCTTCCGAGGTGGGTAAAATGAGGACCCAGATTGTTGGGGGACAAGAGGCTGACTCTGTAAACCGCTTAGAGAGGGCTGTAAAAGCACTGTGAAGCAGTATATAAGTGCTATTGCTTTAGGGCGGATGGGGCTCAAAGGCAGGGGTGAATTCTATTTACCTTCCTTACTGGAAGTGCGTGCGTGGCATGCACAGAGGGTAAAAAACACATTACTTTTTGGGTAAAACCAGGAAGTTACAATACCCAGGCAGGTGGGCGCAGCCTCGCGCTGCCATCGCTACTGGTTCTCCGAAACACTTGCCACAATCGCTACCGGATCACCCGATCTGATCCGAACCGGGAGCATTTCACCCTGGTCAAAGGCCACCGCTTCCAAGTGACCCAAAATGAAAGAGCTATATCAGCCTCCAAATCCTTGCAAGTCCTTCAGAAATGCCGTTGTCTTGTAAGACTGGATTTCCAGATCCTAAACTATCTGAGATAGTTCCTCCTCCTTACCTATTTTTTCCAAACCTGCTTTAAGTTTTGCCCTGAAGTTGACACTTTCCTTCCTTATTTTTATTTTATTTTTTTCCCCCCTATCCTTGTGCTTCGGCTGCTAAACAGGAGAGGAAGCTCCTTTCGGCTCAGTTGCAAGAAATGAGAGAACAGAGTTTGAATCTATTCCAGAAGAGGGATGAGATTGACGAGCTGGAAGGCTTCCAACAACAGGAGCTCGCGAAAATCAAGCACATGGTGAGGATTCCTTCAGGTTGGGACACCATATTTCCATATTTTCTTCTGTGATTGTGGTTGATGGAGGCGTGGCTTCTGGTCCCAAATGCACCAAGCACACTTTTAATATTTATTTTCCTACCTTGAATCGTGCCTTCCTTTCCCTCTACCCTTTCTTACCGGTGGGCAAACCTTTTCATTCCATCCTGTCTTGCATGCAAGTCCTCACGAAGGCTCCATTTGAGAGAGTGGAACTTTTTCAAAAGACTTGGGGTGGACTGCTTGGAAACATTTCGAGCTCAACGTGATTTTAGGGGCCCTTGGTGCTCTCTGAGCTTGGTCGTTGTTTCCTTGCGCATGTTTCATTACCCAAAATAGGTAACATCAAGTCTTGTGTCAACCTGCGATATCTATCATTTTCCCTGCTGCAATTTATCTAAGTGGCTAAATTATCTAAGTGGCTAAGTGTTTGTGGGCTGAGAGAACCCCCTGTGTTAAGCACCTCAAATTTGAAAAAGTTTCTCTACCCTGTTTTCCCGAAAATAAAGACCCAACCAGAATATAAGTCCTAGCATGATTTTTCAGGATGCTCGTAATATAAGCCCTACCCCCAAAATAAGCCCCAGTTAAGATTGTCGGCCAGATGGGTGCATTTAGTACCGCATTTTCCCCAAAATAAGACCCAACCGGAAAATAAGTCCTAGCATGATTTTTCAGGATGCTCGTAATAGAAGCCCTACCCCCAAAATAAGCCCCAGTTAAGATTGTCGGCCAGATGGATGCATTTAGTACCGCATTTCCCCCAAAATAAGACCCAACCGGAAAATAAGTCCTAGCGTGATTTTTCAGGATGTTCGTAATATAAGCCCTACCCCCAAAATAAGCCCCAGTTAAGATTGTCATCCAGATGGGTGCATTTAGTACTGCATTTCCCCCAAAATAAGACCTAACCAGAAAATAAGCCCTAATGCGTCTTTTGGAGCAAAAATTATATAAGACCCAGTCTTATTTTTGGGGAAACGCGGTAAACATTTACATACATGATATTATAATAATCAGCATTCAATTAGAATACTAAGGGGATGTAAGGCACTTCTTCCTTTTAATGTATTTTGTTTTTGTTTTTAAAAATATTTTGGTGTTTGTGTTTTAACTTTCTTTGAATGAACTATTATTTTTTTAAAAAAAAATAAGAGTTCCTTGTTAAACATCTAGCTTCTGAAAAAGGAGGAGTCCTTGGCCCAGATGGAGGAAGAGCTGAGGTCTTCCACCCAGGAGTTGCTACAAACACGAGACGAGCTACAAGCCTCACAGGACTTATCCTCGCGCCTGGCCAGAGAAGTTCAGGAGCTGCAAAAACAGCAGGGGGACCTTACAGTGGAAAGGTAGGAGAAGATGTTAGCTGCCTGAGAGGAGAGGGAGGGGGGGGTGTCTCCTGAGTCATACCGGCCACTTTTACTACTTGGAGAAGGAAGCAGTGAGGGAATTGGCTTGGCCTCATGTCTGTGGCTCTTTTCACTATCAGCCTTTTGAGTCAGGAGACAGGATGAAGTTTCTTAGGTGGCCAGGCCAGATGTAGGACCATCAATGGCCCAGCAGCATCGTATTTTCGGAATCCTCTTTCAATGAGGAGTTGACCTAACAAGACTTCCAACTGAAAGAACTTGTTACGGTCTCCAACCTACATGGCTGTCCAGCTGCTCAGCGTTGCCCTGTCGTAAGACAGGCGGGCCGATAAATTTAATAAATAAACCTTTTGGCTTATCTGGGCAGCCTTGACTGAAGAGGAATTGTCTTGGGCCACATACAAAATGTATAACATCGTTAAGTAACACAATTCCTTTTATGTTTTTACAATCTCATGGGGCTGCATTACTAGCTGCCCAGGACCACGGATTAGACACACCTGACTATAAAATATCCCACCTCTCTAGATGTTTACAGGTGTAAAAAAAAAACCCCACTCTGTAATTACCATGTGAACCGTCTTCTCTGGACATTGACCAATGGCCATTTTGAGTATCTCCTCCTTGGGCAAACCGGTTTGATTCGCACGTCTTCTTCTTCTTGTGCCATATCCGTCATCGGACGTTGGCTATCATGTTGGCAATTCTATTTTTGTCAACAGCCGCATGAAAAAGTGCTGCTGAGTTTTGTCCAAACCGTTCCCTTAAGTTTTGAAGCCATGATCTTCTTCTTCTGCCTGGACCTTGTTTGCCTTCAACCTTTCCCTGAAGAATTAAGTGAAGGATGCCGTATTTTGATGGGTGTCGCATCACAGGTCCAAAATATTCTAACTTTCGCTTTTTAATGGCTTTGATGATTTCCCTTGGCTTTCCAGGCGGCTGGCTTATCACCTCCTTATTTGTGATTTTGTCAACGTGGCTTATACGTAACAGCCGTCTGTGAAATCCACATTTCAAATGCTTCTAGTTTCTTCAAGTGGTTTTCTGTCAGGGACCAACTCTCCACTCCGTAGAGCAGGATAGAAAAAATGTAGCATCTGACAAGCTTGATTTTCAGTCTTAGGCGTCTGTCGTGACTTCAGAAGACCTTTTTTCATTTTGAAGAATGCCGTTCGAGCTTTCTCTGTCCTTGTCTTTACTTCACTGATCACGTCCCAGCTTTCATGTCAATTAAAATCGAGGTACGTGATCCTTTCAACTTTTTCTAGTGGTATTCCTTCCGAATTGATCCGTGGCAAATTAAGGGGTTGTTTGCCATGATCTTGGTTTTTGAGGTGTCAAGCCGTATTTTTCAGATATTTCTGAGACTCTGTTGATGAGGAGCTGAAGGTCTTCATGCTTACTGGCGAGCAGAACTGTATCATCAGCATGTCTTAAATTGTTGATCTGAACACCGTTGACTGATTCGCACAAATGAAGGCAACTGTGGGTGTCCAGGATAGTGTTATAAGATTGTAAAAAAAAATAAAGCGTGTGTTATTTATATACATTAACTATATTACATATTTCAGTGACCGACCCAGATTGGATCCTGTTTTTTTTTTTTTTAATTTGATTTATATGCCGCCCTTCTCCGGAGACTCAGGGCAGCTTACAATGCATTAAGCAATAGCCTTCATATTTTTGTATATTTTATACAAAGTCAGCTTATTGCCCCCACAAACTGGGTCCTCATTTCACCTACCTTAGAAAGGATGGAAGGCTGAGTCAACCTTGAGCCTTGGAGAGATTCGAACCAGCAGAAATTGCAGGCAGCTGTGTTAATAACAGGGTGCGTAGACCACTGTACTATCAAGGCTCTTGTTTGATTCTCTTGCTGACGTTGAACGTCGTGTGCTCACTAAAAAGATTTTCCTTCTGGCTAGGAACAGGGAAAAATCTCCAGGCTTCGAGCTTTGACCGAGAAGAGCTTCTGAATTTGACCTGTTGGCTCAAAAGTTTCTCTTCCCCTCTTCCACGCAGGGATGAGCTCAGAGATGCCAGGGAGAGCGCAGAAAGCAAAATCACCAGCTTGGAAGAGCGGAGCCAAGAGCTGCAATCCTACGTCCAACGCCTGTCCGTAGATCTGCAGGAGGTCGGTTGTGTGACATGTGGGGTCCTATCCTGCTTCTTCCCTCTTCCCATCGAGGCTGGCACTCTGATGTGCGTAGCTGCCGAACCTCTGAAAGGAGCAGAGAGGGGAGGGGTTACCAAAGATGGCACACACAACCCGGGTTCTTAGACAATTCACTTTCCTGATGGATGTACTATGCAAAGTAGCACTTCAGTTGGCCATGTTCGGCTCTTTGCAACTCCTCAACAGAAGGCTACCGGTAGTTCCTGGGGAGGAATTGTTAAATTTAGTGGGCAGGGCTTCTACAGGTGGTAGGTCACTGGTGAAATTCAAATTTTTTTTTTACTATCGGTTCTGTGGGCGTGGCTTGGTGGGCGTGTTGGGTACTGCAAAATCTCCATTCCCACCCCACTCCAGGGGAAGGATACTGCAAAATCTCCATTCCCTGCCCACTCCAGGGGAAGGATATTGCAAAATCTCCATTCCCACCCCACTCCAGGGGAAGGATACTGCAAAATCCCCATTCCCACCCCACTCCTGGGGAAAGGATACTGCAAAATCCCCATTCCCTGCCCACTCCAGGCTGTTTTTTGGGCATTTTGGGCCATTTTTCCGGCCGTTTTCCGGCTGTTTTTTGGTCATTTCCCAGCCATTTTGGGGGTCAAAAATGGCCTGGAAATGGCCCCAAAATGCCCTGAAAACAGTCCAAAAAACAGCCTGAAAATGGCCCCAAAATGCCCTGAAAATAGTCCAAAAAACAGCCTGAAAATGGCCCGGAAAACGGCCTATTTTTTGGCTGTTTTTTTGGCCGTTTTCAAGCCATTTTATAGCACTCTGGCACCTGTGAAGACCAGCTGGCTGGCGCATATGTGCACGCTGGAAAACAGAAGAGCAGCTGGCGACGGCGCGTGTGCCCACAGAGAGGGCTCTGGTGCCACCTTTGGCACACGTGCCATAGGTTCACTATCACAGCCTTAAAGCATCCCAGGGACAGTTGACCTCGGGGGCAGAGGCAGAAATCTTTCCCTAAAGACGTCCTCGACCCATCAGATGTCCCGGAGTAGATTTCAGGATCTCTTTTTTTCTTGAATCTCACCTAGGCTCAGCTGGCTGCCTCTAGTGCGGAGAAGAACCTGGACGTGCTGCAGGGAGAACACAGATCCCTGAAGCTGGAATTTCAAGAGCAAAGGCAAAAGGTTAGAGATCTCAGCCGGTGGCCTTAAACATTGAGAACAAGTAGGAGTTTGGGAATAAGGATTTCTCTTCCTTTGGATTCTCCTGCTTAGCTTTGGGCTCCAAGAAATGGCCGGGCCGCAAACTCAATCATCTCCAAGCCTTACTCCTGAGTCGTCCCTTTTGTCTTAACTGTTCTTGCCTTCTGGCAGCTCTGTGCATGCGTGCACTAGGAACAGGTTCCCCCTGTTCCTCCGCCTCGCTGACGTCAGACTCTGGGGGCTCCGGAGGCAACACATAACTCCCAGATGGCCCTGGCCCCATCTCTGCCTCCGACGCAGAGCCTTCCCCAGACTCCAGGACTGGCCCACGTTCCTCCTCAACCTCCTCACTGTCCGATTCTGCTGCCAGTTCCGCAGGCTGCCGGCAGACCACAACACAAACGTCTTTCGGGCAGGCCGGAGAAGGGAGACCTCCCCTCTCCTTTGTAAGGCAGGTTTGCCTGACAGCCTCTCTAGCCGATGGGCTGCCAAGCGTCTCCTCTGTGTTGTCAACAGATGGCTCTCCAAGTGGAGGAGAAGACTCAGCTGGTGGACCAACTGCAGGAGAAGGTAGCCGTCTTGGAGAAGCGATTGGAAGGCAGCCTCTCCGGGGATGAACATTTTCAGGAGCTGTTCAGGGAGGTGAGCAGAGATGGATTGGGACAGCGGGAAGAGGGGTCCGCTGAGGTGAGCCACTGACTGAGAGAGTCTTATGGGTCTGAATAGGAATAGGAATAGGAATAGGACCGTGATGGCGAACCTATGGCACGCGTACCACAGGTGGCACGCGTAGCCATATCAGTGGGCATGCCAGCTCAGCTCTGGTGCGCATGTGCGTGCCAGCCACCTGATTTACAGGCCTTTTGGGCCCACCAGAAGTAGGGAAACAGGCTGTTTTCTGCCTCCGGAGGGCCTGGGGGTAGGTGGGGAAGGCTGTTTTCGCCCTCCCCAGATGCATAGAGAGGATCTGGAGCCAGGTGACAAAGAAAAACGGGCCAGGAGCAAGGGGGGAGGGGGGGTTGGCTCGCATGCGCAGGGTGGGGCGCATAGAATTATGGGTGTGGGCACGCACATGCGCGAACCTCCCCCGCCCCCCCCTTCTTGGCACACAATGGCAAAAAGGTTAGCCATCACTGGAAGAGGAAGAGGAAGAGAAGAGAAGAGAAGAGAAGAGAAGAGCTTTACTGTGAATGTTCTACTCACCCCCTTTGGGCAAATTTCATTTGGTGACCCCAGTTCCCTTCGACACATGGCTTCCAGAGGTTGGGATCCCTGTCATTCCTTTGCTATCATTTCAGCAAATGATAGCAGCTGAAACCCAATGCCTCTGATACGGTGAATTTGCTGATCTCCTTGTTATAATCTGGATAGAATTAACAAGTCAGCCTGGGAAAAGGCATAAAGTGCTTCTGAATTAATTTGCACAATCTATTTTGTTATGGGTGTACTTTAGTGTTGTTAATTGGTTTGTGTTGTTGGTTGGCTCACCATCAATTTCTGAGGGGTAATATATCCTCTCGTTTCCTTTTCCTCCTCCTCTCCTCTCCTCTCCTCTCCTCTCCTCTCCTCTCCCTTTCCCTTTCTCCTCTCGTCTCCCTTTCCCTTTCCACTGTCCACTCCTCTCCCTCTCCCTTTCCCTTACTTTTCTCTCCCTTTCTCATTCTTCTCCTTACTCTCCTCTCCCTTTCTCCTTACTTTCCTCTCCTCTCCCTTTCTCTCTCTTCTCCTTACTCTCCTCTCCCTTTCCCTTTCTCTCTCTTTCTCTCCTCTCCTTCCCCTTCCAGAAAAGTGCTCTCGAGCAAAGCCTGGAAGACACTCGACAAGAGCTCCTGACGGCCCAAACCAGTCACAAGGAGAGCCAAAATCTCCTGGAAACTCAGGTAAGGCCACGTAAAATCAATCTGTCCAGTCTTGAGAGTCTCTTTGGTCCGAAAAGAAACTGATTCCATTGCTTATATTTCTGGGGGAAATTCTTGGCTTGGTAAAGGCCAAGAGATTAATTTTAAAGAAGTCTTGAGTACTTCCGGTTTGTGATATTTGGGGTTGCGAGATTCACTGAGCATGTACAGAGTTGCCTTTGCTTGGACTTAGTTTTAGATTCTTGGAGGCCACTATAGATCTGTCCTCAATTTATCATCTGATTGCAATTTACATTTGGTTTTTTTCCCCCCTTGAAACTGGTGTTTACTTCCAATTTCTGGCCAAAAGATGCCCTTGGCGGACAAAGGATATTTTTTAACAACCCCTGTAAAAAAAAAAAAAGGCCTTAAAATTAGGCATGGCCACTTCACCAGCTTAATGACCAACATGACTTAGGACCATAATTCTGCACTAAATTACGGTCATAAGTCAAGGAGCTGTTGAGGGCTGGAGACTGGGGCTCTGATACGAGATCTTCCCCTTGCTTGCATTGTCCTTAATTTACCCTGAGGCAACACAAACGTCCCAGGTTGCGTGGGGGGATGTTCCTGCCCTCTTCCTGGAGGGAAGGCTCACCTGCAGGATATGTGTGTCACTCTGCACAGGTACAGTATATGTGGTACCTTGCTCAATAGTAGTAACTGTGAGAGGGATCTTGGAGTCCTAGTGGACAACTATTTAAATAGGAGCCAGCCGTGTGCAGCAGCTGCCAAAAAAGCCAACACAGTTCTAGGCTGCATCAACAAAGGGATAGAATCAAGATCATGTGAAGTGTTAATACCACTTTATAAGGCCTTGGTAAAGCCACACTTGGAATCCTGCATCGAATTTTGGTCGCCATGATGTAAAAAAGATGTGGAGAGACTAGAAAGAGTGCAGAGAAGAGCAACAAAGAGGATTAGGGGACTGAAGGCTAAAACACATGGAGAACGGTTGCAGGAACTGGGTATGTCTAGTTTAATGAAAAGAAGGACCAAGGGAGACATGATAGCATCTTCCAGTATCTCAGGGGCTGCCCCAAAGAAGAGGGAGTCAAGCTATTCTCCAAAGCACCAGAAGGCAGGACAAGAAGCAACGGGTGGAAAGTAATCAAGGAGAGAAGCAACTTAGAACTAAGGAGAAATTTCCTGACAGTGAGAACAATTAATCAGTGGAACAACTTGCCTGCAGAAGTTGTAAATGCTCCAACACTGGAGGTTTTAAGAAGATGTGGGATAACCATTTGTCTGAAGTGGTGTAGGGTTTCCTGCCTAAGAAGGGGGTTGGACTAGAAGACCTCCAAGGTCCCTTCCAACTCTCTTATTCTATTCTATTCTCTAGATCAGCCAGCTGAACTGCAGGTTGGCCACGGAAGAAGCGGGCCGGAGAGAGAAGGAGGAATCCCTCCGGCATCTCCAGGCGAGCAGGTCGCAGCAGGTAAAGAAATGCTTTCTTCAAGATCCTTGCAGGGCGGGAAGGAGGGAGAGACGGGAGGAACCGAAGGGCCAGGAGCCGAAGAAAAAACAGCCTCTCGTTTCTTTGTAGCTGCAGGATTTGGAACAAGCCCTCCAGCTGGCCAAAGAGGCCGTGGCCAGGAGCCAAGATGAGCTCAGGGGGAAGGAATTGCAGCTCCAAAAGCTGGTAAGCGGCCCGAGAAGAGATTCCATTTCTGGTAACGTTGCTCCGAACGAGGCAGAGGGGAAAGATCCTTGACAGGCAGCGAGAAGACGCAGAAGCAGAAGGGATTTGTCTCGGCCTGAAGTTAAATCATCCTCAGGAATTCAAGGCGGATCAGCGGCCAGTTTCTGTTCCAAGCCTTCCATGAAACTTGGGTTTCTTTCTCATTGCCTCAATTTTTTCTTCTAAGCAGTTATGCACCTCATGGAGGGTTAGACTTTTCCCTTTCCTTTCCTTTCCCCTTTTTCCTTTCCTTTCCTTTTTTCCTTTCCTTTCCTTTTTTCCTCTTTCCTTTCCTTTCCTTTCTTTTTTCCTTTTCTTTCCTTTTTTTCCTTTCCTTTCCTTTTTCCTTTCCTTTTTTCCTTTCCTTTCCTTTTTCCTTTCCTTTCCTTTCCCTTCCCTTCCCTCTTTCCCCTCTCCCCTTTCCTCTCTCTCCTTTCTCTCTTTTCTTTTGTTTCTTTTTCCTTACCTCTTCCTTTCCTTTCTCCTTCCCTTTCTCCTTCCCTTTCATCTTCTCTTCCCTTTCCCCATTTAACACTTTTCTTTCTGTCTCCTCTTCCTCTCCTCAGCAAGTAGATCTGGAGTCGGAGCGGGTCAAATCCCGAGAAGGCCTCTCTTCCATGCAGTCTCAGTGGATGGACCAAGTGAAGCAGCTGGAAAAGCAGGTTGCTGACCTTGAAGCTGCTCAGACGTTGGAAAGGGAGGCTGCCCGGCAGAAGTCCGTGAGTGGGCCTTTCTTCTAGGCCTTCTGGCTGATTTCAGTTTCAAAGCTCTCCGTGACCAATCTTCCCCTCTCCCCCAACCCATTGTGGGATAGGCTTTATGGTGTGGAGGAAGGGTAAGAGTACGGAAAAGGCCTCCTTCCCAAACTTTCCCTCAGCCTTTAGCTTTTTGGTGAGCTTGAGGGACATTAGGAAGAGTGCAAATCCTCTGCCTCCAGGCATTTGTATGTCTTCCTCTTCCTACACAGAGCCGGCTGGAGAAAGAAAACGCCGATCTGAAGGACAGATGTGGAGGATTAGAAACTTCCTTAAAACGACAAGAGTCGGAATTGGGAAGAGTCAAGGTGGGAGCCGAGATTTTTAACCATTGTGGGGCCTGTGTCCAGTGTGCCACAGCAGGAATTGTGCCCTTTGGGGTCATTAACTCAGGACTGAAATGCTACCTGTTCGCACCAGTTCGGGCGAATTGGTAGTAAAAAAAAAAAAGCTACCGGTTCGTGAGAACCGGTATTTCCGACGATCAGCTGTGCTGCGTGATTTATATTCGCTAGAAATCCTGCTTTCTAGCGAATCTAAATCGCGCGGCACAGCTGTTCCCTCCCGCCTCGCTGTTCTACTTACCTTCTTAAGCCTCTTTTTTCCACGGACTTTTGGTGCTCATCGCGCATAAGTGGGCAGCGAACCAGTGGCAAACCCCGAGGATTTTACCACTGCATTAACCCCAAACCCTTCAGATGCTATTTGCATTGTCCATCTCTGTCATTGGATAAGAATACCCGCTGCCCACTCAAACCCCAACTTTGAGTTGGGGTTCGTTTCTGGTAGGAGGTGACCTTGTCCCCCTCTTGCTCGTAGTTACTGGGAACGATCTGCCTTCTAACCCCAGAATTCTTGCTTGCTTGGCAGGCGCAACTGAGCAGCAACACTGAAGCCTTGGAGGAGACATCGAAACGGAGCACGTCTCTGCAGCAGCAGGTAGGGAATGTATAGCAATAGCCATAGCCCTTAGACTTATATACCGCTTCACAGTGCTTTACAGCCCTCTCTAAGCGGTTACAGAGTCGGCCTCTTGGCCCCCCAACAATCTGGGTCCTCATTTTACCCACCTCGGAAGGATGGATGGAAGACTGAGTCAACCGGAAGGAAGGAAGGAAGGACTAGCAATAGCACTGAGACTTATATACTGCTTCACAGTGCTTTACAGCCCTCTCTAAGCGGTTACAGAGTCAGCCTCTTGCCCCCCAACAATCTGGGTCCTCGTTTTACCCACCTTGTAAGGATGGGAGGCTGAGTCAACCTTGAGCCTGGTGAGATTCGAACTGCCAAATTGCAGTCAGCTGGCAGTCAGCCGAAGTATACTGCAGTACTGTACTCTTAACCATCTTGGAGGCAGCCGTTGAACTCAGATTGCCTTTGGTCTTTGGAAGGCTGGATGTGGAACCTTTCTGCTAACCGAGTTTGCACCCTGCCCCATAGCTTATCTTTTTGATTTAAGAGTTCTCACATGGCGAGACTGGAGGATGGGTAATTGGTAGGAAGCTCAGAGTCGTAGTACGCTTTGGTTTCATCTCTGCTGCCGTTATGAGTGACAGCAGCATGAGCCGTGGTGGCACCAGTGGTTAGAGTGCAGTACCGCAGGCTACTTCTGCTGACTGCCGGCTGCTGGCAATTTGGCAGTTTGAATCTCACCAGGCTCAAGGTTGACTCAGCCTTCCATCCTTCCGAGGTGGGTAAAATGAGGACTCAGATTGTTGGGGGAAAGAAGCTGACTGTAAACCGCTTAGAGAGGGCTGTAAAAGCACTGTGAAGCGGGATATAAGTCTAAGGGCTATTGCTCTCCTCTCTCTCTCTTGCTTTCTCTCTCTCACTCCGTTTCTCTCTTTCTCTCTCTCTCTCTCTCTCCCCTTCCAACTATTCTATTCTATTCTATTCTATTCTATTCTATTCTATTCTATTCTATTCTATTCTACTCTACTCTACTCTACTCTACTCTACTCTACTCTACTCTACTCTACTCTACTCAACTCCAATTTCTATTCCATTCCTTAATTTCTATTCCATTCCATTCTATTCTTCCTTTGTTAGCCTTGTATGGAGGTCTGGCACTGGGAAACACCCTGAGGGGTGTTTGAAATTTGAGTAAGCACAAGTGCTGAGACAAGACCAGGTCGCTAAGGAAACTTAAGGGTGGGTTTTAACCAGACATAATAGCGACAATGCTTAAGAGTGGCATCCCGTTCTGACAACTGATGGATTTTTTTTTTTGTCTTCTTCTTCTGGTCAGGTTTCAGATCTGGCCTTGTCGTTACAGGAAAAGGAGCAACAGATTGCAGCCAAAACGGACAGTCTCCTGAAACGAGAGGAAGAGGCAAAATCCTTAAGGCAAGGTGAGACCGTTCGCCAGCACCAATACAGAGAGCAAATTAATTAATTAATTAATTAATTAATTAATTAATTAATTCATTCTTTCAAAATCTGTTTGTTGCGCAACCTGTTTGTAGCAAACCGGTTCAGATTTCGGCACTGGCTTCTCCCCAACTCGGTGTTCCACTCTGTCCCTTTTTCTCCAGGCCACGACCTGCTTTTGCTGCAGATGCACCAGTTGCAATCCAGCCTCGAGACGTGCCAGGGCCAGGCTGCGGAGAAGGAAGCCGCCATGCAAGAGCAGCTGCGGGTTCTCCAGGCGCAGCACCAGGAAGAGGCAGAACGCCTGTTCGCCAGTGAGAAGCAAGTGAGTGGATTTCATCCCCAGGAACCTCGATTCTGTGTCCTGTATATCTTTTGAACAGGTCGAAGGTTCCATAAGGCGCAAGGCAAGGCACAGGGTGGAATTTTGGTTCAGACTCTTGGCAAAACGCAGCGGATACTAAAATCTAGAGAGCAACTGCTTTCGTCTCCTACTTGGAGGCTTTCCCAGAATCATTGAGCAGAGGGTTTCCCAACCTTGGCAGCTTTTGAAGATGTGCGAGACTTCCAACTCCCAGAATTCTCCAGCCGGCATTGCCGAATCGCAAACCCCCATCACCACTCCAACTGACCCACCCAGACTGCTGGCTGGAGAATTCTGGGCGTGGAAGTCCCGCACATCTTCAAAAGCTGCCAAGGTTGAGAAAAACACTGATTTGGAAGATCACATTAGATCCCAGAAATCTCTTTGGTTGATCCAGAAATCTTTTTTTATTCCTCCTGAGTTTGCTAGAAGCTCTTCCATTTCAGTTTCAAATCTTTATTGTCAGTGCACAATGTATGTACAATGAGATTGGTGGCACTCCCTCAGTGCCCCCCCCCAACACAATACAACTCATAGTGAAGATAGAAAATCCCTAACCCAATAATAATAATAATAATAATAATAAATTTATTGTCATTGTATGTGTATACACAATATAACGAAATTCACTTAACACCCAAAGACCAGGTCCAACACACATAACAATCCCCAAACACCCCCCACCTACCACAAATTCCGCACCCCTAAACCACCCAAACATCCACACAACAGACCAAGTAATGCTGTCCAACAGCTGACTGATGGTGGCCCTTTAGTTCATTGTTGAGTGCAATTATAGCTCTGGGATAAAAACTATTCAGAAAACATGGTGGTCCGAGTTTTAATTGTTCTGTATCTTTTCTGCCGGAAGGCAACGGTCCAAAAAGATTGTAAGCAGGATGGGAAAAGTCTCTGAGAACGTTATGCAACTTTCTCAAACAGCGAGATTGGAAGATGTCGTCCAGGGCTGGTAGCTGGAGCTCGATGATATTCTGGGCAGTTTTAATGATTCTCTGTAGAACGTTTTTATCCGCTACAGAGCTGCTCTCATGGACCGCTCTGTTGCTGAAGTCCTTTTTCTGCAATCGAATATGAGAACATAGATGGACTCTTTGACCCCTCTTTCATACCAATGATCCACTCTATCCAAAATGTGGACTTTTCTGCCTTTAAAAGAGTGACGTTCATCTTTCAAATGCAGGCAGGCCGCTGAACCTTGCCCTGGTGGGTTAGATCTCTCTACGTTGTGCCACCTCGCTTGTGGAACGGTTCCTTTTTTTTAAAAAAAAAATCAGAATAATTGAACTCCTTTCTTGCCGGCCAGGCCGCCGTGTTAGAACTGGCATCTATGGCTTTGGAAGGCCAGTTGCATCTTTCGGAAGATGGAGAGCAGGAACCCAACGGAGACCTGGTTTCCTCAGATGCGGTCCAACTCCAGAAGGAGAACCAAGACCTGGAACAGCAGATAGCGGAAAAAAACAAGGTGAAGAGTGGGTTGGTCTTGGTGCCTCTTTTTCTTTCCTTTTTTTCTCTGATGATCTTGTCTCACGAGTTGTTTTTCTTCCAAGGCTGATTCAGATGGGCTCTTTTGCAACCGCCAGACAAGGAGGCCGCATCGAAGAGTTTCTTCCAATTATACACCTTCCACATTTCTGCCTACAGTAGTGGCCAAAAATTGTGGGAAACCTTTTGGGAAAAGTGTATTTTTGAGGTTTGATGGCTAATAACACCACTTTTGCTTTGGGAGTTTCAAGATAATCCTATTCCACTGCTGGAATGGCCTGGGAATAGCCCAGACCTTCTTAAGCCAACTGAAAATCTATGTAGTCGACTAAAGAAACTTTAACAAGCAACTCAGCAATAAAACCCAGTTAATAGAAGCAATCCTTCAATCTTGGTTTCACATGATAACAGCTGCAGAACTAAAAAACTTAGTTCCCTCCATGGGAAGACGTTGTAAGGCCGTCATTCATGCTAAAGGTTACCCTACTATTAACTGACATGGTGATAATTTTTGTATATCTCGTTTTTTCTAGGGTGATAATTTTTGTATATCTCAGTTTTTTCTACGTCTTTCACTCGTCTTCTTTATACTGTCACTGCTATTCTAATAGCAAATCCTTCATCAAAGTTATTGCAATACATTCTTGATTCAATTATCTTTCCATTGATGTATACGGTTATTTTATGGTACTACTCCCCCCAAAAAGCAATGTTATTAGCTAGTTTTAGAAAATACACTTTCCCCGAAAGGTTTCCACAATTTTGGCCACTACTGTAGAAACATTGATAAGCGTCACAAAGATTTGAGCCAGGGGTCCTGAGAGTTTTCACCCCTGACCAAGAAAAGGACTATTTCTCTTTTTCCGTTCGTTGGGTGAAGAGTTGATGTCCTCCAGATTTAAGGAACTGTTAACTCCAAGCCTCTTTCATCGTGGCTATTCCAACTGGGAATTGTAGTTAAGCCCCCATCACAAGTTGCTTGACGAAAACAGCCATTGTATTTAATGAGCCTGGTTTTTACGTGTTAACTTGCGGCCTTGAATGCCATCAAACATGGATCTGTTGTCATTCAAAGTTCCCGTTGGGCAGGCAGCTACAGGTAACCCTCGCCTTACAACCACAAAATTAAGCCCAACATTTCTGTGGCTAAGCGGAAAAAAAAATCGTTTGAGTGAATCTCGCCCCGTTTTGTGACCTTTCTCGCCACCGTTGTTAAGCGAATCAAATGCAGTGGATAAGTGAGTAACCCGGTGGTTAAACGAATCCGGTTTCTCTGTGGACTTTGCATGTCCGAAGGTCGCAAAAGGGAGATCCGGTGGGACACCGCAGCGGTCGTAAAAATGAGCCGGCAGCCAAGCGTCTGAATTTTGATCACAAAAATAGCAGCTTGGACTATGAATTTGCTCAGTTCTTGTTGTCCTGCTTTCTGAAGATGCTCAGGGAATGCTCCGTAACTCCTTTTTTCGGGGGGGGGGTATCTTTGGAAGTTTGGGGGACTCAAGATCTCCATTCACCCCCTTTTTCCCCCCCTTCTCCCACTAGATGATAAAACACTGCAGCAGAGAATGGCAGAGCTCAAAAAAACCTTGCAGAAAGAACTTGTGAGTATCGACTTTTCTGGATAAAATTTATCTGCGGTGGCGCCAGTAGTTAGAGTGCAGCAGACTGCCGGCTGCTTGCAATTTGGCGGTTCGAATCTCACCAGGCTCAAGGTGGACTCGGCCTTTCAACCTTCTGAGATTGGTCAAATGAGGAGCCAGTTTTTGGGGGCAAGAGGCTGACTCTGTAAACTGCTTAGAGAGGTCTGCAAAGCACTGTAAAGCGGTATATAAGTCTAAGTGTTATTGCTAGTCCTCCCTCCCTCTCGCCATGGTGGTGCAGTGGTTAGAATGCAGTACTGCAGGCTACTTCTGCTGCCTGCTGGCAATTTGGCAGTTCGAATCTCACCAGGCTCAAGGTTGACTCAGCCTTCCCTCCTTCCGAGGTCGGTCAAATGAGGACCCAGATTGTTGAGGGGCAAGAGGCTGACTCTGTAAACCATTTAGAGTGCTGCAAAGCACTGTGAAGCGGTAGATAAGTCTACGTACTAGTGCTAAGTGTGGAGGGAGGGAGGGAGGGAGGGAGGGAGGGAGGGAAGGAAGGAAGGAAGGAAGGAAGGAAGGAAGGAAGGAAGGAAGGAAGGAAGGAAGGGGAAGGAAGGGCCATGGTGGCACAGTGGTTACAATATAGTATTGCAGGCTATTTCTGCCCACTGCCAGCAGTTTGAACCTGACCTGCTCAATGCTGACTCAGCCTTCCCTCCTTCCGAGGTGAGTCAAATGAGAACCCAGATTGTTGGGGGGGCAAGAGGCTGACTGTAAACCGCTTAGAGAGAGCTATAAAACACTGTGAAGCAGTATATAAGTCTAAGTACCATTGCTATTCCTTCCTTCCTTCCTTCCTTCTTCCCTCCCTCTCTCCCTTTTTTTTCTTTAATTCACCCTTGTATTTTACACCCCCTTTTCCCCATCCCCTTTCCCGCCCTTAATTTCTTCTTTTCTTTTTGTATTTTATATTTTGTATAATAACATAAAAAATTGAATAATAAAAATTATCTTGCATGCCTGGATTATGTAGATTGACGCCCTGGGGTTTTTTCTCGGTGCAGTGTTTGATAGCATAGGGCCCTGACTGACACAGCCTTTGCACTCTGCACGATGCTCGGCTCCCTCTTGCCCTTCAACCCAGCTCTTTATTTTTCTCCTTTCAGAAAATTAGACCTGATGGTGAAATCCCTGAAGTGCCCACGGCTGGTTTGACGGTAACAAACAACTCGGATCTGAGCGATTCCCGAGAGATCAACTTTGAGTATCTGAAGCACGTGGTGCTAAAATTTATGTCCTGCCGGGAGTCGGAGGTAAAGGGGAAAATATATTTATATAAATCTATATCTATATATATTGATGAGCTTAGTTTATCATGGCTTTGGGGCAAGGGGAGCCTGTTCAGGGTAAGGATTTCTACCTTTTGCAGGTTCTTTATTAAAGGAAGGTGAGAAAAGGTCAAATATAGATGAGAAAATTGGTTATTTACCTTGACAAGGTACCTCTGTTTATAAATTATACCCCACGTCTCAAAGTTGGAACATTTACAGTAAAGGTTTAGGCAAAGATCGAAAGGCATTGCGCTTTTATATTTTGGCACATTTATAATTTATATACATGAAAAATGACCCGCTAAACCTCTGCTGGGCAATTCAGAAGAGAAAATTGATTTTATTTTTTTAATGCTTAAGTGCTGGTTTTCTGGTCGCTTACTTCAGTGATCCAATTTACCATGTAAAATTTTCCTTTTTTTTTTTTGGTCACCTGGTCTCTCCGGTGGCGTTTCAGGCCCTTCATTTGATCAAGGCTTTGTCTGTGCTACTCAACTTCTCCCCAGAGGAAGAAAACATGGTCAAGGAAACCTTGGAGTACAAGGTAAGGGGCCGCCGATGCTCAAACACGCACCTGGTATGCAATGAGGTTCGTCCTGAGCATGTAACACGCTTCCCAAAATAGCAATAGCACTTAGACTTATATACTGCTTCACAGTGCTTTTACAGCCCTCTCTAAGCGGTTTACAAAGTCAGCCTCTTGCCCCCCAACAGTCTGGGTCCTCATTTTACCCACCTCGGAAGGATGGAAGGCTGAGTCAATCTTGAGCCGGTCAGGATCAAACTGCTGGCAGTCGGCAATGAGTTACTGCGTTCTAACCATTTTTTTCATTTTATAAATAAAACCTCTTTTATTTATACGACTGTAAATTACTTTCATTTACAGTCCGCGAGGCTTAATAATCAACAATCTTTCAGAGAAAGGTTATCAACACCCACCTATCTCATGTGGAACGGTGCCAGAGAGCTAATTTCCAGAGGCAGGGCAAGGCCAAACTTGGCACAGAGTCACAAACAGAGTTTCCAAATCTTGAATCGGCCAGATGAACTAATCGCTTCTTGAAAAACTCACATCCCATTCGCTCTTCTATTTATGTCTTATGGGAGAGTCCAATCATCTCCAAGCCTTACTCCCAAGTCGACCCTGTTTTCTTAATTGTTCTTGTCGTCTAGCAGCTCATGCACACACTGGGAACAGGCTCCCACTGTTCTCCTGCCTCGCTGCTGTCAGACTCCGGAGGCTGCACATAACTGTCAGATGGCCTTGGCCACCTCTCTGCCTCCGACGCAGAGCCCTCGTCCCACTTTCCCAAGTTCCTCCCCAACCTCCTCACTGTCCGACTCTGCTGCCAGCTCCATTGGCTGCCGGTGGGCCACAACACACACCTTAAGCAGGTCGGAGGGAAGTTTCAGAGAGCCGTTTAGAACTCTGCCTCTAATTCCGGTGATCCCCTTTCTTTCAGATGTCCTGGTTCGGATCCAAGCCGCTTCCCCGAGGGAGCGTCCGACCGTCCGTCTCCAACCCAAGGTTGATGTGGTCCTGAAGCTGCGCCGAGATGTTCTGCTCCGGTTGTTGGGTTTGGTGGGGGTGGTTGTTGTCTTTGTGATTTTCTATGAAAAGATGCACCCAACAACGCTGGCTTTGACGGCGGTGACCCACAGCGTGCCACGAACTCGGGGTGGGGGACGAGGAAGAGGTTTACAAAGCTGACCTGTTAAAAGGGGCCTCTCTTGCCCCTGCCTTGTGGACCGAAAAGAGTTACTGTAGGTGGTATCTAAGGTGCCTTTGGGCTTTGGCGGGCTACCAACATCTCCAGCAGGGATGTAGAAGCCTTTCCGACCTTTTCTGGTGGGATGTAATCCTTAAGGAGACGGAAAGCATTTCGGCTTTCTCAGATACGTACATACCAAACCCCGCCACCTTCAGCCTATTAACACTACATCACGAAAGGTTACTAACAGGCTCAGTTGGAGGCTACCAACGGTTTGGGTGGGTGGGTGGAAGGAAGTAGCTCTAAATAACTTTCCACCTGGCTGGATTTTATTGTTTCTTTCTTTTTTTTTCTTAAAAGAAAAACCGTTTTAAGCAGGCCTCCGCAGTGCTCTAGCTGGTTTTTTTTAACGATTAAAAAAACCACCCCAGATGTATTGGTGGCAAAGGGGTTAGCCACCTATTTTGCAGGAATGGAAACTATAGATTTGGGCGCGTTGCGCACGGTAAAAAAACCATCCGAGCGATGAGTGGTTTTAAGACGGGCTAATTGCAGCCACGCTCATCCTCCGCCCGAAAGCAAGCATGGACAGTTAAACCTGTATGGCTGCTTTTTCCCCCACTCCTTTTTTTAAAAAAAAAACAAATTCACACTCACATCCTGGAACACTCGAGGTTCATTTGAACTTTAAAGAACAATGTTTTTTCCCCCACCCCAAAAGCCGACCGAAGCCATACCTTTTGGGAATAAAACTACAGTGTTTTTACGAAATTATTTAGAGACGGTGCAGCAGGCCCGTCTTTAATGATAATAATAATAATAATAAAAAACCCTGCTAATTGCAGTTCCGCGCCACTATTTTCCTGCACATTGCTAAGCAACGAGTATCTTTTACACCAGCTGGGTAGTAGGCTGGTCGTCTTTCGATTTGACGGAAGGGAATGGGCAAAGGCTGGCCAGGTTCCCTTCGAGATGGGGGTTCAGCTAATTCTGTAGAAAAGAGAGCTTCCATTGGCCGTTGTTTTGAATTGTGAAGCTGGCCAGAGCAAGGCCGAGGGTTTGTAGCGACAAATGCACTTTTCCTTTCCTTGTACAGAGAGAACATAAAACTACTCCCAGGCGTATGTATGTCTATAGGGAAAGCCTCTTCTCTGGGTAGGCCACTGTGTACATAATGGACTCTTTTTAACGATGGATGTGATTGGCTTTGAGTGAGACCTAATTTGTGGTACAATACATTTTCTTTCTTTTTTTTGTTTGGAATTAACCCTGGAGATTTCTTGACTTTTCTTGCTTGTTCCTTTGGCGAGATGCCTTCAAGGACTGGAAGTCCTGCTGGGAGGGGCTTCTTCTGGATACACGTAGGGTTGACCAGTGGCCCTCAAGGAGGCGAATCTGAACGTCTTCAACCTGGCCGAACTTGACGGTGGAGAAAAAAGGCTAAAGAAAATGCAACCGGTTGGAATCCATCTGCTCTTTCTCTGCTATCGCTTGCAAAATGGTTTATTTCAGCTTCACACGAGAGAAGATCACCTCTTGATCTAAACCACGGGTGAAATGCTCCCGGTTCAGACCGGATCGCCCGATCCGGTAGCGATCGTGGCGGGCGGCTCGGAGAACCGGTAGCAATTGCGGCGCCCCGTTGTCGTCACTTCTGGAAATCGACGACAATTTGGAAAGCTGGAAATCAGATAAGATGGCAAGAGAAGCCCCATCTTGCTCCACACGCCCCAAAATAATAAGACCTCCCCGAAAATAAGGCCAAGCGCTTATTTCGGGGTTCAAAAAAATATAAGACAGGGTCTTATTTTCGGGGAAACACAGTTTAAAAAAAGCTATTTTGGGAGTGGTTGAGTCATTGTGGGAAAGGGAGGTAGGGTGGGGTGTGGCGGCTAGAAAACTAAACCAGGCTTTCGATCTGAGACGGCATCAGCCTGTTCGGAAATCCAAGGCTCCCCAAAGCGTTTTGAACGTAAAACAGTTGGGTGTCTCCATCCAGTTTTGAAAGCGATTTGAAAAGAAAAAAAAAAACGAGGGAGGAAATGCTAATTGAAGAAGGAATGGAAGGATGCATCTGGTTCCTTTGCAGGCTAAGCCACATTATTTGCGGCGATGAGCACAAAGGAGTCTGCGACAGAGGATATAAAAACCATGCAGGTAGTCCTCAGGTTGTAACACTTCACTTAGTGACCATTCGAAGTTATGATGGCGCTGAAAAGTGACTTGTATGGTCATTTTTCACACTTACGACCGTTGCAGCCCTCCCCCCCCTCCCCCATGGTCATGTGTTCAGAATTCAGACACTTGGCTGAATTCTGTAGTTCATATTTATGACCAGGGGGGTCATTTTGCGAGCTGCTGACAAGGTCAATAGGGAGCCCAGATTCACTTTACAGCCGTGTTATTAATTTAACAAGGGCAGCGACTGGCTTAAGAAACGTGGCAAGGAAAGTCGTAAAATGGGGGCAAAAAAACGCAACAAATTCCTCACTTGGCAACGTAAATTTTGGCCTCAATTGTGACCTGCACAAACTTTCCTTGACCAAAAAAAAAAACAAACTGGCCGGAGGCCCAACCTACCTGTTTCAGGTGCCCACCTTTCCCTGTTTTTAAATAAACCTTGGTTTTATTCCTCGGTCCAAAAGCTGTGCTTTGTTCAAACCAGGAGTCAGCAACCTGCGGCTCTGGAGCCGCATGTGGCTCTTTCATCCCTCTGCTGTGGCTCCCTGTCGCAGGTCGGCCCCACAATTGATAGGGCTTTCGGTTAGAACAGGTAAAGGAAAAAGGACACCGCGCTAGGAGGAGACTCTATGGTGGGGGAACCAGAATTGAATTGGGGGGGGGGGGCTTCCGGTTAGGACCTTTGTGGCTCTTTGAGTGTTTAAGATTGCCGACTCCTGGTTTAAACATAGCAAAGCTGGCATGGAAGCAAATACAGATGACGAATTTTATGGAAAAAAGTGAGGCGTAGCTTGTTTGTTTAAGCCAATTAGGCGTCTCTTCATGGAAGACAAGAGCAATTAGCCAGTTTAAAGTTAACTCTCCAAGAACTTTTAATTTTAATTACAGAGTAGCAGGCACTTTACATGAAACTGACGTCCGCGCTGAGCCCGGCGATTCTTAACTATGTACCCCCCAAAAAAAAAAAGCTTGCGTGAAAACGCCTGCCTTCCCTTAACACCTTTGATTCTGACACCGTTGCTACCACCCCCTCCCCATGCCTCCCCCCCAAACACCGCAAACATGTGTTTAAATTAAAGTTTCACACCCACACACACACGCGCGCGCAGACACACACACATTCAGCGGGCCAAGAGCAGCAGCAACCCCGCCGTTCAGGAAACGGGTATCTGGTTGCCAACGTAAATCAAACACTCCCCCGTTTCCCGCTGCTGCCATGCAAAATGGCAGGTTGCCTCCCTTCTCTTCCTGGCTCCGAGTCCTTCAGTCAGAAAACCAACGCACCAGCATTCTCCCTGCGCCTCCCAAGGGAAGAGAAGACTTCCTTCCTTCCTTCTCCCCAACTAATGTTTCGAGTGGGAAGCTGCCGGTCGTGGAGGAGTAACCTGAAACGTGGAGGGCTCCCAAAAATGTTCTTGGTGTCTCGGGACCCCCGGCTTTTTTAAACCGTTTTCCGTGCGGTGAGAACCCGGACGATGGAGCCGAGTCCGCCTATCGCTAATGCCTGAGAAGAGAAAACGGAAAATTAGCCGCTGCGGCATGTCGGCCGTCTCCCCGAACGAACCCACCTATCATCCAAGAAGGCAGAGATTTTTTTTTTTAATATACCATGTTTCCCCGAAAATAAGACCCTATTTTATATTTTTTTGATAAGCACTTGGCCTTATTTTCAGGGAGGTCTTATTATTTTGGGGCGCGTGGAGCAAGATGGGGCTCCTCTTACCTTCTTATCTGATTTCCAGGTCTGCGTTTAAATATTTTTGGGGAGGGCTTATTTTAGCGCATGTGCTCAAAAGCCCAATTGGGCTTATTATCAGAGGATGTCTTATTTTCGAGAAAACAGGGTAGCAAAACTCCAAAGTTCTTTTAGACCTTCTGCGCAGCTGCCTTTTGCTAGGACGCTCGTTGCGCCGAACAAGGGCGACGCAGCGATATGCGTTTGTTTAACGAATTGATACACGTCGTCCCCCTCACTGTCCGAGAAGCTTCTTCAGCTCTGAAGAAGAGCTGAAGAGGCTTCTCGGGTGAGAAGCAAAATGTCTTCGAAGAAAAACCGGAAAGTCCTGTTGCCTCTTGAGGAAAAAAAAAAAAAAAATCACCTCAGGGACAACCATGACCTGAGGGGATGGCTGAGAATCTCCTCAGACAGACAGCTCACTCAGCGGAGAGGCCCCGCCGAGTCACAAGTGAGGAATTTAGCTTCCAAGGTGGGATACTCGCCCGTACCTTTTCATGCCACTGAAGTAGTATGGCGCTGCTGTTCTCCGTCGGCTTTTCAAACCCTTTATAAATGTACTTCATGAGCAAGTCGATGCCGTTGCTGTCCAAGGAGTTGACCGCCTGCTCGATCTCGCTGCTTTTGAAGGACGTCAGGACTTTCAGCACCACTTCCTGGGCCTGCTCCTGAGGAGAAAGGCAAGGGGAGCCAAGTGAGGCCATCAGCGCCATCCCGACTCACACACGGGCTGCGCCGAGAAGGGTTCTGCGCGGCCGCTCTCTGGCGACAACAGTCGCACAGCGTGAAAAATGTTCGTAAGTCACTTTTTTTCCCCCTCAGCGCCGTTGTAACTTTGAACGGCCACTAAGCGACCACCTGCACACCCTTTGCAGAATGAGTTCAGGCACGGCTCTCTCAAACCCCCCAACTAACTGGGTTCAGGTGAAAGCCAGGCAGCTCCCTTTGCCAACTTTCCTGCCCTCCAGAATTCTCACCAACTAGGGGGATTTGATTTGAGGTCACGTCAATATAGAACAGGGCTCTGCAACCTTAAAAACTCAAAAGAGCCATTTGGACCCGTTTCCCCACAGAAAAGAAAACACCGGGAGCCACAAAACCTGGGTGGGTGTGGCCAACTCGACGTCACTCACTCCCACCTAGTCACATGACCTCCCCCCCAGCCATGCCTACCCGGCCAGTCATTAGGACAGAGAACCGGGACTGGGAGGGGAGGGCGGGGCCAGCCAGTGGTAGGGTCACCCGACAGGGAGCCACAGCAGAGGGACGAAAGAGCCGCATGCGGCTCCGGAGCCGCTGGTTGCCGACCCCTGATATAGAACGAAATTAAAAATCTCCCGTTTACCTTTGCAACTGGGTTCTTGGTGTTCACAGGAGAGTTTCGTAAAGCGGCGTGGAAGGCCCGAAGCAAGTCCCCCGTGCGATAAATGAAGTTAAGGAATTTGTGGGTGTGTTGTGCAGTCATAAAACTCTCCCCCCCGACCCACACAAAAAGACCCCAAAGGGGGAGACTCTCTGCAGCAACACAAGCGTTCATTGCACGTATCCATCCGTAGTTTGAGGACCTCTGATTTAGTGCAATATAAAGACATGCAAATAATTTTTCTGCGGACCGCCAACATTTTCTCACGGACCACCAGTTGGTAACCGTTGCTCTAAACCTCTGGCTTGGTGATGAACTTGTAATAATAAACCCCGCCATTCTGGGGAAAAGAACTGCTCCGGTATCCAGGGTATATATACAACTTGTGACAACTGCCCTCCCTGTCCAGAGTACAAGCCAAGAAAGAATTCCGTTTTAGCCCGGCCAAAGTTTTGCAAAGGCACAAAACCAAAAAAACGAGGATACAGTAAAGCCTTTTGCCTAGGAGAACCAAGCCATCCTTATTACGTTTTTTTAGAAAACACTGGATCTCAAAAAAGTGTTTTCGACATCGTCTCTCGTCCCCCCCCCCCCGGGAAGAGCAGCCAGGGGAAAATATTTGCTCCGGGTCTGTCTGAATTGGGTCACGAAATTAGACTCCATGTGCTGGGTGGCGCACGATCATAAAGTCATCAAAGATAGCCAAGCCGCAACAAAGCCAACCGAGGTTAAACTTAACCAAGTTTAACCAAACTTGGTTAAGTTTGCGTTTAGGCACGCAAACGCAGCTTAAAGATAGTGGTTTGCTTGGTTTGAGGTTTTTTTTTTTCCCTTTCGCCATCGTGCCGGAGGTATTTTAATTCTGCTCTGGGTAAATGTCAATTCCGTGTCCTTTTTTTTTTTTTTTTTCCCCGTTGCTGAAAAAGGGCAGAATCATCAGAGCGTCTCCCAACCGCTCTCCTTGCTCCACGTTCTACAAATCTGTCACGGCACGATCAGGAACAGGCCGAACGACATTCACGGGATCCCAGCTGGCGGAAACAACCCCACCTCTACCACCCCACATCCCCGTGTCTTCAGATCCAGCCAGACCGGTCCCTGCCTGCCATGCCTGATTCGACACATGATAACTGCATGGCATCACCATTCCTGGTGCACCGAGGACCTCCCGGGGTGGGGTTTCCCCACACCATTCCTCAGCAATCTTGTCCTGTCACATTTATTTCACCTCTGCGGACTTGTCGGCTTCTCGTTCACAGGCTAATAAGCTGCTGCACACTTTCATTTCACAGGGGTTTTTTTTTTTTGGAAGGTTTCTCAGAAGCTCTCCGGAAGTTTAAAAAAAAAGAAAAAGAAATTGGCAGATCAAAGTCACAAGGCCCATCCCGCACAGATGCCTGCACCTGGCAACTGCAGGGAACAAATTCCCACACAGCGCCTAGCATTGTCTCAACATGTCTTTTTACGACCGCCCCCTCATTCTGTCGCCTTAAACAACATGCCATCGGGAAACCGTTAAGATGCTCAACCCAGGGAAGGAAGGAGACGTGTGCGGCTGTGAAATCAAGGGCAGGCCTCAACCTGCGGGCCCGGGAAAAGGAAAGGGCTTTTTTTAAAAAAAAAAAAAAAAGACGCGTTGCAAATGCAGAGAAAGAGAAGCAAATCCAGACAGACAGGGGATTTCTAAGGCAAGACACTGCAGGCTAGGAATGAACTGGTGGGCGTATGAATGCCGAAAGCACCCTCGAAGCGTCAATCAAGCCCGGATAGAAAGAGACACGAGCACCAAAAAAATGCCAGGAACATTACAGGAGACCTGAAATGAGGCCGCAGGCACCTCAAAACCACTAGCAATCAGAAAAAAAAACAAAAAAAGCAGGACATTTACTGCAGGGGAAAAGCGAGGATTAGCCAGGGAGTTGTAAAATTATTTCCCCGTGGGGTTCCTCTATTTCCAAGCAGGAAGCCAAAATCACCTCCAGGCGACCCACCCAGATTAAAAAAAAAAACTTGGCAAAATCCTGAACCTGCAGCCATCACGCTCCGCTTGAATGTTTTAGTCACTTGCCTGGTGGAACTGCATATCTTCAGTCGCTAGGTAGGAGAGACTAAGGCAAAGGGAAAGGACCTATTTCAAAAGGTAGCCTGTGAAAGGACCTCCACCCAAAATCCACCATGGAAAGAAAGAAAACAGAGCAGGAGCCGTATCTGCTCTTCAGCTGCTCCCGGGCTGAGATCGATGAACTGCCCCATAACATTCACGGAGAGGTGCTGGGCTTTTAACTCCCGACGACGGGCGCCAATGCCCAAGATAGAGATATGGATGAAGCCGTTGAGGAAGGGGGAGACCACCCAAGTTTGGGGGGCGTGGGGGGGGGCAAAGGGAGCTATGGTAAAGGGATGGATAAGAGAGACAAGATGAGTGATGATGAGTCAGATAGGTAGACATGACGGATAGAATGGGCAGATGGATAGATAACATACCGGTATGATAGATGGATACGTAGAATAGAGACAGGAGACATGGGTTCAAGGATGGAGATATAGAAATGAGACAGATTGGTGGGTGGATAGAATGGAGAGAGAGAGAGAGATGGATGTATAGATAGGATAGATTTATACATAGATAGAGATAGGGGTATGTGGATATATAGCTAGATAGAGATAAATAAGATAGATACATAGAGATAAAGAACATAGATGACAGAGTGGCTGTATATAGACAGAAGACACAGAAACAGAAAGATGCTGATAAACACTATAGAAAAAGATACAGACCGATATGAGACAGCCCAACAGAGATATAGGTAAAATGGATGGATAAAATGAAAAGACATTTAGATTAGATGATGGATAGACAAACACAGAGGTGATGGATGGATAAGATGATATAGTTAGATGAGGGATGGATAAAACAGATGGAGGTGATGGATGGATAAAGATACAGATGATGGATGGATGGATGAACAGATGGAGGTGATGGATGAATATATAGATAAGATGATGGATGGATAAACAGACGGAGTTGATGGATGGATAGATATAGAGAGTTGATAGATATGGATGGATAGGTAGATAGGTAAGTATGGAAGATAGATAGATAGATAGATGGATAGGTGGATAGATGGATATAGAGATAGATGGTGGATAAACAGATGGAGGTGATGGATAGATATAGATAGATATGGATGGATGGATAGGTAGGTAGGTATGGAAGATAGACAGGGATGGATGATAGAGGTAGATGATGGATAAATGAAGGTGATGAATGGATGGATATAGATAGATGATAGGTAGATATGGATGGATGGATAGGTAGATAGGTAGGTATGGAAGATAGATAAGATAGATGATAGAGATGGATGGATGATAGAGGTAGATGATGAATGGATAAACAGGTGATGGATAGATATAGAGATGGATGGATGGATGGATGGATAGGTAAGTATGGAAGATTGATAGATAAGGATGGGTGATAGGGGTAGATGATGGATAAACAGATGGAGGTGATGGATGGATAGATATAGATAAGATGATAGATAGGTAGATATGGATAGATAGGGAGGTAGGTAGGATAAAGAAGAGAAAAAGAAAGAAAGAGGAAAATACATAGCAGATAGATAGATAGATAGATAGATAGATAGATAGATAGGGATGGGTGATAGGGGTAGATGATGGATAAAGAGAAGGAGGTGATGGATGTAGAGATGATGGATGGATGAAGTAGATAGATAAATAGGATGGATGGATGGATAGAAGGGAGAGGGAGGGAGGTAGAGAGAGAGAGAGACATAAGAGGAGGAGAAGACATATTGAGGGGGGGGGGAGGAGATCCATGGTTGGGAGATGAGATGAGATGAAGGGAGGGGAGATGGGTCTTGTAGTCCTCCCTCCCTCCCTCCCTCCAAGGGCGCCTGTGGGGGGGAGGGGCGGGGGGGGAGCCTCCCAAAGGATATTGCCGCAGCGCCGCCTCCACCTCCGGGCCGGGCCCTCCGTTGCTGTCCGCCGCGCCGGCTCCGCTCCCGGCCTCGGCGGCCTCGGGCTCCTCCACGAAGCGGTTCTCGTCGAACTGGTCGATGTCCAGGCGGCGGAAGCGCGACGAGAAGGAGCTCTTCGCCATGGCCGCGCCGGCCGCCCGCCCGCCCGCCAAACGCCGCCTCCGATCGCTCCCCCGCTCGCTCGCTCGCACGCCGACCCACCGACCGATTTTCCGCGGAAGCGGAAACCCCGCCCGCCCGTCCGGGAAAAGGGGAGGAGCTCGGCGGAGGACGGGAGGGAAGGAGGAGCTTTCGCCGGAGGGGGGGCGTGGCCTGCTGGGGAATTGTCCTGGCGGCGCTTCGGACGGGTTGAAGGTCACGTGACCTTTCACTCTTCTCTCTCCCCCCCCCCTTTTCTGGGATTCAGTTTCGGTTCTGTTCATTCATTCATTCATTCAATGTTGCTTCTCTCTCCCATCCTCTTTATCCGTCTATCTATCCATCCATCCATCCAATTTATCTAACTTTATCTATCTATCTCTTTATCCATCCATCCCTATCTATCTATCTATCTATCTATCTATCTATCTATCTATCTATCTATCTATCCTCTCTCATCTATCTGTCCTGTCCTGTGTCTGTCTGTCTGTCTGTCTCTATCTATCTATCTAATCTCATTTATCTAACTTTATCTCTTCATCCATCCATCCCTATCTGTCTGTCTATCTATCTATCTACAGTATCTCTATCTATACAGTATTGATCTCTATCCACAATGTCTTGTCTATCTACGGTATCTATCTATACAGTATCTATATCTATCTGTCATCTATCTATCTACTCACCTATCTATCTAATCTCATTTATCTAACTTTATCTCTTCATCCATCCATCCCTATCTATCTATCTATCTCATTTATCTAACTTTATCTCTTCATCCATCCATCCCTATCTATCTATCTCATTTATCTAACTTTACCTCTTTATTCATCCATCCCTATCTGTCTGTCTGTCTGTCTGTCTGTCTGTCTATCTATCTATCTATCTACAGTATCTCTATCTATACAGTATTGATCTCTATCCACAATGTCTTGTCTATCTACAGTATCTATCTATACAGTATCTATATCTATCTATCTGTCATCTATCTGCTCACTTATCTGTATCTACATCCATCCATCCATCTCTATATCATCTAACTTTATCTATCCATCCATCCATCTGTATCTATCTATCTACAGTATCTCTATCTATACAGTATCAATTTCTATCCACAATATCTTGTCTATCTGCAGTATCTATCTATACAGTATCTATATCTATCTATCTGTCATCTATCTACTCACTTATCTGTATCTACATCCATCCATCCATCTCTATATCATCTATCTAACTTTATCCATCCATCCATCTGTATCTATCTATCTATCTACAGTATCTCTATCTATATAGTATTGATCTCTATCCACAATATCTTGTCTATCTACAGTATCTATCTATACAGTATCTATATCTGTCTGTCTGTCTGTCGGGAATTGAGAGGGCCGGATGCCATGATCTTAGTTTTCTTAATTTTCTTAGGAAGCCTGCCACCTTGCAAAAGGTGAGATTTATTACTGAGCCTTTGTTATTTTTATAAAGAACTCTTAAGGCAATGAATAGATCCAATATTGCTTCCTCCTCCTCTTATTTTTCTCACAGCCACCACCCTGTGAGGTGGACTGGGTAGAGAGAGAGAGGGAGTGAGTTGGGAGGACTGTCCCAAAGTCACCCAGCAATCCAAAGTCCCAAAATCAATCAACGGGACTAGAACTCACCATCTCCTAGTCATTGACCCAAAGTTACCCAAGGTAGGTACTAGAACTCACTGTGTCCTGATTTCTAGCCACTGCACCAGATTGCCCCTGTAACCTTCATCATCTTCCTCCCCACTGTAGGAAATGGGAAGGGTTTAAGAAAAGGCAAATATAGGCTTATTTTCCACATTACTGCCAAAAAAACCCCCAAAAAACCCAATGTCCATTAAAGCACCAAGGTACAATTTGGCTCAGCTTAGGGGCAAACAGTGAGGTTCGAACACCTCTCGTTTTCAGCCAATGGGAAGAGGTCTGAGAAAAAGCAAGAGATTGGCCGAAGCGCAGGTTGAAGGGCCAATGGGACGACCTGGCTAAGGGCCAATGGAAATCGTGAGGGGCAAGTTGGTGCCACCAATCAGCAGAGAGCGGGTATGGGGTGAGAAGGGTATAAAAGGAGGCTGCGAGCAAGGGAGCTGTCAGACCAGCAGCTGGAAGATGAAGATAGAAGGAGCAGAAGAGGAAGCTAGAAGAAAGAAGGCAGAAGAGAGAGGAAGATAGAAGAAAGAAGGCAGAAGATAGAAGGAGAGGAAGAAAGAAGGCAGAAGAGAGAGGAAGATAGAAGAAAGAAGGCAGAAGATAGAAGGAGAGGAAGAAAGAAGGCAGAAGAAGCTGGGAGAAAAAAGGCGGAAGACAGAGGAAGATAGAAGAAAGAAGGCAGAAGATAGAAGGAGAGGAAGATAGAAGACAGAAGAAGCTGGGAGAAAAAAGGCGGAAGACAGAGGAAGATAGAAGAAAGAAGGCAGAAGATAGAAGGAGAGGAAGATAGAAGGCAGAAGAAGCTGGGAGAAAAAAGGCGGAAGACAGAGGAAGATAGAAGAAAGAAGGCAGAAGATAGAAGGAGAGGAAGAAAGAAGGCAGAAGAAGCTGGGAGAAAAAAGGCGGAAGACAGAGGAAGATAGAAGAAAGAAGGCAGAAGATAGAAGGAGAGGAAGATAGAAGACAGAAGAAGCTGGAAGAAAGAAAGCAGAAGACAGAGGAAGGCAGAAGAGGAAAATAGAAGAAAGGTTTCTGAGGAAGACGAGATATAAAAGAAAGGAGCTGAAGCAGTGTCATTGCAAGGTCACTCAAGTCTGCCTACCAAGCCTTTTTGAAGGCAAAAAAAAAAAAAAGAGCTTAAAACTAGTTTTCTAGTCCTCATGTTCCTGGGAACCCAAGAATTTCCCTCTAGATGCTGAAAAATAAAATAAAATAAAATAAAAATAAAATAATATTTTATTAATAATATTTTTTTTATTTATTTTTTATTTTTTAATTAATAAAAATAAAAACAAAGCGTGACTTTAAACTTCGTGAGGAGAATAAACCAGGCAATTAAAGAAAACTTTGGCTGAAGTTTTTTTTGAACATTTTGGTGGAAACCCTCAAAAAAAAAAAAACTAAGTTGCTGAGGCCAAGTATTAGCCTAAAGGTGGCTGGTGTAGTTTTTGTGTCTTGTTTCTCCAAATATGCACATTAAAACAAACTATTGTTCCCTAAAATGGCAGACAAGATGTCATTTTTACCTCTGCTGAAGTTTTCCCTCCCTTAGGCCAAGGATGCATTACAAAAATTAAAAAACTGACATTTGTCAGGTGTTCATGTATCTAATTTTTTTCAAAATAGCCAGTCTTTCTGTGATATATTAAAGGCCTCAAGTTGAAAATACAGTTATTAAAAAATTACAACCCATTATGAAACCATTATGAATACTTAAGCGAGATTTCAATTGAGGGGATGTCCACATTTCAAGTTGATATCTAAAAGAAATATTAAACCGGTGCTGCTCGCTCATTTCCACATTGCTAGATTTGAAATGTAAGAGTAAAAAAATCGTATAAACATTATTTCAAGGTGCTGCTAAAACAGAGATAAAAGAGCATCACAAATGTCTTTGCTGACTGTTTTAACAATTCCAGTTCCATGTTGAGAAACACATTTTTCATATGGGATCTTAAAATATCTCTCCCAAAATAATTGCTGAGGGCAAAATATTATCTGTAGCCGAAAAACGGGGGGAAAAAGCTTCCTCAGTACTTTAGTTCCAAAAGCCCAAATGTATTTTATAAAATATCCCTGGAAAAAACTCTGTTTGTGTTCTGTTTTAGTCACATGAAAGCACTCATTCACAACAACGTAAGGTTTTATTTTCAAGTTTAACCTAGAGGCAGGGGTTCAAGATTATCACTTTTATTAAAAATACAAGGTATCTGAGAAAAATCAGAACAGTTATTTTAATGTACAAATTCAAATACCTGTAATGGGTTTCCCGTTTTCACTTGGAACCCTAAAAACAAAAACAAAAGCTGAAAGAAAGAAAATATATATATATATAGGAGGGGCAGTTTTCTAAACCACGTATTTATGATTTAAAATATATAAACAAGGTCAGCCCACCTTTACAGCCTAAGGATATGCCCTGAAGTTGGACTAACAAAGTCCCAATATGCACATTAATTTAACTTTGCTGCTGAAATTCCTTAAAAACCTTATCCAAAACAAACCGAAGGAAAAAAAATATATTCCCAAAGCCAACTCCTGAATGAAATAAAGGAGAATCAGCCTAGTTCTGACACCTTGCTCTGTTTTTTATTTGATTTTATTTCGAAGGGAAAAGAGTTTTCCCTAAAAACAAAAACAGGGAATCAAAAGCACTAAAAATATATATATATATATGTTATTTTATATGACAAGTTAAGTGCTCGTGGGACATTTCAAAAGCAACCTTAAAAGAAGCCCTAGAAAAGGGAGGATGGGCGCACGGGAAAAGGCAGATTTAAGAAACGCAACACTACGGACCATGTACAATACATTTGAGATAATTTAAAAATAATAATAATAAAAATTAAAAAAAAAGAAGAAGAAGCATTTCAGCAGCAAAGTGCTCCATAGGATGTACGTCACAAAGAAAAAGGAAGGAGGGCCGGAGGAGGTATTTCAGAGGAAATACGGCGTGGTGGTTCTCGGAGGGATGACGCGCTCGGAATCCGGGACGGCCCGGAAGAGCTTCGGTTCTCTCGTGTTCACGTCTTTAAAGACCATGATTGAGGCGATATTTCCACAGCGGTAGCAGTAGTTCGGAGCAGACCAGACCGTTACCAGCTTCTCGTCAAACATAAATTTATACCCTTCGTGGACCAGCTGGTGAGCCCGGCAGATCAGTTTTAAGTTGTTGATGTGGACAAACTGCCAAAGAGAAGAGGGGAGACTAAATATACAGCCCTCACTCAGACTGGGTTTTTTTTTAAATTTTTAATTATTATAACATAAATATAACATTACATTTATATATATTTTGTGGGTTTTATAGACTGAATATTGCCGAGGCCCCACTCAACTGCCATTTTTTGGGCCTCCGTACACCCTGTTTTCGGGTCTTTTCTCAGCCTTTTTCAGGCATTTTTTTGGCCCGTTTTTCGGCCTGAAAAAAGCCTCAAAAACAGTCCCAGAAAAGCCTCAAAACGGGCCAGAAAAAGCCTCCAAAACGGGCTGAAAAAAGCCTCCAAAACGGCCCAAAAAAAGCTTCGAAAATGGGCCAAAAGAAACCTCCAAAATGACCCCTAAAAAACATCAAAAATGGGCCAAAAAAAGCCCCCAAAATGACCCGAAATAAGCCTCAAAAACGGCCCCAAAAAGCCTTGAAAACAGGCCAAAAAGAGCCTTGAAAAAGGGCCAAAAAGAACCTTGAAAATAGGCCCCAAAAGCCTCAAAAATGGGCTGAAAAAAGCCCCGGAAACAGGCCAAAAAAATACTGGAAAAGGCCCGAAAAATGGTAGGCCAAAAACTTTTTTTTGTTTATTTTTCTCTTCTAAATTTAGGTGTGTCTTACAGTCCGAAAATTACAGTTAAGTTCCTTGTTTCCTATCTCAGATAATATTCTGGATGCAAATCAGACAGGCTGCAAGAAACCAGAAAGCAGGCAAACACAATGTTGGGGTGAATTTTCTCCGGAGTTTACCTCGTTGGTGACTTTAGCACCGAAAAGCCACCCGGCTCCTCGAGGACTAATGGCCCAGGTGTCCACATCTTCTGGATCCGACCACACGAGATCACAGAAAGCCCCCTTGTGAGGAATCTCTTGGTTGCGCTCGATGGTTCGGATCTGATCCAGTGTTTTGATGTCCGGAGAAAGACCTCCGTGCACGCAGAGGATCTGTTCATCTATCAACTTGAGGAAAATAGAATTGGGGGTGTTACTCTCCCTCGAAAGTCAAAAGCTACCCAGGGGAAGAGGACTGAATCATAAATTATTTTTATTATTTTTTTGGAAACACTTACCGCTGCTACCGTGAGCATGTCGAAGACTTTAGTGCAGTATCTCCAGGCATTTGCATTACCGTATTTTGTTTGGCATTCATCTGTTTGGGAGGTGAGGGGAAGGAGAGAAAATAAAAGACGCCATGTTCTATTATTTATTTTCATTTATATCCTTCCTTCATTTCATATTTATATTTTTCGGAGTATAAGATGCACTTCCCACCCCCCTAAAAGAGGGTGAAAATGTGGGTGCATCTTATACACCGAATGTAGCCCTGCCTACCCCCACCCTTTGGCCTCTGCCTCCCAGTAATTCGCCTCCTTGCAGCAAGCAGCCCGTTTCAGCTTCAGCACAGCCTGATTAGCACAAGCAGCTGATGGTCGATTGGATCGGCCTCCAGGCCATCAGCTGTTTCAGGCTGCAGGGATTGCCATTGCCTATTGCCGCTCACGCCCCATTTGCTGCAAGGAGGCAAATTGCTGGGAGGCGGAGGCATTTTTTTTCCCCCTTGTGCTAATCAGGCTGTGCTGAAACTGAAACAGGCTGTTTGCTGTAAGGAGGCAAATTGCTGGGAGGCAGATTTTTTCCCCCTTGTTTTCCTCCCCAAAAAAGGTAGGTGCATTTTATAGTCCAGAGCATCTTATTTATTTATTTATTTGTTTAAATTTCTATACCGCCCTTCTCCAATGTAGGACTCAGGGCGGTGAACAGCCAAAGTAAAAACAAGACATACATACAAAACATACAAAATCTAAAATCTGTTTAAAATAATTAAATAATTTTGGCCGTAATTAAAACATTCCAATTTAAAATCCGTTTAAAATTTGACTCAAGCCAGCCCAGCTAGTTGAAATAAATGGGTTTTTAGGGCCCGACGAAAAATCCGGAGGTCTGTTATTGTACGTAGCTCTGGGGGGAGGTTGTTCCAGAGGGTGGGCGCCGCACAGAGAAGGCTCTCCCCCTGGGGGTCGCCAGCCGACATTGTCTGGCGGACGGCACCCTGAGGAGGCCCACTCTGTGCGAGCGTACTGGCCGGTGGGAGGCTATTGGTGGCAGAAGGCGGTCTCGTAAGTACCCCGCCCTAAGCCATGGAGCGCTTTAAAGGTGGTCACCAACACCTTGAAGTGCACCCGGAAGACCACCGGGAGCCAGTGCAGCTCTTATAGTCCAGAGCATCTTATACTCCGAAAAATATGGTATATAAAGTTCAAGACGGTGAATGTATTTAATATTCCTTCCTCTTCTTATTTTTCCATGAGTCAAAGTCATCCAGGCGGCATTCATGCCTAATTTCGGCTGGGACTATAACTCACCATTTTCTGGTGATTGTCCCAAAGTCACCTACTTGTCTTTCATGGCTAAAACAGGACTAGAACTCACCGTCTCCTGGTGATTGGCCTAAAGTCACCCAGCCAGTTTTCATGCTTAAGGTAGGACTAGAACTCACCGTCTCCTGGTGACTGGCCCAAAGTCACCCAGCCGCTTTCATACCAAAGTTAGGACTACAATTCATTGTCTCCTGATTTCTAGCCTGGTTTCTAACCTTAACCATCAGATCTACTGTTTCTCCATCCCTGAGCATCAGATTGAATTCCACAAACTATGAGACTGGCGGTTGATTTTAGCTGCCAGTGAAAAATGTTTCTATAATCCTTTTTTTAAAAAAAGCCACCAGAAAGGCAAATTAAATCGTAACCGTTTTATGCTGATTTGTAATGGAAAAAATTGGTCGCAAGAAGCCCGTGGGAGCTTCGGGGAACTCACCGTAAAATCCGTAGACTTGGGTTATCTGTCTGCTTTCATGATTCCCACGCAAGAGCGTGATTCGATCCGGCCACTTTGCTTTCAGGGCAAGAAGATAAGTAAAGGTCTCTAGACTGTAATAGCCTCGGTCTACGAAATCACCCTGGAAGACAAAAGCTTTACTATATTTAAGTGGCAAGACTCTGCTCAGGCTGCAATTTTATGAATAGGTAATCGACGTTAGCAGGGTTTGCATTAAACTGAACAGAACATTGTGCTGTAGTTCTCGATGTTCCCAAATATAATTATTTTTGCTTTTCAATTATTTCTCAATCGGTCCTAGGACAGGGATGGCAAACCTTTTTGGCACCGAGTGCCCAAACCGGAACATGCGTGCATGTGGATGTGCCGGAGCACCGGAAACCTGAAAACCAGCTGGCCAGCACGCGCATACCTGTTTTGGGGCTGTTTTTTGGGCTGAAAATGGCCTAAAAACTGGCCCAGAAAATGGTGTGAAAAAGGCCCCCCAAAAAACAGTGTATTTTTTTGGCAGTTTTTCAGGCTGTTTTCAGGCCGTTTTCCGGTGCTCTGGCACCTGTGAAGAGCAGCTGTGATGGCGCGCGTGCCCACAGAAAGGGGTCTGCATGCCACCTCTGGCGCATGTGCTATTGGTTCACCATCACAACCCTAGGATATAAGGTAAAGGTTCCCCGACTCTAGGGGGCGGTGCTCATCTCCGTTTCAAAGCCACTGTCCGAAGACGTCTCCATGGTCATGTGGCCGGCATGACTCAATGCCAAAGGCGCACGGAACGCTGTTCCCTTCCCACCAAAGGTGGTCCCTATTTTCCTACTTGCATTTTTTACCTGCTTTCAAACTGCTAGGTTGGCAGAAGCTGGGACAAGTCACGGGAGCTCACCCCGTTACGCGGCACTAGGGATTCGAACTGGCGACCTTTCGGTCGACAAGCTCAGCGTCTTAGCTATTGAGCCACCGCATCCCTATAATATAGGATTATATATTATAATCCTATATTATAGGATTAAACCGTAGGATATAGTGCACATAATTATCCAAATACCTGATCAACAAAACTATGGATTCCTCCAAACACTTGTTAGAAAGTTTAGAGTCTAAGCAACTGTGCTGTCTTCATTTTTTAGTCTGTCATTACTAGCTGCCACTCCCTTTTTTTTAAATTATATGTGCTCAGCAAAAAGAACAGGAGCTGTATTCTCACAACACAAAACCACAAGAGTAATCTCCCCCCCCCTTGATATATCGCATGCCAAAATCTGTTTTCTCTACTTTTGTTCATACCATAAATATGTAGTTCGTGTCAGGAACCTGACCTCCAGTTCTGAATAATTCACATAGATCATAAAACTGAAAAGCAAAAAAGAAACAAGTATCCATTGAAATTATTTTGAACTCTTGATGGACTTGTAAATGTGACCCTTTACAAATACTGAAAATGGTCCCGAAAGCCTGACCAAAATAATGATGGACATGCAGTTAATGACAAGACATCACAACTGCAAGGACTGTTAAAAAGTTTAAAAACTGATCCTAGGGCAATCCGATAGCTGTTGATCCAACAGGAATGTTCCAATTACCTCTTTTTTTTTCAGTAATGCCTGGCACTGTTTAGGTACCCAAAACGGCAACTCTGAGAAGCAGAAGTGAGCCGCGAGTTGAGATTTGCGTAAAATCAAAAACCGTTTGTGAAAATTGTAAGGAAAAACTAACCCGACTGCTAATTAGACATACGTTAAGAGAGGACAGAATGATCATTAGGAAGTGGAAATGTAGAATTAGATGGAAGAAGAAAACAGAATAAGATTGAGTTCTCAGAAGGAATTCTCTAGAATTAGCTAAAAGTCTGATGTACTCTTCTAGCACCCTCTGTTTGAGCTACGGGCCTTGATACTCTTTCAAAAATTACTTAATAGGAACTTTTCTGCTTTACATTTGCAAAAAGAATATTTCTTTTGCCACTACGGCAGTTGAGAAAGGCCATTCCTGTTCTCCTGCCCAAAGCCTGCTCTTTTTCTTCACCCAAGTCCGACTTTAGCACCAAGCAGTCGTTCCCGTTTCCCCTAAGCTAATTGTTGTACTCTCTTTACAGGTGTCGGAGAAAACAGTGTCAAAGGAGGCAGGGTCCGTAGGAAATTATTCCACCTGTCCATGAATGTCACCACAGACGGTAACAGGGGTAGAAACCGGCTGCACGTTGGATTCTTCCAGGAGCAGGTCACAGACATAATCGCACAATCGCTGGAAAGACAGAACAGGTCAGGGCATGATTCACCTATGTTTGCTAACATGACATCAAATCCCCCTTACGGTCCCAAAATGTATTATTTATTTCATTTCTGAATGGTCGTCAAAGCCCAAGAAATACACCTTTTCTTGCAGGTGTGTCATGACCCAAACTACGCAACAGCATCAATGCTAATCAATGCTAGTCTAGCAGCATTGATGAGTCTAGCACTGATGATGTTATCTAGTTTGGGTCACAAAATAACCAAGTTCCGACAGCACCAAGGATCCCACAGTCTTCTTCCTCCATGCAAACCCCACTCCCTTCTAGCACTGATGAGATTTCCTAGTTGGGTCATGAAACGTTTATAAGAAATGTGTAAACGCAAAAAATTGAGGCTGGAGCATATTTTATCTTGTACTGTGCTGGGAAGGGTTGGAAGTCAATACCTCTCTCCCTCCCTCCCTCCTTTTCCTTTCCTTTCCTTTCCTTTTCTTCCCCCTTGTATTTCACACCCCCTTTTCCCCGTCCCCTTTCCTGCTCTTAATTTCTTTTTTCTTTTTATATTTTATATTTTATATAATAAAAGCCACTGAGCCACTGCGTCCCATTCCTCTAGTTTTATATCATATATTATTTTATATTATATTATATGTATTATGAAGTGATGTAGGGTTTCTTGCCTGGGCAGGGGGTTGGACTAGAAGACCCCCAAGGTCCCTTCCAACTCTTGTTATTCTATTCTATCCTATTCTATAACCATTTTTAGCCTTGGTGGCGCAGCAGACTAAAGCGCTGTTAAGTAGCAACAGCTGCCTGCAATTACTGCAAGTTCAAATCTCACCAGGCTCAAGGTTGACTCAGCCTTCCATCCTTTTGAGGTAGGTAAAATGAGAACCCAGATTGTGGGGGCAGTAAGCTGACTTTGTATACAAAAAGAACACCGCTTTGGGGGGGGGGGCGCGAAAGCCCTACTTAAGCAGGTATATACAAAAAGTATGAAGGCTATTGCTTAACGTATTGTAAGCCGCCCTGAGTCTCCGGAGAAGGGCGGCATATAAATCGAACCAATCAATCAATCAATTTTTTTTTTTTGCGCAAACCAAAAAATCTTTCCTTCTTTCTTTCTTTCTTTCTTTCTTTCTTTCTTTCTTTCTTTCTTTTTCTTTCTTTCTTTCTTTCTATCATCTCTATCTAATCTATCTATCTATTTTATGTGATTTGTATGCCGCCCTATCTCTATCTATCTATCTATCTATCTATCTATCTATCTATCTATCTATCTATCTAACTTATCTATCTATCTATTTATTTTATGTGATTTGTATGCCGCCCTATCTCTATCTATCTATCTATCTATCTATCTATCTATCTATCTAACTATCTATTTTATGTGATTTGTATGCCTATCTATCTATCTATCTATCTATCTATCTATCTATCTATTTTATGTGATTTGTATGCCGCCCTATCTCCGTAGACTCAGGGTGGCTCACAGCAATAAAAACAAACCCAACGAAACCTAAAATACATACGAAATACATAAATGTATAAATATAATTTAAAAACCTATATTAAAACCCATTAAAATAATCAACCTCCGCCCCCTCAGTCCAGTTTTAGACTGTTCCTTCCTCCAAATCAGGCAGGTTCAGATTCAACCTGGAAAGGGGACCACCAGGAAATCCCTCCTCCCAGGGTGGGGGAGGGGCAAATGAACCAGGGGAGTGGGTGGGAAAAAAAATTAAAGGAGGCTCCCAAGGCATCCTGTCAAAGTGGGACTCAATGGGAGCCCATGGAAGAGGGGGAGGGGAGATAGGGGGGTATGAAGCCCCCCTCCCCCTTGGCATAGGGGGGACCCCCTTCCTCCTTTCCTTAGATGTCAATCAGGGCCTCCCCCCTCCCCTCCCCTCCTGAGGCCCCTCCCATCTCCCCTCCCCTCCCCCCCACCCCAGCCTCACCTTGAGGTCGTTCTCGGGCAGGTACTTGCAGAGCCTGGCTATCTCCACGTACTTATCCAAGTCCAGCGGCGCCATTTTGGGAGAGCGGCTCCGGTGTGGGGGGAGGGGAGGTGGTGGGGAGGGAAGGGGGAGGGGAGGGAGGCCGAAAGAGGAGGAGGAAGAGAAAGAGAAAGGCAAGAGAGGACCGGACCGGAAGCTGCGAGTCGCACTTCCGGCTTGGGGGGCCCCCCCCACGTCGCGGGGGGAAAGGCGGGAAAGGCGGGTCCTGTCAGGCGACGCAACAGGCTCAGCGGAGGCAGCCGGTGCGAGCGACGCCGCTTTTTTGTATTTTTTTTAACCGCCTTCTCTCAGCTCCCGGTCTTCTTCCGGCCGCACCGGAAGTGAGGAAGGCAACTTCCGGTGGGGATTTCGAATCGGATATGTGTTTCTTTCTGGTCCGCCCCAGGACCGCTTCCGGTTGTCTGCTTCCGGCGTCACTCTCTTTCTCTCTCTCTCTCTCTCTCTCACTCGCCCCGCCCCCGGGAGTTCCATTATGGCGTCCAAACGGCCGCCCTTGCCCCGAGGCATGCTGGGATTTGGAGTCAACAGCTTTTTTGCAACTGTTCCTATTAAAAGAGGCTGTTTGCAAAGAAGCCCAGCGGGCATAGTTCACGCTGGCTGGGGATTAGGGGCACTGGTGTCCCCAAAAGCACCCGTGCAAAAAAGCCTTTGCCTCTAGTTGTTTGGCAGGAGACTTTGGAACAAGCCCCCCCTTTCAACCGTTCAATAAAAATATTTTTAATATTAAAAAAATATTTTAAAAATATGAATAACGCAGATCCTTTGCAAAAAAAGGAGATTGCATTTATTATTTTTATTTTTTTGCATGCAAAATATAAAATAAATTTCCCCCCAAAAATTAAAAATGTGAGAAATAAATAAAACGATTATAACCACCAAAGTGCAAAGGCGGCTGCAGAGACCCCTTTGATGTTTGGGAGACATCAAAGAGGTGGTTTGGGGGGGGGGAGGGAGGTGCCAATTGCCTAGCAACGGCCCGGGGAGGGCGGGGTCTCCATGCAAAAAAAAAAAAAAACAAACCACGCCTCTTTTCTCCCCCCCCCCCCAACTCTGGCTTTGCCCCAATGGAGAAGGTGCTGCGGAAGCTGAAGCCCAGGCAGAAACCGCAGGCAGCCGCCTGGTAACGTGTCTCCTTGCACGTGTGCATTGCTAGGATCGGCGCAAAAAAAAGGGGGGCATGCAAGATCCAAAGGGAGGGGGGGAGATGCTGAAGGCAGGAGTGGGGAAGGAGGGTGTAGAGCGTGGGAGGCTCCTTGCATGCACGCGCACAACAAGGGCAAGGAAGGAAGGAAGGAAGGCTTGGCACGTCTGCACGCTTTGACCTTTGCAGGAGAAGAGAAGGACGAAGAGAGAGCCTGGGCATCTTCAGATGGGCATCTTCCTTCCTTCCTTCCTTCCTTCCTTCCTCCCTCCCTCCCTCCCTCCTTCCTTCTTTCCTTCCTTCCTTCCTTCTTCCTTCTTCCTTCCTTCCTTCCTTCCTTCCTTCCTCCTTCCTTCCTTCCTTCCTTCCTTCTTCCTTCCTTCCTTCTTCCTTCCTTCCTTCCTTCCTTCCTTCTTTCCTTCCTTCCTTCCTTCCTTCCTTCCTTCCCACCTTGGTGGCCTCCTTTCCTGGTTCCAGTTTTAGGCAGGTCTTGCTTGGCCACTTGAAGATCATTCAAGCGTGCAAAAATTCCAGGATCCTTCCTGGCCCCGGGCGATGCAGAATTCCTAAAAAAAAAAATCCATCCCATTGGGTAGTAGGGAAAGAGGGTGGGGTATTATCCCCCTAGAAAATGTGCCCTGCTGTACAATTTAATGGTCCTGTGTTTTTTTTGGGGGGGGGGAAATTTGGGCATAAATGGGGTCCTTGGAGGATTTTTATGCAGGTGTTTCACGACCCAACTAGATAACGTCATCAGTGCTAGAGGGAGTGGGGGTTTGCGGAGTGAAGGAGGAGGACCGTGGGGTCTTCTGAGCTTGGTGGTTTTCTTGCAGACCTTTCATGACCCAACTAGATAACGTCATCAGTGCTAGAGGGAGTGGGGGTTTGCGGAGTGAAGGAGGAGGACCGTGGGGTCTTCTGAGCTTGGTGGTTTCCTTGCAGACCTTTTATGACCCAACTGTTAATCTGTTTTTAAATTATTGGGTGTTTTAATCTGTCTGGGCCAAAATAATTTAATTTGATTTATCTGGTTTTTAAATTTTTTATGTCTATGTTATTTTATTGTTTGGCTGTTCACCGCCCTGAGTCCTTCGGAGTAGGGCGGTATACAAATCGAATAAATAAATAAATAAATAAATAAATAAACTAGATAACATCATCCGTGCTAATGAGTGTATTGTTTGCTCCCTGTTTATATACAGTAGCTTCTCCTTTCAGTCTGGGTGGAGGTGTGGTTTTCTCCTTGGATAGTTTGTCTGAATCCCTGCTTATCTATTGGGTGCTGGTTGCGGAGTGAAAATAAACAGAGAGCACACACACACCCATACTCTCTCACACTGATGACGTTACCTAGTTGGGTCACAAAAGGTCTGCAAGAAAACCACCAAGCTCAGAGAGAACCACAGTTCAACCCTGAGTTACAAATATTCTCTTTTTATTTATTTCATTTATTTGTCCCATTCCTATGCCGCCGAACTCCCTGGGGACTCTTTTATCAGCAGCTGGATGAATATTTCTTCTGTTTCTCCCTTTCTCTCCTTCTCTCTCTCTCTCTCTCTCTCTCTCTCTCTCTCTCTCTCTCTCTCTCTCTCTCTCTCTCTCTCTCTCTCTCTCTCTCTCTCTGCCTGCCAGGTATTCCCTCGCCTTATGCGGGAACAGCCCCTGTGCTCGTGTGGGCCAAAACTCTTTATATCTGCCTCCTTTGGAGCCGGGAAGCAGAAATGGGAAAGTGGTTATCATCGCCGGAGCAAATCCGAGTGGAAGTTTCGCTGACTCCTATTGTATTGATCTTGGTGAGTTAGGCTGGGAGGGAAAAAGCATGGACATTGCTGAATTGAATTTCCTGGAGGTGGGTGTCTCATTTCCATACTGCATTAAACTATAGGCGTGTATTAAAAATGACCATGTTTCTAGTCCTTATGGATACATGGCCGAACAGAGCAGAGCATAGAGGTAAAATAGAATTGTTTTACTGGCCGATGGCGATCGGACACACAAGGAATTTGTCTCCGGTGCATAAGGTCACAGTAAATAGCAGGTCGTAAATCATAGTTACAATCATTAATCCTAGGTTACGAACAACAATTGATAAATCATAAACCAATAGAAGAAGATAGTAGAGAAAAGATGAGAAATAAGACAGCGCTGTGAGAATTAAGTGTTCAGCAGAGGGATGGCACGCGGGGAGGACGGACAGACGGACGGATGGACGACTGACTATATGTCTGGTTGTTTGTTATAGCGGCATCCCGAGAGGAGAAGTTGAAACAGTTTTATGTCCAGGATGTGAGGGGTCTGTAAATATACTGCTCAAAAAAATATAGGGAACACAAACAGAAGACATCCGTGATCTGAATGAATGAAATAGCCTTATTAAATACTTTGTTCTTTACACACAGTAGTTTATACACTGCTCAAACAACTAAAGGGAACACAAAACTACTGTATGTAATGAACAAAGTATTTAATAAGGCTATTTCATTCATTTGGATCTCGGATGTCTTCTGCTTGTGTTCCCTTTATTTTTTTTGAGCAGTGTATTTTCTCAGCCCTCTTTCTAGTAGTAGACAGGTCCTCCGTGGAAAGCAGCTGCTTGCTTTTAAGCTAGTTAAATACCCAGAGCGTAGATCGAGCCGTGTGTAAAGGAAGGAATTGGGATGGCGTTGGGAGGTTTTGATTTCTCAACCATGAGAGTTTTTTGCTTCCCAGCAGGAAATCTTAAAACGCATTTAGGGCTTGATATCTGTCCTCAGGGTGGATAAAAATCAATGATTTTTTTTAAAAAAATCAGATTTTTTTTTGATTTAAATCGGATTTTTTTGGTTTTTATCGAATTTATTTTAATAAAAAACGTTTGGGGTAAAAATCTACCGTAAGATAGTTTTCTATTTAAGATACATAAATAATTTAGTTTATTCAGCATGAAATGGAGCTTAGTTGCGTAGCAGGAGGCTGTATATTCTGCAACACTGGGACGATCGGTGAGTCAACAGTGGGTCAAAGGAGTAGCAGAGATGACAGTTGCTCTTTAAAAATTACGATTTAAATCGAGTTGATTTAAATCAAGCCTTTTTACTAGTGATTTAAATTGTGATTTAAATCAACTCGATTTAAATCAAATCCACCCTGTCTGTCCTTCCATTGTAGATGCTAATTGCTGGACCGCGCCAGGCTGGGTAAATCTGTTGCCACGCTACGAACATGCTGCGTTTGTCCCCACGAGCCGTCCCAACACCGTCTGGGTCTACGGAGGGGCTAGTGAAACTGGGAACCGAGATTGCGTACAGGTTTTGGATCTCGGTAAGTATCCTTCTGCTCGGTCCCTCGCTCTTATCGAATCCGATCTAAATCGGTAGGCCGATAGCCCTTGAGTTAACCAACCCGTTTATTTAGCGATCTGTTGGAAAGCGCAAACGGTGCTGAACAGAAGTGACTCGTGACCAGTCCTTGCGCTTACCACCAGTAGCGTCCTGCGGTTACATTAAATACACAACCACACCCAAATTGCAATCATGTATTTGTGCTGTTGCAGCCTCCTGGGGGCAGGTATGTGTGTGTGTGTTTTCCCAGTGGTGAAATCCAATTTTTTTTTACTACCGGTTCCGTGGGCGTGGCTTGGTGGGCGTGGTGTGGCTTGGTGGGCATGGCAGGGGAAGGATCCTGCAAAATCTCCATTCCCTGCCCACTCCTGGGGGAAGGATATTGCAAAATCCCCATTCCCTGCCCACTCCAGGGGAAGGATATTGCAAAATCCCCATTCCCTGCCCACTCCTGGGGGAAGGATATTTTAATTGGGTGAATTTTATGGGTAAGGGGTTTTAAAATTGGAGAAGCCAAAGATAATTTAATTTGTTTTAATGTATTTTAATATTTGTATTGTGTGTTTTTAATTCTGGCTGTTCACCGCCCCGAGTCCTTCGGGAGAGGGGGTGGTATAAAAATTTAATAAATAAATAAATAAATAAAATAAATATTGCAAAATCCCCATTCCCTGCCCACTCCAGGGGAAGGATACTGCAAAATCTCCATTCCCTGCCCACTCCAGGGGAAGGATACTGCAAAATCCCTGTTCCCATCCCACTCCAGGGGAAGGATATTGCAAAATCCCCATTCCTTCCCCACTCCAGGGGAAGGATTCTGCAAAATCTCCATTCCCTCCCCACTGCAGGGGAAGAATACGGGACACAACAACTCACAGTTTTCTCTTCCTAGAAACCGGGTCGTGGGAGAAAACCAAAGTGATCGGCAATCCACCGAGCCCTCGCACGTTCCACACCTCCACGGCAGCAATTGGGGATCGGTTCTATGTATTTGGAGGAGGAGATAAAGGGGTAGATCCTGTCCAGGACCAGCAGCTTCACATCCTCGACTCAAGTAAATGAACAGATTTAAGGCTTTTATTATTATTTTGTTCCCACGCGCCCTTAAGTTGCACGGGCTAAAAGGAAAGTAGGCGAACTCCAGATCCCAGCCTTCCCTGCGGGCATTTGTTATTTTGGCTGGGGCTGCTTCACCCATCCTACTAAGAGCCTCATTTGCTTCTCCCGAAAATGGGCACGTTAGAAAAAAAAACCATCTTCGTTCTCATTTGAGGAGAAGCGAGCCTGATTTTGTTTTCCCTCTTTCAGCCACGTTGACGTGGTCGCAGCCAGAGGTGCGCGGTCAGCCTCCTGCTCCCCGGCATGGTCACGTGGTGGTGGCGGTGGAGAATCGACTGTTTGTACATGGCGGCTTGGCGGGTGACACGTTTTACGACGACCTGTTCTCCCTTGACATAAGTAAGTGCACCCTGTGGTGTTAAAATTAGCAAGGAAGGTACGTTTGAGTCTTCTCTCTCTCTCTCTTCTTTTTCTCTCTCTCTCTCTCTCCCTTCTCTGTCTTTCTGTCAGTCTCTCTCTCTCTCCCCCCTTTGTCTTTCTGTCTCTCTTGCTCTCTCTCTCCTTCTGTCTCTTTATCTTTGTCTCACTCGCTCTCCCCCTTCTCTCCCTCTGTCTCTTTCTGTCTTTCTGTCTTTCTCTCTCTCCCCCCTTCTGTCTCTGTTTCTTTATCTCTCTCGCTGTCTCTCTCCCCCTTCTGTCTCTTTCTTTGTCTTTCTCTCTCCCTTCTTTCTGTCTCTCTCCCCCCTTCTCTTGCTCTGCGTCTCTCCTTCTCTCCGTCTCTTTCTTTCTGTCTCTCTCCTTCTCTTTGTCTCTCTCGTTCTCTCTCCCCTTCTCTGTCTCTCTCTCCGTCTCTCTCTCCCTTCTGTCTTTGTCTTTCTGTCTCTTTCTGTCTCCCTCTTTTTCCCTTTTTCCCTCTTTCTCTCTCTCTCTCTCTCTCTCTCAAAATCTTTCCGAAAAAAAGCGGATCTGATCTTCCCAAGTTTCCTCCTCCACCATTTTGTCTTCGCCGACACCAAAATGGCTCCTATCAGGACCTATCCCAGCTTCCAAAAACGCTTCCGAATGAACTTTGGGGCTGTCCTATTCCACTGTTGAATGCTGAAACGCTACTTTTTAAAGGGGAGGGTCATCTTGAATTAAAGCAAGCCATGATTTATTTTGAACTTTGCACCAGAGGGCCCTGAGGGTGATCGCGTTATCTCTGCAGGGGACCGCAAATGGGAGAAGTTGTCCGCCTCGGGATCCGTTCCTGGAGGCCGAGCGGCCCACTCAGCGCTTGCTTTCCGAGGTCACATTTACATCTTTGGAGGAATGGACCCAACAGGCGAACTCAATACCACGTACAGATATCACATAGGTATCCTTGGCGGTTATTTTAATTCTCTTGGCGCGTCAAGATAGGTGCGATGGCTTTTCCAGGACTATCTTGGGCCTCTCCAAGGCCAGACATCCTCTAGAGCAGTGAGGACATCGCGTGCCAGAAGTGGGGGGTCGCGCGAATCCATGGCCACACCATTTTATGTGCCCCGCCCCGCCCTCCCACGCATGCACGCACGACCCACCCCCTCAAACTTTTTAAACGGGGAGCCAAGTCACAGTCCCTCAGACTGTTTGGGGGGCGGGGCCGCGGACCGGCTGGACGGACGTAGCTAGCTGGTCATGTGACTGTGCGGGCATGGCCCATTTAGCGGCCCAAACAATACCCACAAATTAAAAACTTTTGTTAATGCTCCTGGGGGTGGAAAGCAGGTTAGGGAAGGGATGTGGCTGCCTTGGGTGTGTATGAGGGACTTCTGTTTATGTGTGTATGTCTCTCTCTCCTGAGGCCGGGGACGCCAAAAATGAGCCGGTTTTGGCCTCCCGAGACCTCCACACGTCCCATTTTTGGCCTCCCCGGCCTCCAGTATTTACTTACTTACTTATTTATTTATTTATTTACTTATTTATTATTTATTTATTGATTTATTTATTGATTTATTATATTTATTATATTTCTATACCGCCTTTCTCCCGTAGGACTCAAGGCAGTGTACAGCCAAGAAAAATATAGATACGCAAACACCATAAAATTGCTAATTAAAATTATTATTTTAACATAGTTTGGCCCAATTCAATAGAACCTAAAATTAGATAACATTTTAAAAACATTCACACGTTCATGTTTAGCCCCGCTTGTTGGAACAAGTATTACTCTGCTGCCCAAAAAGGCGCCCAATTTTTGGCCTCTAGAAGGCGGGTGGGGGCCTGCGGGTAGGCGGGGCAATGTGGGCGGGGCAGCTTGGTGGTCCCACGCGGGCCGGATTAATGGCTTCGGCGGGCCGTAGTTTGAGGACCCCTGGGTTAGCAGGTTAGAAACTGGGAGACTGAGAGTTCTAGTCCCGCTTTAGCCACGAAAGCCAGCTAGGAGACTTTGCGCCAGTCCCTCCGTCTCTCTCTCTCCATCAACCTAGCCCACCTCGCAGTGTTGTTGTTGTGGGGAAAACAGGAGTATTAGGTATCTTTTGCTGCCTTATTTCTAAAAAATAACCCATTTTGGTTTTCTTTCTGGAAACATTTAAAACCTAACCCGCTGCAGAAAAAAATCATTGGACGCAGATGGAGTTCACCGCTCCGTTACCTCCTGGCCGGCTGGACCACTCCATGTGCGTCATTCCTTGGCAAACTTCCGACGAAGACCCCCCCGGTCACAAAGGAACCGAAGAGGCTGCTCAAGGGGACGGGCAAGGCCAGCCAGAGGAAGGGCTCGTTCACCTCTGCTTGGTATTTGGGGGCATGAATATGAAAGGGAATATCTATGACGACTGTATCGTGAGCGTGCTGGAAGAATAAGTTGGGCCGTCCAAGTAGTAAAGCTCGTGGTCTGATGGGTTCTCCCAACTGCATTGGGCAGGGAAGTGGTTACGCCTCCTGTATTTAATTGTCCGTCACCTTTTATTTAAAAAAAAAAAGAAATAAATGTTGGAAATATTTGTCGTCTCAAGCCTGCAAGCAGCAAGGCTGCAGGGAATAAACGGGTTTCAATAAAAGAGGATATTTGCAGCTCGGGGTCGGTGCTCTTTTTTTAGCCTGGCTGGTTTTCCTGCAGACGTTTCATTACCCAACTAGGGAACATCATCAGTGCTAGAAAGAGAAGAGGGGGAGGAAGACAACGATGGGGTCCTCGGTGCCGTCTCAGGTTGGGTGTTTTAATGAGGGGGAGGGCCGTGGGGTCCTTGGTGTTCTCCGAGCTTATTTTCTCACAGGTCGTTTTTAGGCCAAGCTGATGATGTTACCTATCTGGGTAATGAGAGGTCTGCGATTAAAAACTCTTCCGCCCTTCCAATGCCGACACAGGAACCAAAATTCAGTGTAAATAACAAATTTATTGGCGCTTCGGAGGGTAGAAAAAAATTCTCCATGGAACACACACAAACCCTCTTTTTTTTTTAAATAGAACAATCGGTTAAGGAGAATATGCTTCAAGGAAGCCCCCTCCCCCTCCTGGCAAGTTAATTTCCCACCCCCCCCCCATCCCACCCCAGGGGACACTTGTCAACTGCTAACGAAAAGCAGTAAATCAGCCGCTTTGGGGCTATAAACATTTCCAAACTCCACTGACGTGAAGATTCTGATCGCATCCCAGTGTCTCCAGTTCAATAGCTTAAACTGAAGGAAAAAAGAAAAATATATATGTCCAAAAGTCCTCTATTTACACAACGTGGTCGTTTTAAGAGAGGCCCTATAACTCGTCCTTCTCCCCTGCCTCTTCCCCGCTGGGGGGGAGGACCCGCCCCGCCGTACAACTTCCCCACGATGGGCTGCACCACTTCCTCCAGCTCTTTCTTCTGCGCTTTGAACTCTTCGATGTCACCGTCCTGGTGGCTCTCGAGCCACTCGATCTTCTCTTCCACCGCTTTCTCGATGGTCTCCTTGTCCTCGGACGACAACTTCCCGCCCAGTTTCTCCTTGTCGCCGATCTGGTTCTTCAGCGAGTAAGCGTAGCTCTCCAGCTCGTTGCGGGCGTCGATGCGCTCCTTCAGCTTCTTGTCCTCCTCGGCGAATTTCTCGGCGTCGGTCACCATCCTCTCGATCTCCTCGGGCGTCAGGCGGTTCTGGTCATTGGTGATGGTGATTTTGTTCTTGTTGCCCGTGCCCTTGTCCTCAGCCGTCACCCGCAGGATGCCGTTCACGTCGATTTCGAAGGTGACTTCGATTTGAGGGACGCCGCGCGGCGCCGGGGGGATGCCGGTGAGGTCGAACGTGCCCAGCAGGTGGTTGTCCTTGGTGAGTGGACGTTCTCCTGTGGGCGAGAGATTTGGATGGATCCTCGGTTTGAAATTAAAACATCCTGTGATCTCACAGACACAACAAAATGACAGAGGTGGAAGGGAACTTGGAGGTCTTCTAGTCCAACCCTCACGCGTCCCCATTCAAGCATAGGGTACAAGTGTATTAAATATGGTACGTATTAAATATCTACCGTATATCCCTGAAGTTTAAAAAGGGATGGATAAAATTAAGACTTAAGTCATTTTCATTTCAGCTATGATCCATTTTCGGTGGAAAAGGCAAAAGTGCTGCACTTTAGCATTTTTTTTAAAATAAAAACCGTACTGAGTAATTTAGCATTTTTAAAAGCATACTGAGAGTTGAGGAGATCACGAGTTCAAGTCCTGCCTTAGGCATGAAAGCTGGCTGGGTGACTTTGCGCCAGAAACACATGTCAGATATGTTTCGCTGCCTTGGGAAGGGACAATGCACAGCCTGAAAATTCTCAAGGAGAGAAGCAACACGCCTGACTAGGTGGCTCAGTGGCTAAGATGCTGAGCTTGTCGATCAGAAAAGCTGGCAGTTCGAATCCCCAGTACAGGTCTCGATGACCTCCAAAGGTCCCTTCCAACTTCCGTTACTGTTAAATAATAATAATAAAAAAAAGAAATAAAGGCAAATAAAATTTACCTTCGTAGACTTTGATCGTCACCGTCGGCTGGTTGTCGGAAGCCGTGGAGAAGATCTGGGACTTCTTGGTGGGGACCACGGTGTTCCTTGGGATGAGTTTGGTCATGACGCCTCCCACTGTCTCAATGCCCAGAGTTAAGGGACACACATCAAGTAGCACCAAGTCCCCTGAAACAAAAGGGAAATTGAGGGGAAAAATTAAGGATCGCCCTTGAGAAGGTCAGAAATCACAACCCAGATTTTATCAACTTCACAAATTAAACCTCTGTCTCTCTCTCTCTCGGCTTACCGGTATCTTGATCGCCAGAAAGGACACCAGCCTGAACTGCGGCCCCGTAAGCTACAGCTTCGTCGGGGTTGATGCCCCGAGACGGCTCTTTGCCGTTGAAGAATTCCTTCACAAGCTGCTGGATTTTCGGAATCCGGGTGGAGCCGCCCACAAGGACAATCTCATCGATATCCGATTTCTTCAGGTCTGCGTCTTCTAGAACTTTCTGGACAGGTTTCATGGTGGAACGGAAAAGATCCTGGAAAACAGGAGCGGGAAAGGAATTAGTGGGTTGTTTTTTAGGCTATTATTATTGTTTTTATTTCATCAAGCTGACCTGGCCTAAATCTTCTCCCTTTTAAAATTTTAAAATTTAAATTTTAAACACTAATTTTAATGTTTAATTAGGGTATATTTTTAAAATTGAGCCAAATTGTTTAATGTTTTAATCTATTTTAAATTTTGTATTCCTGTGTTTTATCTTTTGGCTGTTCACCGCCCTGAGTCCTTCGGGAGAAGGGCGGTATAGAAATCTAAAATTTAAAAAATAAAAATAAAAAAAATTGTTGGCTTTGGAGAACCAAAGTACATTTCTTGCCCTCCGATGTTTGCTGTTTTTTTTGTTTTTTTTTTTGAAGTAGAGCAAGGGGTCGGGGCTGTCTCCAAACTTGGCGACTTTTAAGACTTGTGGACTTCAACTCCCAGAATCCCCCAGCCAGCCAGCCGTGGGAATGGTGGCTGGGGAATTCTGGGAGCTGGAAGTTCACACGTCTTTAAAAGTTTGCCCAAGTTTGGAGACTCCTGGAATTAAGGCGTCTTGTAGAAGCCACTCCCATCACATCAACGTTTTGATTCAACATTGCAGCTACTTTTGGTTCTTTCTTAGGTCACCCTAAGGAGGTTCTTGCTAGGTTCTATATTTCCCCTTCAACATTTGCTGAGTCGGTTTTGTGAAAATGCGCGAACTACAAAGCCTCCAGAGCCTGATAGGAGTGAGGCAGAGGAACAGGAGGAGCCTGTTCCTAATGCACGCATGAGAAGAGCTGCCAGAAGGCAAGAGCAGCTCAAGCAAAGAGGACAACTCAGGAGTAAGGCCAAGAGATGATTGGCCCCTCCCATAAGGCTTAAAACAGACCAGCTTTGCCGGAAAACAAAGTTTGTAGCTTCGTCTTCTACGTCTTGTATTTATTTTTGTATCTGTGACTTCTGAACGTTTGCCAAGAAAGGCCTTTGGCAGTTTGCCTAATTGGACCAAGGTTTGCGATAGGACTGAGGAATTTTGTGTTGGGAGGAATTTGCTTTAATTTAGCTGAACGACGCTGGGAATGAAGTAATTCTCAGCTGTTGGAATAAAGTTTGTTTTTTCACTGACTGATTTTCCTACTCCTTCCTTGGGCCTGGGTCACAACACCACCTACCATGTTGAGTTCTTCAAACTTCGCCCTGGTGAGGGTTTCCGAGAAGTCTTCGCCCTCAAAGAAAGACTCAATCTCGATCCTGGCCTGATGCTGAGAAGAAAGCGCCCTCTTGGCCTTCTCCACTTCTCGCCGGAGCTTCTGGACCGCCCGGTTGTCCTTTCGGACGTCCTTGCCCGTTTTCTTCTTGTAGAGCTTGATGAAGTGCTCCATCACCCGCTGGTCGAAGTCTTCTCCGCCCAGGTGGGTGTCTCCGTTGGTGGCCACCACTTCGAAGACGCCGTTGTCGATGGTCAAGAGAGACACGTCAAAGGTTCCGCCGCCCAAGTCGAAGACCAGAATGTTCTTTTCGCCTTCGCGCTTGTCCAAGCCGTAGGCGATAGCGGCTGCGGTTCTACAGAGGAGGGGGAAAGAAAAATATATTTAGAAGGGCACAAGGCAATAAACGCACCTTTCCTCGATGGTAGTAGATGATCAGCACAAGGAGGTGGCATCTACTTACGGTTCGTTGATGATTCTCATGACATTCAATCCGGCGATGGTGCCGGCGTCCTTTGTGGCCTGACGTTGAGCATCGTTGAAGTAAGCAGGCACAGTGACAACAGCGTGGGTGACCTAAGTAGATAGATGAAAATAAAAGAAATGGAAGTGATTGATGAAGTGATATGGATGCTTTCCTTCTCCCCTAGAAAAAAAAATGAGCCCGGTTCAAGGAACGACGCCTTACCTTCTTCCCCAAATAGGCTTCGGCAGTTTCTTTCATCTTCGTCAGAACCATGGCAGAGATTTCTTCGGGGGCAAAAGTTTTGGTCTGGCCTCCTCCGATATCAACCTGAATATACGGCTTAGTCTTCTTTTCAATAACCTGTTCAGGACAAGGAGGATTAAGATACCACGGCAATCCAGGAAAATCTTGCATTCGCCAACGTTAAAACTATTTTTTTTTTGGTCTTGGAAGAAAGTAAAAAGGCTACTTTAGATTTCGGAATGCAGATTGCGAAATCTCTTATTAATGATCAAACCAAATACATTTCTAGTTTCTAATAGAATATTGGTAAGAGCAAAGCCTTCCCTGTGGTGGCTCCCTCTCCGGAACATCATTCCCCCTCCCCGAGATTAGAATGGCCCCCGCTCCAGCACTCTTCCAGAATGCACTGATTCTGCCAGTGGGCCTGGGGAACCCAGAGCGGGATGGAGCCCATTAGAGCCTTGGTAGTACAATGGTCTAAAGCACCCTGTTATTAAGACCAGCTGCCTGCAATTACTGCAGGTTCGAATCTCCCCAGGCTCAAGGTTGACTCAGCCTTCCATCCTTTCTAAGGTAGGTAAATTGAGGACCCAGTTGTGGGGGCAATAAGCTGACTTTGTATAAAATATACAAAAGTATGAAGGCTATTGCTTAATGCACTGTAAGCCGC